ATGCACTTGATACACTGACATAATTTTGGCATTGCTTTCTTTAAGTATGATGATTAATTTGTAGTGTTGTTGTTAGTTGTTACGTTAGGTTAGTTATGTTTATTTGTACCACGTTTTGCACTATTTATTATACGTTGATACCGGACTCATTCTGAGTCAGTTTGTAAAGGAAGTCACATAATGATGTAACTGAGCAATGGCTCATGTATGTAGATAAGATACGGTTTACATGGAGCACAGATTCTGCCAAAAATTTAATCATGCAGACCATGCCATTCACCTCTCTATAAATCTTGTTTTTTTAGAAACAGCTAGGCTATTCTGTAAGATCTCTCGAAGTGAGCTCGATCGCGGACCCCCATGTCTTTGGTTGTGAGAATAATCTCGACCAATAACGGGCGAGAATACAATCGAGCTCGCTTCGAAATTTCGAATTGACATCTTACAGAATCTGATAGCTGAACCTAATCTTAAGAGGCCGAATTTTTTGGGTCATTCTCTACACCAGCCAAGTCGCCACTGGTGACAAATAGGGTTTTACATTTTAAATTTTTTACCAGTTAATGGTAATGTTTGGGATACCCTATTTTTTTATACCCGGTTCTTCCCAGTGACGGCAAGTAAGAAAATACTCATCATTTCCATCAGTGACTCAGTGACGTACACATCTATTTTACTAAGATATACATTTATACATAGAACGAACGAATAAAGATAAATATTGGTAAAAATAACACTTTTTTTAAGGGGGGAATATCATCGAATCTTTGCTTCCGCCTGGGTGAGGCGGAAGGGAGTGTCAGACTCTTACTGACTAAAAACCACCCCGTTCCTTCTCCTGCGCTTCGAGCCGGAGCCCCGGTAACCCTAACGGTTCTCCGCGACTCTGAATCCGCATCAGCTCTGTTGGTCCCCATCCATGGTGGTCTGATTGCTTTATGAGGCGCGCGCGGAACGCGACGCGTCGTACGCTTGGGTCTGTTTCTGGTCGGACGGAGAGCCACCCATGCTCGCCGTCCGCAGGACCACGCTTACGGTGGCCGGAGATCGTCCCGTGATCCCCGACGCCCGGAGTGTCCTTCGCGATGGCTGGGTTGCAAGGAGTTGCGCTTCGCTGCCTCACGCGTCCCGCCTCCTCCTTAGGTAGCATTACAAATAACACTAGGAATATGAGTATACTGTATAAGTTTCATTTTTATCACCTATTTGCTATAAAACTAAGCCATAGCCATAGTACCTATACATATATATGTGTAGTTACGGCTTATTTTTTACGATTCTTTGGAACTGAATGATAAGATCACGATAAAATTTGTTAATTTATAAAATGTAGTGCGTGAAGTGCGTCCAATGTCATTTAATTTTCACAGCTTGACATTGAATGTATTCAGCGTTTGTGTGTTGGTCAGAATTATTTTCACTGCTGCGTGTAAGGACAGGGACACACTCGTTGATTACGGCATAACTAATCTCGCGGTGCGCTATTTTCGAATATTTTTCATTCACTACCAACGCACGGATTTCTTTTCTTTGAGAGGGCGTGTGTACCTAATGTACCGACGTACGATGTAGTAAATAGCTAACTTAGAATAGCTATTTTACAAATAAAATGTATTTAAAATAAAATAAAAGATTCTCAACCTTCACTTATGAGGACTTATCAACGTATAAGTTTAGTACATGGGTTTAGTGCATTACGTGTATGTAATGTAGTTATTAGAAAAATACGTTTTCCCTTAATTTATTTAGTATAGGTACCTACCTCATAAATAAAGGGAAAATGTATTTTTCTAAATATATGTATAATGTACCTAAATATATTTATGTATAATGTACCTAAATAAAGGCAATTTAGAATGCTATCAAACTATGGTGCTTCAAGTACTTACCTAATTGAAGTAATAGTACTTTTAATTAACTATATTATGTATACCTGATGCATACATATACATTAAAATTACCTATACACCTAGGTACATAATTCTATAATTGCATATTACTTAAGCGTTATCGAATTGTTTTGTTAGTGAAATAATTCTATGACCGTGACCGAGTTGAGCTGATGATGGTTTGAACTATAGGTTCAATTCATATTTTTGTGTTTTTACATTGGAATCTCTGTTATTGTAAATTAAAATGGTCCCTACATTAACTAAAATCATAGGTAAACGTACTTTTGGTAGTCGGGTAAAAAAGTCTTCGTGTTACTAATCTTACAGGTAGATATTACCTAAAATAGTTCTATAATTACCTAGGTACGGTCAGCATCAAAAATTGATGAACACATTTTTGTTTATCCTGTAGTATAATAAATAATAATGGACAATCAGTGATAGTGATCAGTGATCTTATCGTACAAAACGATATAATTTGCGGTAATCTAAGCCTATTTCAGTTTAAATTAAATAAAGTCAAATAATTAGTATTAAAAACCGTATTAAGTTTGGAATGTATGATATGATAATTGACAACACAAGTTAAGTTCTACAGGTAAGTATTATATTTACCCAACTTTATGTTATGAGTCATTTTAAATTTAAATGCGTCACTCAAGGCGGGGAATCAAGTAAAAAATACTTCACGGTTGTTTTATAAACAAGGTTTTTCACATGAAACATAAATATCTAAGCTCAGATGGGAACTAAGTTTTTGCCATGGTTATTAAGTAGGTACATGTATAACTGGTAGGTACGTACCTAGGTACTTAGGTATCTACAATTTATTTATTTTGAAAAACCATTCTTCAAACTATAAGTAAGCAAAATAAAGCACAGAAAATTTATTCTTAATTAACTCGTCGAGTACCGGTTTTATAGAAACATTAAAGAACAATGGGTCGCGGTCACCGGTAACCGCTTGGTGTTTGAGTTTAATTGACTTTAATTATTAATTACAAAAATGTTATTATTAAATACAAAAAAAATTACCAAAGATTCTGGCAAGTTTTCTTCATTTTCTTCCGATTCTGGAGGTCGAGAACGACAAAATAAACGGCGGCAAAACGCGCCACAGCCACATCTATCGCCGAAACAAACCATATTCGATGTTCATTCAATTCACAACACTGCTACTAAATTAATTTATGCGACACTTCTTTTTTACGAATTTTACAGAATTCCCGCTACCGCATCCCACGAAAATATCCGCTCAATTCCGCTCCAGCTGTGCTCAATCGCAGTGCTACGATTAGCCGAGCGCGCCTAGCCAACTAGTTACCTACCGCAAAACTCGTCACAATATTGTAGTGCAGCGTAGGTATAGGTGTCTACTACGTTTGTTTGTTGTTTTTGTATATATAGCGCTATTTCAGAATATACACCCATGGTGCGACAGAGACGACAAACTATCATATCTTTCCGCTTTAACGTCATAGTACCATAGACAATCGCGTTATTAATCTTGGAATTGGAATGGAATGGAATGGAAGAGACAAGCGAGTAAGTATGGTAAGCAGTGGGCAGGTGGGCAGCGAACAGCGAAGCGATAAAATGATGAAGAAATGTCAAGTGATACAGTGGGCGACTGTCATTTATTTGTTTGTTATGATTTTAAGATTATAAAGAGGATTGCTCGTAAGCGTTAACTACCCTAGATTGTGATTTAGATCTTATCAAAACTACCTATTGAATAGATATTTTTCATGTTCTTGACGTTTTGGTATACTTAATTACCATTAAAATATTTAACATACCCAAGTATCTACCCTATCGATTTTTAATTTAATGTTGAACTAAAGGAACCTTTATTTGTAAACTTGTATTATTATATTTCTATGTCAAATAATGTCTTTCTTTCAATAGATGGACAAATGGTGGTGATTCTTTGCCAAATGTCGAAGGTAAAACGTTTGTCAATGCATTATTATTAAATTAGCGTTAAAACTAACCTCAAAATCCAGAGCATCTTCAGCGAAGTCGTATTCTATGAAATCTCTCGGTATCGTACCCTCTTCAATGCCATAATCCATTTTAACACAACTGACACATATCATAACTTTTATCTTCAATGACTACACTACACTACTTAGGACACACTAAGAACCTATATCCTTTAAACTGTCAACATAGTTCTAGATAACTAGGTACAAAAAATCAATACGTATAACGCTGAACTAGGTACTATAGGATATGGATCAAACACTAATGGCGGATTATTAGGAAAATAATTATATTAGGTACTATGTTCATTGCAGTTCACTGCACTGCAGCTGCGTGTTGCGGACTAGTTTTAGTACGGATGACAACAAACAAAGTACACAGTCCCGAGCGACGTAGCAAATCACAGGGAAGTGGAAACAATGACTTTGTATTTCTCTTTCACTCTTGTTACGTAGGGTTTACGTGGAACAGAGATGTGTACCCGAGATAACAAATAGGTATGAATGTAAATGATATCATCACAGACAACTATCAGGATGGTACAAAAAATGTAAACAAATGATAAACCACTAATAAAATATCAAACTTTGTCTGTTTTACAACAGTGCTCGAAACGAAATAAGTAAAGATGTAGATTTTATTAAAAACACGTTTTTTATTTTCGTTGTGGAAATTTAAATTTTATTCATAAACCAGTTAAGGACTAGATTAGTCTAGAGCAAGACTAGACCTATCATTTAATTTGACGCTGCGTAGTTGTAGGTACTGCATGTGTGACGGCGTATCGAATTTCTTTATTTTTTAAGTTTTTTTTCGTGCTTCATTGAGCAAATAAACCTGTCGGTCGGTTAAGTGGTTATTTATAAATAAGTTAAATACGTACATAATATTATTACGTACTTACTACTCAATGTAATAGTATCTAGATTCGTATGGCAATAAAAGCAAACGTTTCTAGTGGTGATTGTGAAGGTTGTGAGAATTGTTAGATCAAGATACGAGTATGCATAAAGATTTACTTAATAAAACACATAGTGAGAATTCAAATACATTTATTTGAAAACATTTAATACGATAAGTAAATAACCTACTTACCACCATTGGTCAGCTTTTCTCTACACTTTATATGACTTGCTCCATTAATAAAGTTTTTCCTTTTTTTGTTGTTGGCGGTGGAATCTAAAATAAAATAAAATAAAATATTATGAGATTTTTTTACAAATACCTACTACGATAAAAATACTGCTTTTTGAAATGGATTAAGTTTTTTATCATTTCGTCCCAAGTTTCCAGTTTTCCTTGTTCGTAATTTTCCTCGTTCATATTAAACCTTCTCTGTGAGATTGGCATTGATTTCGTCGGATACAGGATAATGTACCCAAGGTATTTTCCGGTAAACAAAGACAGACAAAAATAACTTTCAATTATTGCCGCTCACTTAATTTGGCATGCGCGCATAACGTTCGTCAATGCGTATTACAGACTTAAAGCTTCATTTCATGTTTTCAAGAAACCCAAAATATGGATTTTTTTTTATATATTTCCACAGACCAATAAAACCAATTTTTCAAGTTTTCAAATTCTAGTAACAAGACTCTTTTTTAAATACCGCCAATATTGAAATTTACTCGTAAAATAACCTTTTTTTATAAATAAAGCAATTTCTGATCAGTTTACCAAGTAGGGGTGATGTGCCCTCTGGTGCTGCAGTAGCTTGGCTCGTGTGACGTACTGTCGCGGACACTCGGAGCACATCGCCGGCTCACAAACTCGCGTACCGCCGTCCAGGGCTTCTACGCGGAACTTCGCTGCCCCTGTGCATATAGAACTAATTTTAGAAAACTAGCCATAAAAATGTTCGTTGTTATAACACCTATACAAATAATTGGACCCTGACTTAACCCTTCTTCAATAAAGAGAACAATAATTGTAAATTAAGAAGTTTCGATAAAGTACAACTCGAAACCTCACGTCGGAAGCAACGAGTTGTTTCATAAGCGTGAGTGCATAAAACATCCGTAGATTTAAAATAATTTTAACGTAATATGTGTTTGCGTTTTTATTTCGAGTATCAAAAAAGAAAGGTTTGGAATCCAACTTTGAACCCAAAATAAAATATTAGACCTGGATGATGTAGCTGTACATGTCGGTCCCGTTTAGCGGCAGTTCTGTATAATTTGGTGCAAGTCCCGCACGGGTAGTGACGCACGCGTCGCTCTAGTGGCACTCGAGCGGAGATCATGTTGTGTATTTTCCATAGGTGGTTCACCAGCATACCTCGACGCTAATACATGAGAAAATATACCATAAAAATATATAATATGTAAATAATAAAATGTATAAAATTATTATAATGTGTTATAAAGGTTAGTTCACATTGGCAATACAAAAAAGGATATAAAAAAATCTAGATAATAATATGAAGCTAGTGTTTGCGTAATACTGCTTAATAGATTTTGATAAGGAGGAGAAAAACAAATTAAGCAAATTTAACTAACTAGTCATGAAAGATTCGTTTTTGGTGTATGTTCCAATGGTTTAGAGACCAAGGATTAACAGAATTTTTACCTTGAAAGTATGTTGGCACTGTTCACACTTATATAGAGGCGGACCATCTGGCTTTGTTTCAGGAGCATCAGGTACATTATTTTCACTTTCCTATAATAAAATTAAAAGGATACGCTATATAATATACTATAAATAACTTTGTGGGATAACGATAAAGGTCTACTTACATTTTGAAACGGCTTTTCGTTTGAATGTTGACTCCAAATATGCTCTTTAAATTGTTTCACGTTTCTGAACACCTTTTTACATTCACAAGTCATTACACGGGCTGGACATTTACTGTAAAAGAAAACCAGTTTAAAAAATATTTCATAAAATGTATTTTTTAGGGAGAACCCTATTTCAATAAGCAAGTATTAGGTGCCAATTTTTGAGGAAGGAAGATATCAGTTTCATCATTTTTGTTGTTAATAAAAATAAAAATAGTTTACCTTATATGTTGGCGCCTATTTCCTTTAACAATAATTTCATTGCAATAGGCACAAGGAACAATAAGCTTTTCTTCTGGTTGCGGTGATTTCTGAAAATTGATATAAGGCAGTGATTGAAATGATTATGTAGGTACTCTACACATTCACATACTCTACAAATACAAAACACTTCAAAACTGAGGTTGCAAAAGGAGTGTAACTTTTTTTAAAACATAATAACAACATTGTATAAACGTAACTGTAGTTACAAACCTCTTTGGAAGTCCTTTGGCAATTACTTGAAAAATCCAGATCACTAGCTAAATCATTGTCGTCCTTATACCCGATAGCGTAAGGATTAAAATCATTATCAGATCTGGGGTTACCAGAAATATCGAGACTAGATATACGATCTGTATCAAACAGGTTAGTGGAGAAGTCTAGTCCATTAGAATAGTTCTGGAAACTTTCGTCTGACGGTATCCTATTGTCTTCAGAGTTTATAGATATATTTATATTAATTTGTGGCGCATCATTCTTCGTATCCTGATTGGTTACTTTATTCCTGAAATAGACTTTCATATTAAAATATGCACAGCAGAAATCAACGGTAAAATATAATTATATATACTTTACCTTTTTTCTAATTTAACAGGGCAATGAACTAGTATATGTCGTCGTAATCTGAAACAAATAAAACCTTATAATAAAATTATTGATATATTGAGCACAATTAATAATTTGAAGAATTTATAAAATGCTTACGCAAACAGTCTAGAAAATGTTCTTGAACAATGTCGACAACGGTACCGTCGTCTTGGTAGCAAGGCCCCATCCTGAAATAAAGAGCAATGATAATTATATAAAAGTAGTATGAAAAACTCTTTACTGCATTACAGTTAACACAACTACTATTAAAACTTAATAGTAGCAAACACTATCAAGCGTCTAGATCATAAACAATCGTATGATAGACTAAAAGGAAATTTATTATTATTACCTTGTGGTAGGTTTCTGTATGAGATTTTAATTGTTTTTCTGACGGCAGTGTGCGTTGACATTCGTAACACCACCATGTTTTCTCAACTTGAGTATCTGCAAATGAAGAATAAACAGAGTTCAAATTTCGCATGTTTTTATGCAGGCTAGATAGGAAAATACGACAACTAAGAATTATCCTTACTAATATTATAAATCTAAAAGTGAGTTTGTTTGTTTGTTCCACCTTCACGCCGTAATTACTCAACCGATTGCTTTGAATTTTTGCAGACGTAAAGTTAGAAGTCTGGATTAAATAATGGGGTATTTTTTACCCGGAAATAATTGATATTCCCAAGGAAAAACAAAAGTATTGGTATAGATGGCGCTATGTGTATTGGTATATGTCACATAGGCTATGCTTTTTTTCTTTTGTAACGCGAGCGAAGCCGCGGGTAAAAGCTAGTAAAATATAAAGGCATAATACCAGTTACCACTGGGAAACCAGAGCTGAACATTACATGCATAGTTTCATACATAGGTGTACAAGTAGTTCAAGTGGGTAGTAGTTACCTTTTCTAATTTCTTTAGTTGGGCCTATTAATCCATAATCATCAGCATATTGTTTGCTGTACCCAAGTATAAGGGGTTTTCTTAGTGGTACTGTTTCTGTAGTTATTGCATACAGTTCTTGATTTTCCTCATACAGCCATACATTTGCAGAGCTTTGATCTCCTAGTGGCAGTAATCCAATCCAGTTGGATTTATCTGGAAATAAGAAATACTTATTTAAAAACGTTATTTACATAACACATAATTGTGTGGGTTGCCGCGTTGGCCGAGTAGTCGCATGTGCGACTGCCGGGAAAGGGGTCGCGGGTTCGATTCCCGTGTCGGGCAAAGTATTATTAGGTTTTTTAAAACATCTCAGCAGTAGCACGGAGTCTGGAATTGTACCCGGTATATGGCAACAGGCTCCTCCTTACATGGGACTCATAACATAAATAGTGAAAAGTGGGTGTTACATTGTACAGTGATTTTAAGTGCCGAAATGTGCGCCTCTGCCTACTCCTTCAGGGATAAAATGATGTTATGTTATGTCATATTACATGGACAAATATGGTACTTACAACAGAATTAGACAAACATGTAAATGATCAGTATTTTTACAAAACCTAGCCTAGACTAGACTACGTAGGCTGATGATGATATTGCATTGATTACAAGATACATTATCCATAGCAAAGATGAAATTATTGTTTTGTAACAGAAAAATATTTTACCAAAATAATATTTTATTATGTGTATCAATAAACAGTACCTTTATCAGCTGTGTCAATGTGTATGATATTCCCATCCGTGTCCCTTACTAGAAATAAAGGTATTTTGTTTGAAGTAGCGTTCAGCACTAGTTCCACAGCTTCTGATTGAGATATTTTGTTTCTTATTCCTGAAACAATGAGCTTTTATCATTAGATGACATTAATGTGATTCTGAACTATTGTTGTAGTACTTGGTAATTTGTATTTTCAGGTATTTAAAAGAATTAATAACTGAATAGTGTTGTAAAACGAATGAGAGTTGTGCTTCTAAACATTCGTTTTCCAAAAAATTAAATATCAACATAATTTATTTTACCTTGAACGGGGCCAAACCGTGCACATGCAGGTAAACTTCTTCGTGTAGAGATTATATGGCGTCTTTGTACTTGAAGTATCGGCGGTAATACAGCATAGGCGCGCGGAAGTACAACGCGGTCCGATATGTGAACTGTGGATAGTTAAAATAACAACATCAAACTATAATATAGCCCTTTTTATAAAAAGAAGAATTAAATAAATAAAGAACAATAATAGACTATAATGTTGACTATTAAGACTCACTGGGTAAAGTATACTTAGGATTTTCATATTATCATTAACCACTAAAAATCCACGATTACGAAATTTGTTCATACAAAAGTAGTCTCTATGCATTTGAAATAAGGTCTATAATGGAGTGACTGGAGAGTGGCTACTGCCACTGGTGACAGAGTTAAAATGCAATAAATCATAGTTATAGTGACTATTAAAACATTTTTCACTTACCATAGTTATTAACAGTTGTATGTACTTTGTCATCAAAACCACATACTTTATTATTAAGTTCTGTTTCTTCAATACTTAGATCCAGTGGTGTTCCTTGCAAGTCTAGTAGGTGATCTGTTTTTAAAGCCAAGTTACTACTGCCTCCCAATGCTGAAGCGATCTGAAGTTGATCATCACAGATTGGTAAAAGATTCTGTGCACTTTTATAAGTTCTATCAATAACACCCATTATTTTAGCTTGTCCTTGACTAGAATCTGAAATGATATAAAAAAACTTAATTAAGAAAATGAATAATTTGTAATGAAAAATTTACAAAGATAATCCTACTATAGTATATTCATGTTAGGAATGCAGTAAGTCATCATCGTCTGTTGACCTAGCCCCGCCCAATAAACTGATTTTAAACTTTTAAATGTATTTTTATAAATTCACTAGCAAACCCGGCTCCGTACTCCGATTCGCCACCAGATGGCATCGTTTTAAGTAACATTTCGAATTTTGAATTTTCTTTGCCATAAACCTCACGGATCCCGAGACCTTTCCAACAAATGCAAAACTGTGGAAATCGGTTTGTGCGTTCTGGAGTTATAGCGTCAGGAAGGAAAACCCGACTTATTTTTATATAGTAGATTAAACTTAATCTTTTAAAATATAATTTGTTTGAATTTGCACCACTGTGAATACACCTTTATCTTACAGTTGTACTTGTATGATTCACTGCATTCTTAATGCAAACAAAATATTCTAATATTACAAATGCGAAAGTTTGTCATAATGTATGGGTGTGTTTGTTAAGTCTTTCATGTCAAAACGGCCAAAGAGATCGAAAATTTGGAGCAAAGGTAGATTATGTTCTGGAATAATATATAGGCTACTTTTTATCCTATGGGACGGGCGAATAACACGGGCAAGCAGCTAGCAGAAGTTAATACTCTATATGTCAGGTTTGATCAAAGTAAGTTTAATCCTTTGAGTATTATAGACACAATTAAAGAACAATAGGTTGCGGTCACTGGTGTCCTCGTAGTGTTTGACAGTTTAAGAAATTAGAATGAAAATAAATCAAATGTTTTGCCTATGGTGATATAGATGATAGATCTATGATGACACTGAAAACTTGTTTAGGTTATTGTTTACAATCAACATAAACTACTTTACATTAAGACTACTGTACAATGTGTTTTTTGATGCATAAAAACTAAGAAAGAAAGATTACCAATAATTACTTCCAGTTGATCTGATGTTTCTTTCTGCTTTAAAGGAATTGGTAGCAGGTACTGTTTATGACCATATTCTAAGCTCTGAAACAAATTGTTTATCAATATTTTAATGAGCTATAATTACTTAGATATTTATTTATTATGTTATTGAGTATACTCACATTATCTAATAAATGCAAAGGTAGTACTTGTTCATTTAAACTTAAATTAATACTGGAATCCATTTGAAGCAAGTACAAGTGCGTCGGTCCACTAGGGACTTGAGGATCTGTGTTGTTCATCTCTGCCATCACTTAGAAAATAACTTAAAAGTACTTGTTGATAACTTTGTCACACAAAGTGTAACATCTAAAAAAACAGAATTATTTATTAACTTTCAAGACATATACAACACAATTAAATTGTAACTTTACTGCCATTTGTATACTATGTTTCTTTGTATTCATTTCCAGTATCTTAAATCAATTTATTTGCATTAAAAGCACAAAACTTACGTAGAATACCTGCTACTTATTTAAATGACAATTTACATAATACTTAACACACGTATATTACACTGTATATAAAACAATTGAATAATGATTTTCATTTTGTTTTTAAAAATTAACTAGCTTCTGCCCGCGACTTCGTACGCGCAATCCCATTTTCCCCCCGTTCCCGTTCGTGATTTTCGGTAAAAAGTAAAAAAAGTATTGTATAAAAAGTATCCTATGTCCGTCTCCTGGTTCTAAGCTACCTCCATGCCAATTTTCATCTAAATCGATTGAGGCGTTCTTGAGTTATAAATAGTGTAACTAACACGACTTTCTTTTATATATATAGATATGTAATTTACATTATAAATTAGATTTACGGCGAATACCGTATTGTATTTATGTCAGTTTTATAAACATTATGTACATCAAGTGGCCGTCACAGTGACCGTCACACTTAGAGCCATTGACAGCTTACAAAATCGGCACGTCAACTACATCTAGTTTTCGAATCTGAAATTAAATGTTGTCAAAACTAATATTTTCAGTGGCCACACAGTTCCAACCAAGGTTCCAACATTATTTTAAAATTTAGGGTTAAAATAATATTTTGGTGAAAATCATCGAATGACTGCTCCCGCCTAGGTGAGGCGGAAGGAAGTGTCAGACTCTTACTGACTAAAAACCACACCGTTCCTTCTCCTGCACGTCAAGCCGGAGCCCCGGTTGCCCGTTAGGTTCTCCGCGACTCCGAATCGGCATCGGCCCTATTGGGCCCCATCTGTGGTGGTCTGATGGCTCTTTGAGGCGCGCGCGGTACGCGACGCGCCGTACGCTCGGGTCTGTTTCTGATCGGACGGGGAGCCACCCATGCTCGCCGTCCGCAGGCCCGCGCTTACGGTGGCCGGAGATCGTCTCGCGATCCCTGACGCCCGGTGTGTCCTTCGCGATGGCTGGGTTGCGAGGAGGCAGCGCTTCGCTGCCTCACGCGTCCCGCCTCCTCCTTAGCTAGCATGACTGCTTCGCAAAAGGAAGAGACGGCATCCCAGTCCCCCTCGCTCCGCATCATGGCCCGCACTAGGCCCGGACGCGAGAGACCTCTCGCGTGTGATGGCGACCGCCATCGCCGATCACTTCCCTGAGGGCACGGCGGTGCTCAGCCTAGGCAGGGCATTCCGCTACAGTGTGTTCCACCGTGTCCTCAGTCGTTGCTGCCATTCCGCCATGAGATTGCGCCGGAGCTCATCCCGCCACGCACTTATCTGGCACGGCAGCGGTGCCTCCGCGCGCATGTGATACACGTGCGCGAGCACCTTCGCCTCCAGATCCCACGGCGGTAATCCGGCAAGGAGGTTCGCCGACTCCCCAGAGATCGTGCGGTATCCGCGGATCATTCGGATCGCCATGACCCTCTGTGCCATAAGCAGCAGGTTCAGGTTCGGCGCCCAAACAGGGGCGCCGTAGAGGGCCATGGACCGCACGACCCCGACGTATAACCTCCGGCAGGAGGCGTTTGGCCCCCCGAGGTTGGGGAGGATGCGTTTGAACGCAGCTCCCATCCTCTCCAACTTTGGAGCCAAACGTCGAAAGTGCTCCACGAAGTTCCACCGACTGTCGAGGACGAGTCCTAGGTACTTCATCGTCGTCTCGACGCCGATGGTAACCCCTCCCGCCGTTATTTGGGACCCACCCGGAAGTGGCGCGTTCGTGCGGCCATGAAAACACATGGCCTCGGACTTGTGGAGCGCCACCTCGAGTCCCAACTGCCGGATTCTCTCAACGACTGTCGCAACCGCTGTCGCCATTAAGTCGGCCGCCGCCTGGTGCAACCTCCCGTGCGCTAGCACCCGTCGGCGTAGCATATTGTACTAACGCCGTTCAGGAGGTCGGTGCGCAGTACCCAGTCATAGCTTATGTTCCACAGGAGCGGCCCCAGAACCGAACCCTGTGGAACACCGCGTGACATCTCTCGCCGGTTCCACTCGCCCCGGTGACCGGGGTAGCTGACGGACCTGTCCGTCAGGTAAGCCTCGATTACACGACGGAGGTAGGTAGGCACCCGATGATATCGGAGTGCCTCAAAGATGCAGCTCTAGGGCAGGGAGTTGAAGGCGTTGGCGATGTCCAGAGACACCGCCACTACGACCTTACCCCTGGACACTGCAGTCCCCGTCGTGAGGTCTCTAACTAGCATGATGGCGTCCACCGCGCCCTCAGCGGAAGCCGAACTGGCCGTCCGACAAGTCCGGCCCAATGTCCGTCAGGTGCGCGACGAGGAGGTTCGAAATGATTCTTTCGCAGACTTTCCCCACCTCGTTGAGCAGCACTATGGGCCGGTACGCGGACGGAGAGTCCGCAGGGCACCTCGTCTTCCGCACGAAGACCAGTTTGCCCGCTTTCCAAAGAAGCGGGAACTGGCGACATCTTGGAATTACACACATTTTGACAGCACCATCGGTTTAACCTTCCTCAAATATAATTAATACGACATAATCATATGCATGATGACTTAATATGTAGAACGTCTCGCATTGAAAATCCGTTCAGCCGCCGTGTCGTAGATATCTCATGGATGTATATGTATGGATAAAGTATTATTACATCCATACATACATAAAGTATTATTACTTTATCCAAGTCTTCGAAGATATTATTCATAATAGCTATTCGTCATCAATAGATTAATTTCGCTTCATTTATCACTGACCAAATTCTGTAGATTATATGTATTCTATTTTATTATTCTACTAATCTATCGAGCGTCCTCGAGATCTATCGAGCATCCTCGAAAACTATCGAGCGTCCTCGAGATCTATCGAGCATCCTCGAAAACTATCGAGCGTCCTCGAAATCTATCGAGCATCCTCGAAAACAATCGAGAGTCCTCGAAAACTATCGAGAGTCCTCGAAATCTATCGAGCATCCTTGAAAACTATCGAGCATCCTCGAAATCTATCGAGCGTCCTCGAAATCTATCGGGCATCCTCGAAAACAATCGAGAGTCCTCGAAAACTATCGGGAGTCCTCGAAATCTATCGAGCATCCTCGAAAACTATCGAGCGTCCCCGTAAACTATCGAGCGTGGTCGAAAACAATCGAGAGTCCTCGAAAGCTATCCAAGCGTCCTCGAAAACTATTGAGCGTGCTCGAAAACAATCGAGAGTCCTCGAAATCTATCGAGCGTCCTCGAAATCTATCGAGCGTCCTCGAAACCTATCGAGCGTGCTCGAAATTTATCGAGCGTCCTCGAAATCTATCGAGCGTCCTCGAAATCTATCGAGCGTCTTCGAAATCTATCGAGCATCCTCGAAAACAATCGAGAGTCCTCGAAAACTATCGAGAGTCCTCGAAATCTATCGAGCATCCTCGAAAACTATCGAGCATCCTCGAAAACAATCGAGAGTCCTCGAAATCTATCGAGCATCCTCGAAAACAATCTAGAGTCCTCGAAAACTATCGAGAGTCCTCGAAATCTATCGAGCATCCTCGAAAACTATCGAGCGTCCCCGAAAACTATCGAGAGTCCTCGAAATCTATCGAGCATCCTCGAAAACTATCGAGCATCCTCGAAATCTATCGAGCGTCCTCGAAATCTATCGAGCATCCTCGAAAACAATCGAGAGTCCTCGAAAACTATCGAGAGTCCTCGAAATCTATCGAGCATCCTCGAAAACTATCGAGCGTCTTCGAAATCTATCGAGCATCCTCGAAAACAATCGAGAGTCCTCGAAAACTATCGAGAGTCCTCGAAATCTATCGAGCATCCTCGAAAACTATCGAGCATCCTCGAAATTTATCGAGCGTCCTCGAAATCTATCGAGCATCCTCGAAAACAATCGAGAGTCCTCGAAAACTATCGAGAGTCCTCGAAATCTATCGAGCATCCTCGAAAACTATCGAGCGTCCCCGAAAACTATTGAGCGTGCTCGAAAACAATCGGGCATCCTCGAAAACAATCGAGAGTCCTCGAAAACTATCGGGAGTCCTCGAAATCTATCGAGCATCCTCGAAAACTATCGAGCGTCCCCGTAAACTATCGAGCGTGGTCGAAAACAATCGAGAGTCCTCGAAAGCTATCCAAGCGTCCTCGAAAACTATTGAGCGTGCTCGAAAACAATCGAGAGTCCTCGAAATCTATCGAGCGTCCTCGAAATCTATCGAGCGTCCTCGAAACCTATCGAGCGTGCTCGAAATTTATCGAGCGTCCTCGAAATCTATCGAGCGTCCTCGAAATCTATCGAGCGTCTTCGAAATCTATCGAGCATCCTCGAAAACAATCGAGAGTCCTCGAAAACTATCGAGAGTCCTCGAAATCTATCGAGCATCCTCGAAAACTATCGAGCGTCCCCGAAACCTATCGAGCGTGCTCGAAATTTATCGAGCGTCCTCGAAATCTATCGAGCGTCCTCGAAATCTATCGAGCGTCTTCGAAATCTATCGAGCATCCTCGAAAACAATCGAGAGTCCTCGAAAACTATCGAGAGTCCTCGAAATCTATCGAGCATCCTCGAAAACTATCGAGCATCCTCGAAAACAATCGAGAGTCCTCGAAATCTATCGAGCATCCTCGAAAACAATCTAGAGTCCTCGAAAACTATCGAGAGTCCTCGAAATCTATCGAGCATCCTCGAAAACTATCGAGCGTCCCCGAAAACTATCGAGAGTCCTCGAAATCTATCGAGCATCCTCGAAAACTATCGAGCATCCTCGAAATCTATCGAGCGTCCTCGAAATCTATCGAGCATCCTCGAAAACAATCGAGAGTCCTCGAAAACTATCGAGAGTCCTCGAAATCTATCGAGCATCCTCGAAAACTATCGAGCGTCTTCGAAATCTATCGAGCATCCTCGAAAACAATCGAGAGTCCTCGAAAACTATCGAGAGTCCTCGAAATCTATCGAGCATCCTCGAAAACTATCGAGCATCCTCGAAATTTATCGAGCGTCCTCGAAATCTATCGAGCATCCTCGAAAACAATCGAGAGTCCTCGAAAACTATCGAGAGTCCTCGAAATCTATCGAGCATCCTCGAAAACTATCGAGCGTCCCCGAAAACTATTGAGCGTGCTCGAAAACAATCGAGAGTCCTCGAAATCTATCCAAGCGTCCTCGAAAACTATCGAGCGTGCTCGAAAACAATCGAGAGAGGGCATAGCGAGGCACGCGCCACGTTGTGAGCGCCAGGTGCTACTGATCTACTCCAGGTCTACTAGCGAGTGTAACTCACAGCGTCTGCAGCAGCAGCACGTGTCTTAGTTTTATCTAACAGGGATTGACATTTTTAGATATTAAAAAACTCTTTAACTTTTTATAGCCCTACCGTCCCGTACCGGTTTGCTGTTTCTGTGCCCCTCTGTGGTTCGAAACTAGTAGAGCTTTTCTCAGTATATTCACGTGAGTAACCCGCGATTTTACTTGATATTAAAAAAGATCCAATAAAAAGAATCGTAGAGAGTTTTTTTATTCTTATAAAGCACATTGTAAAAGTTAATTATTATGAGAACAATTTTTAATATAATAGGAACAACCAGGAACATTTTTTTAACAACAGATAATAAGTAGTTGCATATTATAATTTAAAGAATGTTATTATAATAATTATAAATCACACTTTTATAAAGTAACATAAACTATTTATTAGAACAACTTAAACTTGAGTGACGTTTTGAGTTGCACAAAATACCAGCAGCTTTGCAAAGGCACTTTTTGTTGCCACATTTGGTTTTGCAGTGGCATCTTTTATAGCCTTGCCCACCAGAGGTTGATTGTGCATTGGCTATTTGGCGTAGTGATTTCTTTGCCGTGCGGGTGAAACTATGTCAATATCTAAAAATTTTGAGTCACACACAGTGAACTGATTTCTTGAAAGTTATAGTGCCGTATTTGTTTCCTAATTTGTATAAGCCCTTGTTACATTTAAGTACAACCATTAACACATTGGGAAAGTCGCCTCTACCTCTGTCCACGTCAGGAATTTTTAGTCGGACTGTATCATCGACTTTACATGGGGGAAACTTTTCACACAAATTACATTTTTTTTTCTCATTCTGATCACAAAGCCCGCAATATGTCATTTCGATTTCTTTCTGACAACTTCCTGATGTTGTTTGGTTGGCTCATTCTCTTTTGATGGCTCATTTTTTTTAGTAGCTTCGTCACTCTCATGATCAACTAACTCTCTAAGAATTTTCTCAAGATCTTCCTCACTTTCTGTATTTGCAAGGACTTCAGGTGTTAGATCAGATGATTTCAGCCCGACCTTTACATCAGAACCGAACATTGCCTGGTACGGCGATCTTTTAATTCAGTAATGGGAAGCTCTATTTTTCATTAGCTGAATAAATCGTAAGCCTTCTGAGCATTTTTGGCAGTTCACGTCAGCCATCTGTTCATGCACAATCTTCAAACCTGGCCACAGCTGCGTCAAACTTTCCACAACTCTCTCCATTATCGGATTGAAGTATTGAGGGTGATCCAAAGATACAAAATATATCAAGTAATTTCTTTGATACTTCTTCCGCAGTCTTACTTTGTAACGGATGAAGTTGTACGAATTCATCCTGTACTCTATAGTCTCAGTCAAAGTACAGGACTGACTGAGAGTCAGAAAATTATTTTTAAGCACTATGTTTTTCGACATTATAATTATAAGCGCTACAAAATCTATAGTCCATCTGTTTAGGTAATTAACTAAAGGTAAACAAAGAAAACCACGTGACACAGAGATACTTAACCTACTATTACTTCAAATATTTCTCGTGTTTTAATTTTAACTAAATTCACTTTAAAATCGTTCATTTGTCATACACACACATACAAGTACAAATGCCTAAATCGTACAAGAGCCTAGCCTATGGGTCTATATCATTATCATGTTTAAATAGAAACTATTCTGAATCTGATGTACGGATTTCTTTCTTGTACGGATATCTGTCTTTGGGCCAAGTTTCTTCAATATATTTGAACACATTAATTACAAACGATGAATAACCTAAACTTAAATAACTTAATAACAAAAACAAAACAAAGAAACAAGTTAAATTCAACAAAATAGGAACGCGAGCGCAAACGACGAGAGACCTGTCAATGGCGCCTGATTAACCGACTAAACGTAATACACGCTACTTTCATTGTCGCGCTACATCTTCGTTGTACTCTTTAATTTGACAACATTATTTTGCTTCGTTCTTAAAGAAACGTTTTAGATACCTGGGATTTTAGGCTCTTTATGGTGTCTATTGTAATGAAATATTATATTATTTAATAAATATTATTAAATTAATATCCTCAAGCAGATATATTTAATATTTATTAAGAAATAAGTGAAAAGGAACAGAAACATAACATTTAATAGAGAAAACTGTCGTAAAAAGGGAAACAATTTTATTTTCTTACGAAGTATTTTGAATCATGGAAATGTCAACTATAAAGAACTCTTTTTATGGTTTGTTTACAAATAGTTAACTACCTAAACAGACGGAGTATAACTAACTTTACTTTACTCTGTTTACCACTTGTGTTTGTTTGGGTGTTTTTGTTCTTAGGGTAGTATGGTAAGAAATGCCTACCTTTAAACTAGGTTAAGCTTATGTAGTTTTAAAATATCGACGAGCGAGAGCTATTTACTAATTATACTTAAACACCATTTCACTGCATAGTTTAAATGCAATTGTAAATTGTATAATAATTTTGTGTTTTTGTAAATAATATAAGCGATTCAAATCGATGGTAAAATGTATTACATTTGTGTAGGTATTACGGTTAATTTATTTTATTAGATTGTTAACTACTATTAGGTACTGTGTAAACAACAAACGGTGAACAGTAAATATTTTCAATTTTAGTTCTTTGTGGGAGCAACAATTAAGAAAATACCTAACTCATTCAAATCAATTTTGAACGATGTATTTATATCTGAAATCTGTAAACATAAAATTAAAAAGAACTAAAATTAGAATCATACTTTGAACAAATCTATCGTCTGATATTTCCACAGTAGCTGAAAATTCTTAAATGTTAATTTGTATTTACTGTAAAATAAATGTAATATTGTAAATAATAACTTCTTTGATTTTGCAGCTACTTACTTACTATTGTATATATTGGCATTAGCTATACTTAGGATGTTATCTGTAAACTTTAGTGAAAAAAAAATAGTAGGATTCAATTTTCAGATGGCGTTTCAAATTGATTGGCATAAATTTTGACAAGTGGCAACTCTTTTCCCCTATACTTTTTATACTCTTTGCATCAAGTATGTATTTAGTTACATTAGTGTCAAACTGCCGAGTGTCATCTGTCTGTGACCTGACCAATGATGAAAGAAATCAGAGGATATGAATTGTGTACGTACTTAGCGTGCCAAAATGGAAACAAACATGGCGTAGACTCGGCCCGTTGCCCATTAGATAGTGTAGGGATAAAACTAGCTGCCCTCAATCGAATACATTTAAATCATGTTTCTTTTGACTCGACTTTTGTCGAAGGTTAATTAAAATTATTTATACATTCAATGTGATGTGGTTTGAAAGCGGGGAATTAGTTTGCCGCTACAGAACATAATAAATAATATTACTGAGTAGGTAAGTCAACTTTTCCAAGTGCCGCATTTCTAAATCAAGTACAGGTATCATATAAAACCACTTTAATTACAATCTCTGAAACAGGTTTTATTTTTTTCTTACAGTTTCACAGTTTACATGATTGCAAATAAATGAAGTTGATACAGTTGTTCTAAGGCAAAGTCAAAGCATTTATTTTAATTAACCATAATTTGGTACTTAGGTACTTTTGAAACGTCAACAAATACAAAATAAATAGTAGTCTGTCAGTCAGTCAGTGAAACTAGGTGAAGCTAAGTGCTCATTCCAAAATGTAGATTTGAATGGCGAAGAACGAGCAAGATATTTCAAAGCTGAACAGTTTTAATTATTTTTATTTGCATTTGATAGTTTTTATCATCATCAGTTTGGATGGTTTAATATAACGAGATCATTGAGTGCTCAGCTAGTAGACAGGCTCACGGGCCCCTAACTCCAACTGACTAATAATCGATGTCTATGACAGTAGATACATAAAAACCTTGTCAAGATTAGCTATCACCTAGTATAATAAATTATATCCAGTCGAACCCTGGGTATCATAAAGATCTTTAGATAAGTAAGCAACTACCTACCTACTCAGCTCCTTACAGTGCCTTATATTATATAAGTACAAAGTATGCCGTAGAAGTGAAGATAGTAAACATAAGCATTATTTTTATTATTAGGTATACCATGTTGTAATAACAATATTTCATCAATGGCTTAGCTATATTAATTTACTTGTTAACTGTAGCTGCTATCCAACTGGTGTATCTTGAAATACGAGCATTGACACCAGGGTAAAATGAATGAGCACATTCATAACCCCACGACGTTACACCAACGATGATATCCTTATTATGAGCAAGGGGACCGCCAGAGTCTCCCTGGCAAGCGTCCTTGCCTCCGACGTCCAAGATACCGGCACACAGCATGTTGTCGGTTATGTCAGGCCAGCCCCCGTAGCCGGGTTGGGTCTTCAGATATGCATAGCGCTCAGCACACAGCTTTTGGTTTATAATTTTCACATCAACATGCATGAGTTGCTGAGATGATGGACCGTTAGACTGGAAAATGGAAATATTAAACAATAATTATTTAAGTACCTACCCCATTGGTCTAATTCAAACTTTGATGTAAAATAAGATAAATAAATGCACAATAACTGCCTACCCAAAGTGTGCCCCATCCAATATGTGTGACGGTAGTACCATCGGCGAGGTTATAATTGGCACCAGCTATTCGGGCAGGCTGGACATTGTTTGAGTATACGGCTGCGTTGTTAAGACGTACGATGGCCACGTCATTTTCTAAGACGGCATCTACGTATTGTGGGTGCAATACCAGCTGGCTTATAGCATGAGTAGTGCCACCATTGTTTGATAGCGAACTACCGAGAATTACACGCCATTGCGATGCATGGTCGCCACTGAAAGTTTATTAAATCTATTAAAAAAATTTAACTTACAGGCTACTTTAAGGTGTGGTATCTGAAAGCGAAGCTATTTTCACCGAATTGGTGTAGGATTAACGAAATCAAAATGGTCACGCGAAACTTATATCTATTCGCTGTTATAATTTATGGGATATAGTCTACTCACTAAAAGCAGTGAGCTGCAGATAGTACAGCTGTGGGGGTCAGCAGGGAACCTCCACAAGCTTGTGACCAAAACATACCCAAAAATCGAAACTGCATGTTTGACATGTAAGGGTAAGTCTGGATGTTAGTAGGGGAGCCACCAACGATGCGATTCGGATTCTTGGGCACCGCTGAAATAGGATTGGTGTATAGGTAATACAATAGGTAGGTACATACATAGGTTCAAAAGCTAGGAATATTCACTAGGAACATAAACAAATTAACTGAAAAATAAAACTTCTAACCGATCTTCTTACTACAAGTTAAACTGAATTATATTTTAGAAACTTAAAATATCATACCTAAGGCTGAGCCTAGAAGAGCGCAAATAATAATAATCACATTCATTTTCAAACACAAATTAATAACTGTTAAATGTTGTTTAATCATTGCAATCGACGTCGGTACGTGTATTTATAGCAAACTTTTTATCTTTATTAGTGCTGTTTATAATGCTAAGATAATGATAAATTCGCAAGACAATAACAAAAACCCTGAATCCATCCCATCAATTCTAAGCACAGTTGACGCGGTGACTGGGCTACTGGCTGCCGCGCAACGTGTAGCGCGTTCGATTCCCGCACGGAGCAACTCTTTGTGTGACTTACAAATTGTTGTTTCGGGTCTGGGTGTCATGTGTATGTCAAATTGAATGTTTGTTTACGCACTCACGATATAGGAGTCAATCCTAGTGCGGGGCATGGTTTTTTTAATGTAGGTAATTGTCCTGAGTACCTAATATATTACCTACATAGATCAGTAGTAAGTACTTTGGACTGACTCATAAAAATAAAATAAAGTAAATCATTAAGTACTTAAAATCTTATTTAATAATTAGGTACATATTCAGTTAAAGATCTATAATTTTGATATAAATAAATAAACTACAGATAAGAACAGTTCATTCAGTATCAGTTCAGCATCCTTCATTCTTTACCAATCAATATTTTAATTTATGCGTTGGCTGAAATCCAGTTTGCGTATCTTGAAACACGAGCATTGACACCAGGGTAGAATGAATCAGCGCATTCGTAACCCCAAGAGATTACACCAACGATGACGTTGTTGTGAGCGAGGGGACCGCCAGAGTCTCCCTGGCAGGCGTCCTTGCCTCCGACGTCCAAGATACCGGCACAAAGCATGTTGTCGGTGATGTCAGGCCAGTTTTCGAAATTAGGTTGAGTCTTCAGATAGGCGTAGCGGTCGGCACATAGCTTCTGGTTGATGATGTTAACATCAACGTGCATGAGTTGCTGAGAGGATGGGCCGTCGGCCTGAAAATTATTCATAATATTCATTGGATATTTCATTGTCTATTAATATGTGTAACATCATCCATAATTGTTAAATATTACATATGTAATATTATTAGATTATGTATTTAAACGATATAGGAGTCACTATATTCGACCAGGATAACATTCTGTCTGTCTGTTATTGTAAGTCTGCGTCACAGTATAAATGTATACTATGTCTGCGTATAACTAATCCGAAAATGAATAAATAACTAAAAATTACCCAAATTGCGCCCCATCCGATATGTGTCACGGCGGTGCCATCGGCGAGGTTATAATTAGCACCAGCGATGCTGACAGGCTGGACAGTGGTAGAGTACACAGCAGGGTTGTTGAGGCGTACAATGGCGACATCATGTTCCAAAGTGGCACGATTGTACTGAGGGTGCAACACTAGCTGGCTGACCTGGTGAGGACGGCCACCGCTGCTTGCCCACGTGCTTCCGAGGACTACACGCCATTGCGAGGCCTGGTCACCACTGAAAATAAAATAAACGAATAGCAATTTAAATTGTTTGTTGACAATGGCAGATACCTACTAATTCAACGGATTTTACGTTGTTTTTACTCACTAGAAGCAGTGTGCTGCAGAGAGCACGGAGTATGGAGTTAGCAAGGATCCTCCACAGGTCTGGGACCAGAAGAAACCCCACCAAAGGAACTGCATGTTGGACATGTAAGGGTAATCCTGGATTGTAGTAGCCGAGCCACCAACTATACGGCTCGGGTTGTTGGGCACAGCTGGAACAGAACAATACGATTATAAAATTTCTATTCGATATCTACAGCAAATAACAATCATTAAATATTTTAAAGTACTTACCAAGGGCTGAGCCCAGAAGAGCTAAAAGAAGAACTACACGCATGTTGAAGAAGCAAGAAATAGAAAAACTGTGAATATGATATTTTAAATTACTTACCTTTAAATATCGCAATCTTTAGCTTTATCAAATCCAACTGGTATTATAAGATAAAGATAATTTTGTGAAATCAATCAAATTGTTACGTTAATGTACCTATATAGTAAACCTCACTAATTATTATTGTGGTATTTTCCCAATTTTAATGATTGTAATGGAAATTACCTATGTACATTCTTTTTTGAAGGACATAATCTGAATTTTTCCCAAGTATAGACGTATAGATTGTTTATATCTTAAGGTAACTATCCCACCTAGAAATCTCCCGTACCTAAGCATAACTACGAATGTGGGCAGTCCACATGATTTCTAGCACTAACCTCCGAGTGTAGCAGACAAACTTATACAATTATTTCTAAAGCTGGATTTATGATAAAATCAAAATATGTATTATAATAATAGGAAACTAATCGCTATGATAAAATAAAGGAAATATAATTAAATTACTAGCTTCTGCCAGCGGCTACGCCCGCATTCTTGTTCCAATCTTACTATGTTAACTTATGTTACTTAATGTTAATATTCGGAATGCGAACGTTTGTGTGTATGTTGGTTACTCAATGACGGTAAAATGCCTAAAGGGATCGAGATGTATAGATTATAAATAAAATACCTAAAATAAAATAATTTTATTTCATAAACTATTTTGTACATAAAGACATTAGGAACAACCTTTATGCAAGAGTATGCTTGTGGTAGGCGGACCTTCTATGCTTATGACATTCATTAATTGGTATGTTTAATACCAAAGGTCTGGTGGTTTGGAATAACACGTTGGCTACTATTTATCCGACGGAAAAGCAGGCGAAGCCGCTGGCTGAAGCTTTAAAATTTAAATCATGAGTCTTGATGTCCCTAAGTAAACTTCTATTTGAATGAAATGAATGAAATAAAATAGGTAAGTTTATTCGGCATAAGACATGCACGCCAGAAAAGACATATAAATATAAAAAAGTATAAAAACAGAAAAATTAAAAGATAACAGGTAAATTATAAAACTAAAACAAGCCAATTATTCAGGTGCGCGTTGTTGGCGGACATGCCCAATCCGAACGGGTCACCAACTCAGCATAAAGCTGGGCACAATGAGCACCCAACACTAATTTTCAGTTGGCACCCCTGCAGTGACACACGGACGAGAGCAACACATACTTGTAATCCACATATATCCATTTCTCCACCGTACCTAAATTGGATCTCCAGACCAAACGAATAACCCTTTCCTTTATCTCCGGTATGATGCGTTCTTGTGCAATTAGTCCATTTTGCTTCACACCAGTGCAGTTGGAAGATATCCGGAAGATTATCCTCGCCATCAAATCCAGGGCTGTGGGATGTGACGGTATATCGCGTGATATGATTACAGGTATACTGGACCTCCTCCTTCCGATCATAACTCATATGGTAAACCGGTCCTTGTACTCTAAAATATTCCCATCCTTGTGGCGCAAAGCCTATGTCCGTCCCATTCCAAAAATATCTAATCCTAGTCTTCCTACACATTTTCGTCCTATATCCATCCTTCCCTTTTTGTCGAAGGTGCTTGAGGCCTGTGTCCATAATCAACTCTCGAATTTCATTTACCGTAACTGTCTTATTATTCCTCTACAGTCTGGATTCAGGCCTGGGTGCAGTACTGTAACTGCACTCCTCAAGGTCATTGGCGATGTGAAGGCAGGAATGGAGGACACTGAGATCACAGTATTGGTTTTGGTGGACTTCTCAAACGCCTTCAACATGGTCGACCATGATATCCTACTAGCTATCCTTTCCCATTTTTCGGTCTCTGATGACGCACTGGAATGGTTTTCTTCTTATCTTCAGGAGCGTCAGAAATCAGTTCACGTTGATGAGATCTCATCAAACTGGAACCACTTGCAGACTGGCGTTCCTCAAGGCGGTATTCTCTCTCCTCTTTTATTCTCTATTTTCATAAACCTTATTACTTCTGAACTTCAGTGTGCGTACCATCTGTATGCCGACGACCTACAGGTGTACTGTCGGGCTAGGATCGAGGGTTTGCCTGGGGCAATCGCGAGAGTGAACGCTGACTTAGCTGCTATATATAATTGGTCTGAGAGGTTTGGAATAGCTGTGAACCCGAATAAATGTCAGGCGATTATGGTGGGAAGTTCTCGTACCTTGTGTAAGGTTGACAGTGCATCTGTGCCGCCTGTATTGTTCAACGGTGCGATCATACCATTCAGCAGCGACGTGAGGAATCTTGGCTTGCTTGTTGACAGTAACTTAAACTGGCGTGCTCATGTCACTTGCACGGGTCACCGGGACGCTGCGGGCCCTGTATCGTTTGAGGAACTTTCTTCCGTCCTCTGCTAAGATAATGCTTGTCCAGTCCTTGGTTTTCCCCATTATTGATTATGCTGATGCGTGTTTTTTCGACCTGAATGCAGATCTACTTAACAAACTTGACCGACTTTTGAATAGCTGCATTCGATTCGTCTTCAACCTGCGCAAATATGACCATGTCTCTGCATTTCAATTGCAACTAAAGTGGTTGCCCATACGTCAGCGCAGGGAACAACGGGCGCTAACCACTTTATTCTCCCTTCTTAATTCTCCCAATTTTCCTACTTATCTTTCCCCCTATTTCCAGTATGTGAGCGCTAACCACAGCAAATACCTCCGTTCTTCTAACAATCTTCTGTTGCAATGTCCCACACATCGAACTGACTTCCTTCACTCTTCTTTTTTCGTCCAATCCATCTTGCTGTGGAATGCGATGCCGACGGATATCAGGACGGCGACCAGTCGTCAGTCCTTCAAATTTAAGGTACGCGAGTATCTACGGAAGAAGCTAGCAGACTCAACACACACTTAGGCCTTGTATGTATTTATGTGTGTATGTATATGTATGTATATATGTTATATTATGTTATATATTTTTCTTCGTATATTTAGGTATATATATGTCCATATATATGTCCACACTTATTTGTCTACTGTTCGTTTTGCATTACGGATATATTTTAATACTTCTTCATTATATTTAATAAGTATATTATATTCTGTGATGTGTATAATTACATATGATGTTAATGTTAACTTTAATCTTAATGTTAATTATATGTAATACTTGTCAATGTATGATCAAAACTCACAAATGTTAAACGTTTACACCTACTATTGTGTCTCTCTGCATCACCCTAAGGTTGACTGTTAGAGAATGCCACTAGGCATTAAGTCCGCCTTTGTATACCTACATGAAGTGTAAATAAATAAATAAATACAATATATCCAAAAACTACGTTTTAATATTGTGGGTTCTAGGTGAAGTGTTCAGACAGATGAAGAAGAGATACCTATATGATTATATGTACCTATATTAAAAATATTACCACATGAAGAAGAGACAGATAATAAAAATATAATTAAAAAAAATGTAATTAAAATAATATTTATGAAACGACTTCAAGAAAAGAAGGAGGTTCTCAATTCAACCTGTATGTATGTATGTGTCGATTATCGATTATCTCGCGATTGGTTATACCGATTTTGATGCGCTTTTCAGAAAAACGATTGTTACACTTAGGAGAAGGTTTTAGAATACTCACCGACTTCCAAAAAGAGGGGGTTGAAGTCGATATTTTAAACGTAGTTTATAAAAGAATTATTTAATACAGATTGAAGTTTACTGGATATTTCCTACCTAGGAAGCTACAATTAACGGCATTCGTAAGTGCCTAAAAAGTTTTATCAATAGGTACTTAATGCCCAATACGCTAGTTATTAGTAGTATCGCAGATTATAATTAGCAATCAGAAAGTACATTTTGATAAGAATTATTATACACGGCTATGTGCCTAGTTATCTAGTTATTTTGATTACGTTTCCAGTTCTTGTGTTGTTCTCAATTTATTATGATTTTAGGTAGGTACACCTACCTGTATCATCTGCTTGTCCGTCCTACTACTTAGTTTCAGTACATTTTTGATAGGTACACTTACTGTAGTAAAGTACTTACTTACATACTGAAAATATTGACGAACTTTATTCCTTTACGTAAAGAAAAATTATGAACGACTTCTATAAAAAAGAAACCCATTGGTAATAGGTATGTATAATTTAATTTGCGTTAGCCACAATCCATTCGGTATATTGCCGGAGGTTATACGCCGGGGTCGTGCGGTCCATGGCCCTCTACGGCGCCCCTGTTTGGGCGCCGAACCTGCTGCAGCGGCCCGCTCGGGCGCTGCTTATGGCACAGAGGGTCATGGCGATCCGAATGATCCGCGGATACCGCACGATCTCTGGGGAGTCGGCGAACCTCCTTGCCGGATTACCGCCGTGGGATCTGGAGGCGAAGGTGCTCGCGCGCGTGTATCGCATGCGCGCGGAGGCACGTCGCCGGGGCGAAACTCCGCTGCCGCGCCAGATAAGTGCGTGGCGGGATGAGCTCCGGCGCGATCTCATGGCGGAATGGCAGCAACGACTGTCGCAACCGAGGGCTGGGCTCGCTGCCATTGCAGCGGTAAGTCCCTCTTTGAGGAGTGGCTTTGAGAGACGCTACGGCGTCCTCACCTACCGCCTGACGCAGGTCCTCACGGACATGGAAGTTTCGGGAGGTACCTGTGTCTGATGGGGGAGGAGGTAACGCCCGGGTGTCATCACTGCGAGGACCACCCTGAGGACACGGTGGAACACACTGTTGCGGAATGCCCTGCGTGGGCTGAGCACCGCCGTGCCCTCAGGGAAGTGATCGCGATGGAGACCTCTCGCGTCCGGGCCTAGTTCAGGCCATGATGCGGAGCGAGGGGGACTGGGATGCCGTCTCCTCCTTTTGCGAAGCAGTCATGCTGGCTAAGGAGGAGGCGGGACGCGTGAGGCAGCGAAGCGCTGCCTCCTCGCAACCCAGCCATCGCGAAGGACACACCGGGCGTCGGGATCGCGGGACGATCTCCGGCCACCGTAAGCGCGGGCCTGCGAACGGCGAGCATGGGTGGCTCCCCGTCCGACCAGAAACAGACCCGAGCGTACGGCGCGTCGCGTTCCGCGCGCGCCTCAAAGAGCCATCAGACCACCACAGATGGGGCCCAATAGGGCCGATGCCGATTCGGATCGCGGAGAACCTAACGGGTAACCGGGGCTCCGGCTCGACGTGCAGGAGAAGGAACGGGGTGGTTTTTAGTCAGTAAGAGTCTGACACTCCCTTCCGCCTCACCCAGGCGGGAGCAGTCATTCGATGATTTTCCCCCCTTAAAAAAAAAAAAAAAAAAAAAATTCGGTATATTGAGTAACTCGTGCACTGACTCCAGGATAGAAAGGATCTGCGCATTCAAATCCCCAAGATGTAATTCCAACAACAATATCTCCATGCTGAGCGAGGGGACCGCCAGAGTCTCCCTTGCAGGCGTCCTTTCCGCCCACATCCAGGATCCCAGCGCACACCATGCCGTCATTAACGTCTGGCCAATGTTCATAACCAGGCTGAGTCTTCAGGTAAGCGTAACGAGTTGCACACTCTTCCTGGTTGATGACGTTCACGTGGACATGTAGCAGCTGCTCGGATAATGGGCCGGCAGTCTGTAACATTCCAGATTTTTATTTTTAACATCTGCAATATTCCATAAGTATTCAGTTACTTTTATCCAGATGTCTATTGGCCTATTATTATTGTTAGACCAATGAAACAATAACAAAATGTCTGTCAACGTACCCATTGATAGCCCCAGCCTACGTGTGTTACAAGGGAGCCATCAGCCAGGTGGTACTGAGTCCCAGGAATCCTTGCTTGTTTAACAGTGTTGGAGAATACAGCTGGGGCGGTGAAGCGGACGATGGCAACGTCATTGTTCCAGATGTTGTGTATGTATTGCGGATGCATAATAACTCGCTGAATAGTATGGACGGAGCCACCTTCACCGTTTCTAAATGAGGTACCAAGAACCACCCGCCACTGCCAGTCAGCGTCTTCACTGAAAAAAAAAAAAATTGTGTCAATAAGAATTAATTGGGCTACTAACAATAAAATCAAATTATTTTCTTTCGATAATAGGTACTTTACTTTACTTACTAGAAGCAATGTGCAGCAGAAAGCACCGCTGTGGAGGTCAGAAGAGAGCCACCGCATCTTTGACCCCAAAAAAACATGCCTGACGATGAGTACTGCATGTTAACCATGTAAGGGTACTCCTCGACCGTAGTTTCTGTACCACCAACGATACGGCTAGGATTTCTCGGGACCGCTATAAAAATAGTAATTATACACTTAGGAATACATTATTTGAACAACGTTTATCAAATTGTAATAATTGCAAAAAGAATCCACCAAATTATTATCTGTATTATACTCAGCCTCGGAATTTTTCATCCATCCAAAAATTCCATGAAAAGACCATGTAACTACAATATTTTTAATAATTAATTTGAGAATAAAGAACGCTGCAAAAGAATTCCTCGATCTGCAACTTACCGAGAGCGGAACCTAGAAAAGCTAGGAGGATGACGAGACGCATGGTGCTGGATTTGAGGCAGTGAACAATGCTGAAATGCCCTCAGCTACAGTGTCTAAGTATATATACTAATTGTTGTACTAGGTAATAAATAAATTCTTTATCTGTAACATTCATCGAATTAATCTTCGATTTTGTGTTAAGAAAACCCCACAAATTTATTTTTATCATTTGTTGAATTACTCGATCGAATACAAATTACTACACACAAGCTTTTAATTTATTGGAACTTTGATCAAGAAATAATGCATTTATTGTGGTAGGTAACCACATTGTGCATTGCACAGTGCGACCACCGACACCCAGCACGAAGTTTTGAATTCAGTGCGTACCCTAATTACGGTAATTAGAAAACCAAGCAGGACGTTATGTTTTTTTTGGAATTCTCAATGAAAATGTCTAATAGGAAATTGATAAAAACGCCGAAAATAGCTAGTAGTTCCTAGGAATTTTCAGCCTACGCAATTGGGGATGATGTGACCTTCAGTTCATTCAATAATGAAAGATATAATATAAGCAAAATTAAAAAAAATCTTTTTAAAAGAAGTAAACATTATGCTGACGTTAACATCATGAAGTGTAGGCACATGTAAAAAATGTATTTTTAACCGACTCCAAAGAAAGGAGGTAGTGCTCTGTTTGTCCTGTCCTGTATGTATGTATGTACGCGATTATCTCGCGATTGGCTGAACAGATTTTGATGCGGTTTTCAGAAAAGTATTTGTTACACTTAGGAGAAGGTTTTAGTATATTAATTAACCGACTTTAAAAAAAAGGGGCGGTGATAGTTTTTCTATATGATGATATGAATAATATAATTTTAGTAGGTAGGTACTGTTACCGTATCTTCGAGCTTACTTATAATTATTTGAACCTATACATTGCTTTGAAGTTTTAAGCGATCGTGGTCGATGATAGACGAATGTTCTACCTAAGGTTTACGCCTGTACTTAAGTAATCATATACTAATGACTAGAATTCTCCAATCCAAACGGCACTGTGGCATCTTTAAACATTCATGTTCTATATAGGTAGTTTTTATATTGAAATAAATTTCTGATTCATATGGAAAATCTGTCAACAGATTATATAGAATCTACTTAGTCTACTACTTATCTATTATAGGTACAATTCACGGTACAATTCTACAGATATGTATGTACCTATAGTACCTACTAAAAAAACTTTTCGACTTCTCTAATCGCCTGAGGTTCAAAAAATATGCACAAAAGTAAAAGCTCGTATTGCGCTTTTAAAACCTCCAGAATCAATCGCAATCAATCGAATTTTAGGGCTCTTTCATATTTAAAGGGTAACAATATTACTTATTTTACCCGTTTGTCCGTTCGTGTCACAATTACCTAGTAAAATCTTTTATTGAATATAATTGCTTTCATGGTGTTTAGTAGTTGTTTCTTAGGCTAAATTATCGACATTATTATTAAGCTACCTATTAAAAAAATCCGTATAAATTCCCATAATAAAACTGGAAATATCGTGTTCGGAACTGATAATCATATTAATCATATCTATTAAACAATTTCTTTTCAGCTGTATAATTGGATTACATACGAAACAAGATTAAACTGACGCTTTGGGGTTTTCTTAATGAAAAACCTAAGATTACGTACCATGACAAATGATTTTGATAAAGATAGCAGAAATTAGTATAAATACTAAGGTCTGGTATCAATTCTCCATCAATTCATATTATACAACTTCGGTAGCTAGAACCATGCGTGCCATCATCCTCCTGGCCCTTTTGGGCTCCGCTCTCGGTAAGCAAAAGCGCGATTTGTCGCATAAAAATACTTTTAAGCACCTTTTGGCAATTTTTTTTTTGAAAATTGTAGAACTATTGTTTCTTAGAAAATAGATCTAAATAATGGGGGAAGATACAGCAAAACTGTCTCTAACTGCCGGTGATGATTTCAAAAACTTAGATGCTGATTACAATTAAGTAATAAACATTTTTTACTGTTTTATTTTTCTAGCGGTCCCTAGGAACCCCAGCCGCATCGTGGGTGGTTCAGCCACAAATATTCAGACGTACCCTTACATGGCGAACATGCAGTACTCATCATTAGGCATCTTCTTCTCACATAGTTGCGGAGGTTCCTTGTTGACTACGACTTCTGTGCTCTCCGCTGCTCACTGCTTCTAGTAAGTAAAAATAATAATGATAATTTCGGTACAGTGGGCTGTTTTTTTTAAATATTCATTTTGTAGAATAATAAAAAAAATTACTAGTGTGTAACGCGGCGCGTAACCGTTACATATGGTTACATTAGTGTTTCCCAAATTAAAAAACCGTAAAATTATTTGCACGATGTTTTGGGTACCTACTTGTAAAATGCACGTAGTAAGTAATGGACAAGCTTATTATAACTAGTATTTAACCAAAATACTTATAGTGGACAAGATAGTCAAGCCCTTCCGATATGGTATTAAAAAAACTGCACACTGCTGTTGTTTTAGTACTTATAAAAATATTCTTTTCAGTGAAGACTTTGAATGGCAATGGCGCGTCGTCCTTGGGACCTCGTTCCGAAGCCAAGGTGGCTCTGTCCACTCGATCCAGCGTATCATTATGCACCCTCAATACATCGATGAGATTTTGAACAATGACGTCGCCGTCGTTCGTCTCAACGTACCGGCTGTGTACTCCAGCAGCATCCGACCAGCGAGGATTCCAGGCCCTGAATATCACTTGGCTGACGGATCTCTTGTAACACACGTAGGCTGGGGCAGACAATGGGTATGTTAACGATCATAATAATGAATATAAAAGAAATATATTTGTATATTCAAACTTTAAGTCCAAGTCCAGCCTATTAACAAAAACTGTTCTCTGATGAAGGTATCTATAGGTTCAAATTGTAAATTTTAATGATGTTTAAATAAAAATCTGGAATGTTACAGACTGCCGGCCCATTATCCGAGCAGCTGCTACATGTTCACCTGAACGTCATCAACCAGGAAGAGTGTGCAGCTCGTTACGCTTACCTGAAGACTCAGCCTGGTTATGAGGATTGGCCAGACATCAACGAAGGCATGGTGTGCGCTGGGATCCTGGATGTGGGCGGCAAGGACGCCTGCCAGGGAGACTCTGGCGGTCCCCTCGCTCACCATGGAGACATTATCGTCGGTGTCACATCTTGGGGATTTGAATGCGGTCATTCCTTCTACCCTGGAATCAGTGCTCGCGTATCTCAATATACTGATTGGATCGTGGCTAACGCCAATAATAATTAAATGAACGGTTCATAGTACCATCTATATGCTCTGTGGGTACCATATAGGTACGCATACTTAGTTCTTAGGAAAAAAATGTACATAATAATTGATATAATTTTGTAAATAAAATATTAATAGAAATTACAGCCGTCTTTCTATTCCAAAATACGTACTAAATTATCAATTAAATCATCACATAAATTATGACCACCACGGATGGGGCGCAATAGAGCTGATGCCGATCCGGAGCCGCGGAGAACTTACCGGGTTACCGGGGCTCCGGCTTAAAGTGCAGGAGTACGAACGGGGTGGTTATTAGTCAGTAAGAGTCTGACACTCCGTCCCGCCACATCCAGACGGGAGAAGTCATTGGATAATTTTCCCCCCTTAAAAAAAGGTCTGATGCCGATACGGAGCCGTGGACGACGTACAAGGTTACTGGGGCTCTGGTTCGAAGTGCAGGAGCAGGAACAGGATGGTTATTAGTCGGTAAGTCTGACACTCCCTTTCGCCTCACACGGGCGGGAGAAATCATTCGATGATTTAGCCCCTTAAAAATCTCTCAGTATTAATTTACCTACCTATAATTCTATTACTCTACATTAATATAGGCTGATGTGATGATTATTCGTTATGATACCTTCGTAAATTTATCGTTATGATACCTTCGTAAATTTAAATGATGCTGGGAAAGCTAATCCTTACTTATATTATAAATCGGAAAGTGAGTTTGTTTGTTTGTTTGTTCCGCCTTCACGCCGTAACTACTTGACCGATTGCTTTGAAATTTTGCAGACGTAAAGTTAGAAGTCTGGATTAACTCGTCGAGTACCGTATTTATAGACACAATTAAAGAACAATAGGTTGCGGTCACCGGTGACAGCTTGGTGTTTGACAGTTTAAATAATAGGGTAGGTACTTTTTATCCCGGAAAAATTGATATTTCCTAGGAAAAACAAAAATATTGGTATAGATGGCGCTGTATGTATTGGTATAGATGGTGTTGTATGTCATTTAAAACCAGTCAACGAATTACCTACTTATTGGAAAAATCTAAATAGCGCGATATAACCGAATTCCACGCGAGCGGAAAGCTATTTGTTTGTTGGCCTGTCTTAAACGGCAGAACGGAGGTACCTACTAATTAACGTGATTTTTTAACTAAAGGTAGTTGAAGGGATGGATAGTCACATAGGTTACTTTTTATACTTTTGTGACGCGAGCGAAGCCGCGGGTAAAAGCTAGTGGAATATAATTTACTAAACTTAATATGTACCTATAACTTAACAAATACTTCTACCGTTTCTAAAAAAAATGGAAAAATTGGTTTTACCTACTTTTTCAGTGCCTACACTTGCTTTATATATCGCTAAGGAACTAATTAACGGAGTTTCCCTCGATATCGATTTGGTCACAATCAATAATTTTATCAATTTAGTACCTAGTCGTAAGTAAGTCTTGATAAAATTACCTAGGGAAAAACGACAAAAGGATTATTTACTAAATGGTATGATTGTAATGGCTGAATGGTAGCAAGTTCAACTACCGAGCTGGACGTTTCGAGTTTCAAGTCTTCATAGCACTGATATGATAAAGGTATAGTATGAAATACTAATAAAAATAAGAACTTTGGAAATCGGTTCACAAATGGCGCAGTAATCGGTGAACAAACAAAAAACAACAAAATCCTTTTTTGAAGTCGGTAAAAAGAAACAACAGTATGTTTATGAATTTACCGTCGAGATGGATCTTAAATTCAACCCGTAGACAATAGTTCGACATCTACGTTATTATTACATCTATGCTTCATAGTCATATGCCAAACTTCAACGTTTGATAGCGAGAGACGCACAGTGAGAAATTGAGAATTTCCTTTTTTTGAAGTCTTATTTGTTTAGGTCATAACATTACACCTCTCCATAGCTGCCAATTTTAAACCGACTTCAAAAAAAGGAGAGGAAAAAAAATTCAACCGTTTATATGCTTTTTTTATGTTTGTTCGCCGATAACTCGTTCGTTCGTTGGAAAGGTCCCAGAATGGTCCTATGATAAGGAAATCAGGATCTAATGATGAAAGACCAGCGAAACCGAGGGGAACTATTAAAAATTATAGAGACGAATAATACATTTGTTAATTTTTGCATTAAATATTAAAAACTAGTACAATCTGATGAAGGTCTGGAATTGATCTGATAATGGAGCCGAAAGCAAGTCAAGGGAACTCCTCAACGGTTAACAGTAACTACCTTGTGTTTGGGTTTGATTAATTCGTGTTAATATGAACGCAATATATGCTAACGCCTAGCAAATTAACTATAGCACCATTAAAAAGTGCGTCTTGTCTATTGCTTCAAGTAACTTGTCTATTGCTCTCTTTAAGATCACTTATTAGTGATCTTAAATTAATTAATTGAATTTGACTATATCAGTTCTTAATATAATTTTCAATAGAATATGTAGCAATATTTTTCACGCTCATTTTGATACACGATCTGGTCGGGCTATTAACAAATCAGAAGGAGTCGGTTTTAATAAGTTAGTAACAAAATTAGGTATGTTTGAGTACATACTTTGCGCTATTTAATTTGGGAAATAGATTGAACATTGATTCCATTGTCTCCTGTCATGTGAGGGGATGACATCTTTACCGCTGCATCCACATTCGTTGAGACAACACGTACCTAGTAAAGTCCTCAAGTGTTTCGGTTGTGAGTCTCTAACAACTGAGTCTATTGAGAGTTTCTGATCATTGCGCACAGTTTCTGATTCAGTGCTATGTATTACTAAGAATTTCAAAAATAGACAACAATAACACGAAGGTATTTGGTAGGTACCTAATTTGCGCATGTAAATAATCGTACCTATGCCTTAGAAAACTCAGATGCTTTATGCTTTGTTTTAATTTAACCACATTAAACTTAAGCAGACAATTATATTTATTTTCTTACAGAGCAAAGACGTGACTTTACTATAATGTGTTTGAGTGTGCCTCGATGGCCGAGTGATCGCAAGTGCGACTGCCGGGCAAGGGGTCTCGGGTTCGATTCCCGGGTCGGGCTAAGTATTACTGAGTTTTTTAAAAGAAATCTCAGTGATAGCACGGAGTGCCCGGTATATGGCAATAGGCTCACCCCCTATTACATGGGACTCATAACATAAATAGTAAATAGTGAAAAGTGGGTATTACCTCTGCCTACCCCTTCGGGGATAAAAGGCGTGATGTTATGTGTTTTAAAATGTAATTGCAAATTAGCTCCGTACCTAGTTATTGCTAAAATTTATTATTGAGGCGTTTTATAGATTTAATTTCGCTCGTGCTATGATTTTAAGCGAACAATAATAAAAAGCTAAGCTATTCATTAGTTTTATAATAGAAAAGAAAGAAAAAGTCAATTAAGTAGGTACCTACCTAGTTCCTACCTTATTGCATTTGTATGCGCATTTCCTTAAAGGAACTTTTCAATCCTATATATTAATAATGCAGATCCCTACAACGTGAGTTCTCTATGAAATATTACAATGCGGTTTCCATAATTTTGTAACATTTCATGGTCTTAAAATCAGTCGTGTGACATAACCGCAAGTACGGCCTTACCTACATAACAGGCATAGGGCATCCTGTAGAATCTAACCTATGTATAATCTGTAGGTTATAGGTAGGGTAGATTTGATTTCAGAAAACAATCAAACTAGGTACACGTAGATTTCAGGTATTAATCAAAGGGAACGATGTTTAAGCCTTAAAATTATAATTTATTTTGTGAAACCCGTATTGTGTTTCAGTAGTTGAGTTGACATACAATTTATCACATTTCTTGTTAACATGGGATGACATAAAATGTCTTTTATTTAAGCGTTCTGAGCGATCCATTGTGAGTATCGGGAGACGCGAGCGTTGACACCAGGGTAGAAAGCATCAGCGCACTGGAAGCCCCAGGAGACAACACCGACGATGACATTCTTGTTGTGAGCGAGGGGACCGCCAGAGTCTCCCTGGCAGGCGTCCTTGCCTCCGACGTTTAAGATACCAGCGCACAGCATGTTGTCGGTGATGTCAGGCCAGTTTTGGTAGCCGGGCTGGGTCTTCAGGTAGGCGTAGCGCTCAGCACACAGCTGCTGGTTGATGACGTTGATGTCCACGTGCTGCAGTTGCTCAGGAGAAGAGCCGCCGCTCTGTACAATATAATTATCTCGTTACGCTAGTATAGGAACTTGATAGGTATGGCAAACCGAACTGCGAATTGTCGATTCATTTAATGAAAAGATTATGAATTATGATATAAAGCATAAGTAGGTAATGAAATCCTTACAGAGAGAGTACCCCATCCGACGGTGGTGACGAGGGTGTTGTCAGGAAGAGAGTAACTGCTGCCAGCGACGCTAGCGGGCTGGATGTTGTTGGAGTATACGGCAGGGCTGGCCAGACGAACAATGGCGACATCATGGTCGAGTGTGCTGGGGTTGTACTGTTGGTGCAGGACCAGCTGGGACACGGAGTGCAGAGAGCCACCGCTGGACGCGAAAGAGGTACCCAGGCGCACACGCCACTCGGCAGGAATGTCACCGCTGTGTTACAAAAGTAATGAATCAGTTTGAAGTAACAACAATGTTAGGAGAATTTATGGGTTAGTTCACTAAATATTTGGTGACATATACGATTTATGTTGGTAACAAAATCACAATATTGTCGAAGTCGGTAGGTACTCACAAGTAGCAGTGAGCTGCAGAGAGCACGGAGTTTGGAGTCAGCAGAGATCCACCGCAGGCCTGGAACCACCAGATGCCCCACAGACCGTACTGCATGTTGGACATGTACGGGTATTGGTCCACGGTGGTCGGGCTGCCGCCGACGATACGGCTGATGCTCTTGGGGACCGCTAAAGTGAAAGAAACACATCATTTAGTAATATTTATAATGTAAAGTTATATTTATTGATTAAAAGTCTATTTATTAGAATAATTTAAAATAATTGGTACTATCTAGTAGGATTTATTTGAAATATTATAACTCACCGAGAGCGGTGCCCAAAAGGGCTAGGAGGATGATGACGCGCATTGTTGTTGTCGACCAAGTGACTGCTCGATACAAATGGTCAAGACAAATCCCGTTCTTTTATATGAAACGTTGTTATCAATATCTTTTAATTACTTATCTTGTAGGTACTAGATTAAATAATTTTAAGATACACTAGGTACGTAATATTACGGTTATCTGGGAAAACCAGAAAAGTGTATTTGGCGTAAGAAGTAGGTAGATACGCACTTATAAAAAAGTATAGTTGTTCTAATTTCCGTAGATGGATAAACAACAAACATTACGAAATCGCTTTTCGCTATTAATGATAATAATAAATAATAAATCATTTATTTCAGACTAGTTGGTCCATATTAGGTTAGTAAAAAAGATACTTATAGACTATGTTAGTAAAATATAAAACTACCGAATAAACCACTGCAACAACCTAAAATACTGGGGCACCTGCCGAAGGCTCACAGGTAACGTGAACCTCGCTATAACTATTGTCATCTTTGGTCCGTTCAATAACAGCGGGGTTACCAAACACGTATTACAAAATAAGGAGAATTTTGCGTCTCAAGAGTTTAAGACATAGTTACACATCTAGGTAAATTTCATGGGCCTCGGTATACATATCTGTTATCACGTGTCATTATTTTAAGTGTTATTTATTTTTAAGTGGGGAAAATCGTCGAATGTCTGCTCCCGCCTGGGCGAGGCGGGAGTGAGTGTCAGACTTACTGACTAAAACCCAACCCGTTCCTTCTCCTGTACGTCGAGCCGGAGCCCCGGTAACCCGTTAGGTTCTCCGCGACTCGGAGATCGGCATCGGCCCTGTTGGGCCCCATCTATGGTTCTTTGAGGCGCGCCCGGACCGCGATGCGCCATACGCTCGGGTTTGTTTCTGGTCGGACGGGGAGCACCATGCTCGCCGTCCGCAGGCCCGCGCGTACGGTGGCCGGAGATCGTCCCGCGATCCCCGACGCCCAGTGTGTCCATCGCGATGGCTGGGTTGTGAGGAGGCAGCGCTTCGCTGCCTCACGCGTCCCGCTTCCTCCTTAGCTAGCATAACTGCTTCGCAAAAGGAGACGGCATCCCAATTATTTAAAGTGTGAAAAGCCACGCTATGCTTCTTCTGCACGAATGGGCCGGCTCGACCAGAGTGATACTACGGCCTCACTGATAACCGACGTGAAACAACGCTTGCGTTGTGTTTCGTCATGTAAGTGAGGTTACCGGAGGCCCAATCAGCGCCTGATCTCCCCAATTCCCGAATCCCTAACAATCCTCAAATTCCTTATCCCCAGTTCGGTAAGGTACCTGTAACGCCTCTGGTATCTCGAGTGTCCATGGGCGGCGCCTAGAGAAATCTTTTTCTCATTGGTGGTCGTCTCATCAATCGAGGAAGTAAGAGGAATCAGCATTAATCACCACGCTTGGTCAAGGCGGATGTTTCCTATTTTAGATATGTCAGTTATTTCTAAATACTAAACCTAAAAAGTAAGTATACACTGTAGAGTGTATACCCGTGGGTATATCTAAATGTAGACAACATCTCATTGGTAGTTACTAGAACCCGTACAATACTTAGATATAATCGCACTCTTATGTCAGTCAGAATTCTAATCTATGTGTAAGCTGTAAGTAGGTTTGACCAATAATAATTATTTTTTGCTTTTTAGTTTTTACTTTTCGTTTGGTTTTAGTATTTGAAGTCGGTTTTTTTAAACGCAGTTTTTATTTTCATTTTATACTTTTTAGTTTAGTACAAGCATATATTAGATTATGTACAACACACATGTGGTGCAAAGTTTTTATCAATACAAATTATTCAAGCCCAAACACCAGGTTAAAACAAACAGTTAACCATTGAGGAGTTCTCTTAACTATCATACTACTTCATCATTGAACCTTTAACGACAATCACACCCCATCTAGGTGTAAAGTCCGTCGCGGCCTAACGGGTTGCCGGGGCTCCGGCTCGAAAAGCAAGAGTAGGAACGGGGTGGTTTTTAGTCAGTAAGAGTCTGACACTCCTCGCCTAACCCAAGGTGGGAGACGTCATTAGATGACTTTCCCACCTCAAAAAAGGTGTAACGTCCACATCATAAAAATTATCAAACCCAAACACAAGGTAGGCACTGGTAACCGCTGAGTAGTACCCTCAACTTTCGTAATACATCATTATCAGACCCTTATTGACAACCACACCACACCTAGGTGTAAAGTCCTCATCAATACAAATTAATCAAACTCAAACACAAGATAGCTACTGTTAACTGTTGAGGAGTTCCCTCAACTATGGTACTACTTCATCATCAGACCCTTATTGACAATCATATACCACCTGGGTATAAAGTCCTCGTCAATGCAAATTAATCAAACCTAAACACAAGGTAGCTACTGTAATATTTTTTAAAGTTTCCCTCGGTTCCCGTGGGATTCCATCATCAGATCCTGACTTGATGGCAATGGGACCAAATGACAAACTTACCCTTTCAAATAAAAAAAGATTTTTTTTATCGGTCCAGGCGTCTTCGAGTAATACAGTCAAATTCAGAACCTCCTCCCTTTTTGAAGTCGGTTAAAGAAGTTCGTATTCGATTTTATTTTATTTATTTATGTCTTAAAAGGGTGTGCAGATGAATAAAACAATATTTTGGTATATAAGTTTTATTGGAATGTCCTTTAGAATACGTACAAATTATCTAAGGGAAATTATGTATCTAAATAATTGAACCTTTAAGCTTTACGAGCAAACAATCCAAATTTCAAAAATATGGAGGTTAAATGTAATCGCTTTGGTTACTTACTTATCCGCAGTAAACAATAGGCATTGCGATATCGAACTTGCTCAGATTTTGTGAAAAAGAAATTATTACTTTTGAACAACGAAGGTAAATAACAAGGCTTTACTATTATAACGTGAGGAGTTTGTGTAATTTCAATTTGACAAAATATGAGCAAGTCTTCCAATGTAGAAAAAATAACAAATAACTTAGCTACATCCTAAACATGAGTGGTGGGAAAACTTATATAAATTCATGTTTCTAACACGGTTCACATACGAACTTGTGTTTATGTATATGTGTAACTAGAAAATGGTATTTCAAGCAATTGGTTAACGGTCATTTAATTTCTTTACGATCAAAGTATACAACAGCGGTTTTGCTTGAACTGTTACCATTTACTAATTGCAGAATATAAACCATCCATCGGCTGCCCTAGGTATATAAAATAATTTATATTAGAATACGTTACGGCTATGTACGTACAAATAATAAAAGTAGTATCAAAACTCAAATATGTAACTACTGCCGACCACAGATTAGAGCGTACGACAATTTCATAACAAAATCATTTTGGTAGTTAGTCAAAAATGGTAAAAATAAGTGAAAATAACTATAAATTTGCAAAATAAGAATATTAGCTTGTATAAATTCCTTTTTGATTGTTTATTATTAACGATGTATCTATTCTAATACCCCGTGCATTTATATAGACAAAATAACTTCACCAGTTCTTATCATGCAATAAAAATACATGAGTCGTACCTGGGTACATAATTTTTACAAGCTTATATTTGAGTAAAAAAAAAATAAAAAACGAATATTACAATCCTTGTAAAGTTCAGTTGTGTTCATAGAGAGACAACTTCGTCGGGAGTCGAAGATCTAAATAAATATATTAAATACTTAGTTTTACATATAAAATGAATATTATTTATAACAATGAACTGTTTGCGCAAAAAAAGTAGTTAAACCATATATATTCATATATATTTGTATAGTAACTACATCACACATCAACTTGGTAATACACACGGAAGACTGAAATAAGTGCACCAATATTTCGTTAATGTATCTTCGTAGTTTCATCTAGCATTGAATGTATATGTAATGTATGAGTTTCTCATATTTTCACAGGTTTTTATTTCTATATAAGACTAATATTTTGCTTTAGATACTTGAGAATATCATTTAGAATATATATTTTTTTAATTAAGGCGACGGCAACTCCACTATTGATTAAATATACAATGCAGTTTTGTTATGATTCAATTGAGATATACTATATGTATTTACTGAGATAACAATGAGAACAAAGGCTCACAATACGTTATTAAGTCTCTCCCGTTCCAAATAAAATTACGGCTTACAATAACCTAAACTAATAAAGCTTTATTGGTGATTACATCTAATTACTGAGACTCATATTTACACAAACAAAGTACAACGAAGACAAAAACTATTGATGTATCTTACGTGCTCCGATTCACTTGTACGCGATTTGATTTGAGTATAAACATGATTGGGACGTCTAATAACTTACAACGAACATAGTTCTAACAATTTCATAAGTTGAATTCACTATGAACTATATTCAACTTGCGTAAACATTCCATGTATTAGTTTAATCATATTTTAAACGAGTACTATTTGTGCTAACGCATTTTTTCTCTTATTGTATTAATATTTGGCAGGTTTCAAGTCTGTTTATAATTAGAATACAGCTAAACTAGTATATAACTTACGTCACAAGACTTATCATATCAAATTGATGGTGGGCTGTAAACACATCGTTTTGGAACAATGTGATGTTCGTGTGTTACTTGGGTACAGGTCTATGTGTTAATATTTAATTATAAAGCCCACTATTTGCTTGACTGATTTATTCTATAATTCTTAAACTAATTGGTGTTCACTTACAACTTCGGTTCTCCTTACAATTAACCATAATCTCGACATACTAAACTAGATAACTGTAATCGATAAATAAATTAAAGCCTACGTAGTATCAATAGTGTATACGATAAACATATAGCAATAAATAATATATATATTACCCATAAAACGTTTTGTTATATAAACTGTCTGTTCAATGCAGATAGTTATTGTAAAACGAGACATTAACAATTATCTGTAAATACGTCAATTTAATTGAGACAATAACGTCAACCATTAATACGACATATAAGGTAATAACAAATTATTCTACGAATACTAGTACCAACATATTACGTAAAAATTACGCCAAAACAAACGCTTCACTAGAAGCACGGAAAAGGCACGAAATTCATAAGACAGCGCATGTTTAACATTGTTATCATCTATTCAGTTATTTAGGCATATATTTTCATAAGAATTATTGTAATTGAACTTTCGTTTTATTTTCTATAACAATTTTAAGACTACAGCTACCATAATTCCAAATATACTTTCGCATTTATTTGTGTAGCCGCCGTTTCAAGAGCGATTATTTTAATGTATGATTGTAATACAACTTATCTTTTAATTGTATATTTCCGACACGTTATCTGACTCTGATTGCTATAGCAATAATTAATTAGGTAAATTATCTACTAGATTTATTAAAGCAATTTCAAATAAATAAATTGATTACTTTTTTATTTGAATTTGGGTCAACAACTCCAGAGTATTATACAGAGATTTCTATAAAACGATATCAAAATAACATCGGATTCTGTCAGTCTGATAAATAGACGCTTGCGTTAAGAAAAACGTAATATTGATTTCATGTTCACACGAATCGTGTGTGTTAGTATTTAATACTATTCATATGACATATTATTTGATGTTAACATACTTGTTTTACTTTAGGTTAAAAACAATCAACTTTTAACGCTTATTCACAACCCTCCAATTACATAAATCGTTTAATTTTCGCAAGGCTTCGATGACAATTTGTGACCATACTTATTCCCGAATCTTTTGGACGTGTGGGTTTGTTTTGTAGTCTCATTGTCGGTCGACGGTCCTCTTGAGCCACTGGGTAAAGTGTCTCAGCTGCCACACTGCTCTCGCAGACTCCTCACGAAGCCGCGCGTTGTGTCTCCGTAACCGACGTACCTATCGAAGTAATCCGATAATTAGTTGAGCTGGACTAATTATTTCTTAGTCGTAAGATTGTGTATTAACATTACAACAATATATTTATCATCAAGCATTTACGTCAATGGTTAAATAATTAGATATTTATATCGCCCTATGCAGTCGGATTTTTTATCTTATAACCTTCTACCTAGTATTCACGTCAATATTCTTGGTTAGACATTATAATTGTAATTTAAATTCCGTGGTACATTGAGAATTTAATCTAACCTTTAATGAAAAGAGAAAGAACGTTCGAAAGATGCAGGTAATATTCTCATTAGGTTTACTACAGCGTTAAAAAACGATATGGGGCATGTTATGTTGATTTAACCAGATATTAGTTTCGTAATAACTATTAGATAATAGTTTAGTCTATTCAACAAGTGCATCGCACCACTTTATTTCACGTCACCTGTTGACTAAAATAGTTACATGCGTTTATGTGCTACTTTATGTGGCAAAACTTTCGTATGAAATGCAGAAGAATATAAGTACCTACTTAAATTTGACTCGTATAAAAATATATTACATCATGCATGGCTACCTTTTGCGAAGCAATCATGCTAGCTAAGGAAAAGGCGGGGCGCGTGAGGGAACAAATCTCCTCACGCCCCAGCCGTCGCGTGAGACACTCCTGGTGTCGGAGATCGACGCCTCTAAAGCCATCAGACCACCACAGATGGGGCTCAATAGGGCTGATGCCCGACTTAACGAGTTGCCAGTTCAAAGAGCAGGAGTAGGAACGGTAATTTTTAGTCAGTAAGAGACTAATACTCTCTCTCGCCTCACCCAAAGCGGGAGAAACCGTTGGATGATTTTACACCAACAAAAAAAAAGGATAGCATGACTATCAATATCACCAGCGAGCTTACAACGGAATAATTTCCAAGTGCGTAAGCACTATTGAACAAGTTACGATACGATTAAGTATAGCGATAAGAGCATGTTTGGATTACTTGCGATTTAATACTTTGGTAAGATAGTGATGACTACCTGTTCACCACTGCTTTGTTTTTCTTTTTCAATTCGTAATCCTGATGTTCCATGATAAGAGTTTTTGGGTTTTTTTAAGTGATCATTGTTAATATCAGTGAAGTAGGTAGTAGGTATATTATTTTCCTTAATATTATTTATCGGTGACGATGCGTTTGCTGAATTCTAATTTGGAGGAATGGAAGGAAATAGAACGGCTAAGGAAAAGATGTGATAGATTGTTTGAGAATATCAAGGTTAGGCGTGTTGTGATAGGATAATAGAATAGGCGAGGCCAACTCCACGTAACTTGGGATAAGGGTAGAAAGATGAGGGAGAGGAGCGACTATACTTACAGTGTTCTCCACTGCATCTGTTGGGGCGCCTTCCTATATTTCTTGAGGTAATTAATCAAAGTAGGTATAACATAGAGAACACAATATTTAGGAAAAGAACAAGCGCGTGAAAACGTTGGACACAGATAGTTTTATTTACAAAATAATGCCTACTTAATTTATAATCAGATAGTAAATAATAATACTTTATAACTAAGTGATTGCAGTGATAAATTAAACAGTTTCCGCCAGTTAAGTCGATGACACATTTATTTACATGCTGATATAGTTCCTATCAAGTTGATATAGTTTATTTACCTAGATTTAACAGATTTTAACGATTATATCTTATTAGTAACTTGACTTGAATCAGGCGATTTAAGGAAAACATTTACCATTTAATAAGATTTATTTTTTGATGGTAGTCGCTACATGTAACTTGAAAATGGGGGGGGGTTCTTAAATATAATCGCGCAATTCTTTTCTTGTATCATACGTGGGTTCCAAAAACTTTTGATACATAAGATTGTTTGAAAGTTGTTCATAAAAGACTATTTGTTATCTAAAGCTATACTTAAACGTCATCGTTCTATTGATATAAACATAAGAAATAAAATAGAATCAAATGACGCAGAACTTCCAATAATTTAATATAACAATCCGACATCGGGTGGATAATAAGCTTTTCTCAGTTATTGACATGAGTATACCGTTACTTTCAATTCATTTAATATCTCACGATATTTATTATACAATTTCCTACAATTGTATTAAGTTTGAAATAAAAAAACTAGCCATCAAATTATAATTATAGATGTTCGCGATTCATTATTTTTCAGACAAATAGTATCACGAAAGCATATTAAATCTACAATACTTTAAAGGTATCTACTGAGTCGACACTACTACATAGTAAGAAAGATAGATCTGTAAACCATTGTTGATATGAAAATTATGCTTACGATTGCCTAAATAATGTATCATTCATATGTTAAAATTGTTTCAGGCGATCAATTTTAAATGAAGGGGTTGTGAAACAACATATTTGTTACCTACATTTTTAGCAAATAAATTATTTCTGATTTCTGAATAATATCAATATTATGATTTATAGACATTTCAAAGCAGTAGAACAAGGGAATTAATGTAAGTTTAAATGATCGATTAATCTATAACAAATTCAATCGAGATTACAAAGGTTCATATTTCTAAATAACAACAAACGTCTCGGGGTTTTCCAAATAACACGAAATCTTGATTCACTCAATGGGTAAATGATATATAGTAATATACATCCGTTATTGAATGTCGTTATAATCTATTAATTACTTTTTTATCGTGTTTATATCAAACATATCATTTTGGATTATTTTTTGTAAAAGACAGATTGATTAAAGTCTAGTAGGACTGACGTGCGACTAAGAGGTACATAGCTGTAAGCGCGAACAGTGGCTAATTATTAAAATCTGACTTAAAATTCTGGTAATTCATCCGATAAAGCGCTAAAGGGTAATTTTTCAAAAAGTTTTTACAACTGTGACGTTCCAAATTCAGTGAATGATGATCGAACGATTTTTTAAGCTATATTAGTGTCAATGCTGTCAAACAATCTGATATAATAAAATTAATGATTGTAAGTTGTTAAACACCTATTCAATTATTATTTTTTGCTGTAGCTGGTATATAGCCAAGACAGGGAAGAATTGTATGAAATAAAGTATGTATTTGTAAATTGATCGGTATAATACTGGCGCAAAACTATCGCGGGCCACTATTATTAATATTTTTTTTTACTAATCGGTATAATTTTTGGGTTATGCTAATTATAAATGATAGATTTGTATGGAAGTTTGTTCTTTAAATACGTTGTTATAATTTTTGACCCATAGATAGGCGATAACTAGAATAACACATATGTTACGTATTGTATCGATAACAGGCACAAAGCCGCTGGAAGTAGCTATTATTCATCATAACCAACAGCCCATGACGATACACTGCTAGACGACGACCTCATTTACCTACATAAGAGGATTTGGAATAATGTCCACGCAGGTTCAATATTTAAAAATGTGTACTTCCTTAGTCGTGCTCTTACGACAGCCATGGGAAGAGAAGCAATGGAGGCAAAGGCATCAATCACACCAAACGTATTATCCGCCGCCAACTGTTAGTATGCTCACTATCGCCAACGCACTGCGTAATAATCGGTTCGGCGTGAACTAGATATTAAATATACATAACGGTAAACAGCATAACACGTGGTCACAGTCAGCGGTCGACAATATGTTTGGTATGAACGATGCCAAACTCTCACCACACGGGTTAATAGTAATTAGTATTTATTATAATTATATTACCTCTTCCTCGAGTTGGTGCCTGTGTCGCTGCGCGGCGGCGGCGTCGGTCTCGAGCGCGGCGACGCGGGCCGCCAGCCCACACGCACACGCGTCCGTTGCACCATTACCTTGTGTTGCCACGGGAACTGTCTCTGTCGTCTGTTGGACATACATTTTCTTTAATCCTTTGGCTCCCGACAGAAAACTATTGCAAGGTAATAAATCCTCCGCTAGTGTCGCTCAATTGGGTGGTGGTAGGGAACACGTTAAACGACAGTATTGTAAATTGGTTAATTGCTTATCTGTGGACCTGAAGAGCATGTACTAAAAGTGCAACATTTGATAGATTAGAGCTAGATTAGTATTTTATAGTGAGTGTGTGGTAAAATCGGCCCTTAGTAGTAGAAGTACTACTACTACTACTAGTACTAGGTACTAGTACTTAGGGCTACTACTTAGGGCCGATTTTTCAATCATCAGCTAATTCTTAACTGTAGAATAAAATTGATATTTGACAGTTTTTAGCATGGAACAATTGTCAAATATTCAAAGTTATTCCTTAATTCAAATATATCCGGCGTTAGAAAAATCGGCTCTTAGTATTATAAAATACTTCTACTTTATTTAGTCTAGTCATAAATCAACCCGTAAGAATAAAACTGCAACGAATCATCGAGGGACTGGTAGTAGCAATCTCCTCTAATATCAGTGACCTAACTGCGATCGCTAAGCCGCATATCAGACTTAGGGCTAAAATTAATCTGTGGACAAGGATCGGTTTGTGCCATAATGCCTATGAATAATAATAAATAATCCTTACTAATATTATAAATCGGAAAGTGAGTTTGTTTGTTTGTTCCGCTTTCACGCCGTAACTACTAAACCGATTGCTTTGAATTTTTACAGACGTAAAGTTAGAAGTCCGGATTAAATAATAGGGTACTTTTTATCCCGGAAAAATGATAATATTCCCGAGGGAAAACAAAAGTATTGGTATAGATGGCGCTGTGTGTATTGGTATATGTCACATAGGCTACTTTTTATCCTTTTATGACGCGAGCGACGCCGCGGGTAAAAGCTAGTAATAAATAACTGGAATTGTGCCCGGTATATGGCAATAGGCTCACCCCCTATTACATGGGACTCATAACATAAATAGTGAAAAGTGGGTGTTACATTGTACAGTGGTATAATGTGCACCTCTGCCTACCCCTTCGGGGATAAAAGGCGTGATGTTATGTTATTTTATGTGTAATAATAAATAACAGTACCTGTCAAAAATTTATCCTCATCCATAGATTATGGATTGAAATCGGTTATTAATTATGACTGTTAAGGATTTCAGTTTTATTACTCAAGATATTCTACGTTTATAAAAATTACATGTCTATGTAAGTGAATTATTACACAATCACAATTAGTAGGTGACTGAATTATATACAATTTGTCAAAACTTTCTCTACTTAATTAATCATTAATCCCAGTATACAAATCCAGATTAAATTGAATTCTACTACAGTCTGTAATCTGTGCATTCGGTAAGGCAGTGATAATTTATGACATTTGAGCAATGACATAGCGTGCCTTGGTGCCGTATTTAATTGATTTTTGCCCATATTTTTTTATTAATTTGGGGCCCTTTACAATTGGTTATTTGCCAACTAGTCAAATTCAATACCTTTTTCGAACTGTCAAAAAAGACAGTATTTTATGAATTTTGTACATGTTTGTGTATTTTGACGTCACATTTCTTTAGCGTCAAACAGCATACAATTATTTTTTATTTTAAACATTTGTTGGAAAAATACTAAAATTAAGTTGTTCATAAAATCAATTAATGAAAATTGATTAATTTTTGATATTTTATTGCATTGAACGGTCGAAAAGATTTATTTTTGATAACAAAAGTACTGTATATATAAGTATTATAGTAAAATACGCAGGGAAAACATATTGTAAAAAAACTCTTACCAAGATTAATTTTGGAGGAGTAGGTACATATGATGACTTTAAGTGTCTTTAATTTTTCTTAAGTTTTGCCAGGTTTTAACATATGCTTTACGCGGGAAATAAATAAAGTACTTACATATTTTGATTTTTGTGATTTCTAAAAAATAATTAAAATATTGGGAAGCATTTATTACTTTTTGCTTATGCACGGTGGGGTACTTCGTGACCCGGAGCCCACGTATAATTGAAAGTGATAGATACGGTGCTAGCTACGCCCCTGCTTTTAAAATATTACTAAAGTTATATTGATAACAATTGCCTCGGTTAAAAGGAACCTTTTTCAATCATGATGGATCTTGTAACCATTGCAACTGATAGTAGAAAATTGATAAGAGTTGCCAAATAATACAATTTTCTCGCACCCGCGTCTTCATAATCTTCTTAAAAACGAATCACTGAATGTGTTGCTAAGCGCCAATCTCGAGAAAAGCTGAACCGATTTCGATAATTTATTTTTTGGTGGGTTTCTTATTCTTAGAAAAAGGTTCTTATGAAAGAAAGAAATATAAAAATACGCAAAAATATTTTCCAAGGCGAAACAAAGTTCGCGGGGTCCGCTAGTCTAATATAAAATACTATTCTGCATTACGTTTTTCTCATCTATCTCATTTAATACTTATTCTGAAAGATTTCTATTTACATATGCATATAATTTTAATGTGACGTATTAGTAGTATTGCACTTACAGTATTGACGTCATTCCAAGAATCGGTGGTAGGTTCGTTGGGTAGCATCTCCAATGAAGGATCCGTGTTGTCCATGGATGGGTACTGATGTTCTTCACAGATCTAGAAAGAGTGAGTTGACATGTAGGTTTTTAAGTATCTATAGTAAAAGGAAGCACAGAATCAATGGGAAAAAGAGCACCGTTGACTAAAAGACAGGTAGATAGTGTGAGAAACTATATGATGCAAAAAAAACAAAAACATCTGCAGTTCCGACTGTAATCTGTATGGTCAAATGCATAAAAATAAAGAAAAATATGTGTGTGTAAGGATCGCAGTAGATGGCGCTTTGTAGATTCTAACTACAAAAGAGTTATACGTAAAGAATATAATCTATATTTATTTTCTTACTTAGACAACGTATCTGTGTGATTAATGTTATGATTTTGTATAGTCACCTGAAGCATAGCCCTCGTGGCAGTATGTACGAGCGCGGCCCAGTCCAGGGCTCCAGCGTCTGGCAGTGGCAGGGGCGCCGCCCCGCCCGGCCCGGGGCCCCCGCTACTACTCACAGCGGAGCCCCGACCACCCTCGCCTAGCTCCGCGTCCATCATTCGGATCAGATCCTCCTACAAGTCAGAATTTATCATTATCTACAGCTCGTGAGAGTTCTCTGCTGAACTATGGGTCTCCTCTACACTCAGTATCACATCATCGCCTTGTCATAATGTCTGCACTCGGTAGGCAGATTAGAGATTGCAGTTTGAAAGTATAACATAACATAACATCACGCCTTTTATCCCCGAAGGGATACGCAGAGATGCACTTTAACACTTAATGCCACTGTACAATGTAAACACCCACTTTTCACTATTTATGTTATGAGTCCCATGTAACAGGGGGTGAGCCTATTGCCGTAAACCGGGCACAATTCCAGACTCCGTGCTACTACTGAGATTTTTCTTAAAAACTCGGTAATAAATTGCCCGATCGGGGAATCGAACCCGAGACCCCTTGCCCGGCAGTCGCACTGGCCGGTTAAAACCTGCCTCATGATGGTTTTAACGTTTATCAAATACCGCTTAATTGGCTGTGACACCCGCGAGGAGAGCAGGGGGGTAACGACAAATCACAGCAGAGTAGTAATGTCTCTTGGAACCAAACTACAAAAATAAACTAAACATGGACGTCTCAAGATGACTACTGGACTGCTATTTGATAAACTTGTAGCATACTCTAGAAGACATTATAATTTTGCAATGAGTACTTACAGTAAGCGACGAAGTGTTGGCGGAGGCCCGTTTGTGTCGGCTGTGTCGCGGGGAGGCCGCGTCGTCGTGCGAGCGGCGCCGCACCGCCTCGGGCAGCGGCGACGACTGCGGGGACCGCCGACCGCTGCGGCACGACCCACCTGCGGGACACAAACATTTACTGTTTAAACACTGTCGCAAAACATGAAACAAATTGAGATAATATTTCCAATTTGCAATCAACATAATTTGGGTTGAAAAAGTTTTTAACAGTAGCAGCCATTGTCTGCAGCTGCACTGATAGTGTTCATCGGTCACACATGGCTATTCTACTTATTGTAGAAGTTTTACGAATAGCTTGCCCTGTGGCAACCTTTAACGGTAAAAGTTAATAATTAATCGTAATCCAAAACATATCGAGCTTAGTTTTAGTCAGATACTTATAATTGGCTACTTGCCTTAATAAAAAATAAATTATTTCGACGGTTCAATACAATAAAATATTAAAAAGTAAACATACTTTTATTAATTGATTTTATAACCAACCTAATTTTAGTATTTTTTCAGCAACCTTTTAAGAAATAAGTATACTTAAAAAACAGTATACTGTTTGACGCAAAAAAGCGTGACGTCACAATACACAGTCTCGTACAAAATTCATAGAAAACTGTCGTTTTTGACAGTTCGAAAAAAGTATTGAATTTGACTAGTTGGCAAGTACTCAATTTAGACTGTTAGTCGATATATGTAACAACAACAGAGGGATGCAGTACTGACCAGTGCCATATCCGGAGCTATCGGAGCGTGGCGGCGAGTGTCCCCGCTCGTATGCGCGGCGCGGCCGGCCGGGCTGCTGCGCGTCCCCGCGGCCCGGCGCCAGCCCGCCCTCCTCCGGGCCCGACTCGCACTGGCACTTCGTACTCGACGCGAACGTTACCGTCACCTACACAATGTTACCGTGAGATATAGAAAAAACATTTAATCACAATTTACATACATGCAAGGCTCTATTCTCCCTGAATCCCTAGAAGACCGACAACATACTTGTATATCTTTCAGTGTTTCAAGTGTTCATAAAAATAAGCAAGGCGCTAAATGACAACAGTGGCATTTATGTGCATCATATCAGGGTTTGTTACTGAATTTAAACTTATAACAACAGTTGAGTTAGAAGTATATGTTTAATGTAGCTCACGGTAACAGGATCCGAGGTTTTAAGCAGGTCTACGAGTTGGTCGTGATGCAGCGCTACTACGGCGGCGCGGCACACTTCCAAGAGCCGCGCGCCGCGCTTGATGCCGGCGCGGGCGGCGCAGCCAGAGCTCTCCACTAGCGTCACCAGCCCGTCCGGCTGTACGTGGAATCCTGAGGAACGAAACAAAATATGCTATATTCACAACCAAACTCACAATTAAACATTTTTTATGGGCTTTACTTAGTACCTATTTAGAAATGAATTTAAATAACGAAAATTTGAAAGGAAAGAATCACGATACGCCACATAATGCATACATTTCACGAGAAATTATAATATGGAAGAAAGTTACTATAGGAGAATGGAAAAAAACATGCTACAATGACCTCTAAATAACTAAGCATGTTATAAGTCGGACGAAGATATTAGGATAGATGACTTATTTTAATGTCCGTCTGGTAGATTATTTTAAAACATTAGACACGTATTTTTTGTGGTATAAAACAAATATTTTTGATCACTTCTAGAGAAATAACGTAACTAGCTTCCATTTCTAAACTTTGATTTGTTTTATCTAAGTATTGTTTTATTATAGGACAAAATAAAAATATGTCTCATGTTTTTTAATTGCCTAACTAACACACTAAATACATTTTTAATTTTCATACCCGTTAGACCAGATTCGAGATATATTAAAAAACGCCAAAATTAAAAGTAGGTTTAAATCACGAGCATGCATGAAAAGGCTGATAGCTGTTAAGGAAGCGAAAAAGGTATGTAAGAATGGTAGCAATTGGCGTTCCAGTCTCTGCCTACCCCCATGGGAGACAGGCATAAGGTTACGTATGTATGTACGGACTCTGTCATCATCCTATTATACTGCACTGACCCTAAGTACTTGGGATAATGGTAAAATAAAGTACAGATATGCCAAAATGGTAGGTATAGTTACCGAGCTGCGGCTGCGCGCCCCGCTCGAGCGTGATCTCGGCGAGCGCGCGCGCGTGCGGCGGGCCCACGGCGGCCAGGCGGCGCGCCAGCCCCGCCCCGCCGCGCAGGCGCACGCTCTCGCCGCGGTGGTAGTACACGCGCGTCCAGCCGCCGCTCTCCACCCAACCTGCAACAAAACGTAGTAAAGTACATTGTGGGAAATTAAATGTAGTAAAGTACATTGTAGGAAATTGTTTTTTACAAGCTTCGACTGACAGATTCGCGCGCGTTCTCGGGATAAACATTATTTCATGTGATATTCTTAACTAAAGTCTACAAACATCTATACCACATTTTATCCGAATCCGTCCAGTAGCTTTACATTAATGTATAACAAACAATTATATAAACGATACATCTTTACAAAGTTTTGCATTTACAATATTAAGTAGGATTACAGGTAGTTGTACCGCAAACTATTGTTTTGTGTTTAAGTTCGGGTGTGATATGTGAATTTGTATATTGAGGAAGAGAAAAATATAAATAATAAAACATACTATAATTGGTAGTAATACAAATGATCTTTCTACCTTTTAAATCATCATCTAAGTGACCATTTCGCTATGTTATCGTTATCGTGTCAGGTACATAATTTGATCACAGTGAGTTATTTGTAGATGGAGGCTAAAACTTACCAAGTAAAGAGCTGGTAGGCAGAACAAGTACAATTTGTCTGGTACTATCCTCAACAAACACCACGGTATCTGCCGACACACCCATGATGCAGTCCAGCAGGGAACCGCCTGCGCCTTCATCTTGTACTTGCACCTGTAATCATTTACATATAATACTAATTAGCACACAATATTCACACTTTATCTTTATTTTACATATGTATGTATTTATTTCAAAATTATTATTACTCTTATATTGTAGATAATAGAAGTTTTAGTTTATAAAGCAGAACTTTATACCAAACTGAGGTTCAACTAACTTAGCAGTCTAGAATTGGTTTTAAACCCGGACAGATGTAAAAAATCTGTATGTATGCAATTTCAGTGTCTTTAATTACTATATCAGTCACAAAACGACCATACATTGCTGAACACGAGGACCTTTCTCTCTAGTTATTTTCAGATTAGTAGACTGAAAGCATCCAACATCCACTTTAGAATCAATATCTAACTTACGTGGAAACAGAGAGCGCCACCAACCAAGACATCGTTCGTACAGTTGTCGACTCGTGTGATCAAAGTGTTGTTTGTCGAGGTACTGCCACTTTTCATCAGTAACGACGAGAAAATTGCTGAAACCCAGACACAAAACATATTGTATATAAGAGTATAGTATTTATAGAATAAGAGTATTTTTAGTAAGTTTACGAAAGTAAAAAATGGTGATTAGATACTTACAGAACTTTTGTCCCGTTTCGACAGTACTTGCAGTCACATAATTCTTCGCTAAATCTTTCAGGTACTCTTGACGCGTGCGCGTTGCCATTGTACTAAACTTTGGTGATTGAATAGCAGCATTTTCGCCATTAATAACCTAAAAAGAAATTAGGATATTTTATCGACATCCATATCAAATAATTAAATAGTTATTATTAATTTGTGAAAGAAATTAACTTACTTTACTTAACAATAGGTCAGTGAATGCTTCGCCCTTCGGGTATATCGCACCATCTTTTATCGGAGGTCCAAACAAAGGCACTTCTTTAGCACGACTCACAGCTATACTATAATGCGTATTCTCTGTACATGGATCTATAGCCCTAACTACAACAAAAACATGTTGGAACTGCGACCGGATGTTGCGCGGAGTGAACGGCGCCGCACCAGGCTCTTGGAAGACAATGGTCACAATGTCGTTGCCGATGTGTCGCTTCCGCAACAACTGTTGTCGGTTGTTCGGAGTATACGGCAGCATGGTGGATACATGGAACATTATGTCACAACCCTGATACGTGGTGAACACGGAGTACAGTCCAGTGGAGTCAGTCCTGTTGTCCAAACCAGCCTTATACTTATCAAAGTCCTTTAATCTAACTGTTTGGCCTAACATCTTGAGAAACTCTACAAAAGCTGGTCCAGCTTCTTGGTTGTTGTACATTTCTTCTTCAGTTGACTGACCACTCTTGCAGTACATGACTCCGACTTTGTAATGTCTCGTAACGCATTGTTCATCTAGTCGTAACAGTTGTTCTTCGGCTCCACCATTGTTGATACCAAGCCTGAAATTGAATGATGGTTTTCATGAATGTCACTACATTAAATATTTTTCATCGTAAAATTGTATTGAAAGATAGATAGCCTGATTCCAAAGTGCCAAAATTTACCTCAAGCAGCTAACTTGCAGCTCTGGAGCAACATATTCCAGTACATCTTTAGTGTTATAGGTAGCACTGTTGTTGCTAGGTTTGGTCGTAGGCAAAGCATCTTCGAGCACAGACCCGCGTAAGGTGAGCAACTCAGAAGTTCGTAAGATGAGGCGGTATTGCCACGCCAACTGGGACGCGGGAGCAGACACATCGCCACCTCCACGACGCAGCTCTACCCTCTCTTTCTTGATAGATATCGCTACTGGACCGAGATTTTCGTCCATACCAAACCAATTTTGATGAGCTGTAGAAAATAATTAAGTAAGTAGGTAAATTACGTCTTTGCACAAACGAGGACAACATCGTTATATGTTTATAGTTCAAAGGCTTTTCAAATTTAAGTTATTGTCGCAAAACAACTTTATGTATTTCAGGGTCACAGATTCACTTACGTTGATTGTAGAAATAGTTCCTGTAGTACAAAGCTCCTAAGTCCTGGCTTTCTATAGGGAATGGTGAAAGGGATCTGGCAAATGGGCAGCCATGACGCCAGTGTGTTTGTCCGGGAGGGAACTCTAACATGGAAATCCCATAAGCGGCGCGAGGACGGTGCCAGCCTCCTGACTGGCCTAGTATAGCGCCGCGAGCAGTCTTCCAACATAGTGACACACATCTTTCTTCTTCACCTGAAAAAAGATTCAAATTATTATTTATTTCTATTTAAGATTTGTTTTTATTTCTATAATAGCATATATATCAACTTATTGTAAGAATTTTCCATAGAGATGAGATGTGTGATTGTGTATTGTATATAATAAGCATCCACTTTTATGTGTGAATATTTATTATTTATTTATCAATCATTTCATAAAATAGAACAGAATAATAATTTTCTTATCCTGAGAATCCAAACAAAAGACAAGTATGCTAATAAAGAAGTCTTTCTTTAATTAATTTTCTCACAATAATATATTAATATAAGTTAGCTATTAATTTTCACTTGTGTAAATGCATTTTTTCCTAACAAAGAAACAAGCAGTAATAAATGAAAGTGCAACTATTTTACAATAAAAAGTAGATGTACATCATGTACACTACACCAAGTGGAGTACAGTTCAATACAAAATCAATAAGCTAAATATTGGCAGACTACTAATAACTACTTACTAAAATAATCAAATAAAATCAAATAATTCGGCAAATCTAACATTTAATGTAGGTATTTAAAACATGATTAGAATTACGAACTGTACATATCGATGTATCTGTAAATAACAATGTAGGTTAATTTCTAACAGAAATCGGCAACAAACCATCTTAATCCAAAATCTTTGGATCAATTTAAGTTTGTATTATAACTTTCGTGAGACATACTAAATATATTATTATGTTTTCGAAATGCTGCTCATGAATATGAGCCTCTAGCATGGCTTGAAACTAGTCGAGTTCCTCTTCAAATAGTTGCGTGAGTAAGCCGATAATAATATAATCAATTTAAGTTTTTGACAGAAGTTCCAGTTTGGCTGGAATACGCTTTATACAAAGGTATATAGGCTAGATCTATGTAATATTTATCTTAGTTGTTTGCAACTGTACACCGGCAATGCATGACTGGCTGTGTAGTAATTGTTGCATTAATGAATAAGTTATATTGAATGGACGGATAAAATTTAAACAATGTTCAATTAATAATTCAATCACAATTTAAGACAAATAAGAAAGTGTGAATTGTATCAAAATATAACTAAGGATATGAAGTAATTGACACTTTGTAGATTATTCAAGGACATGACATATTATGTAAAAATATTGTAGGAGGTCCACATTTTAACGAAATTTCTAGTTGACTGATAGAAATACTCACACCACCCTGTGACTACTTACACACAATTTGTGCTCATAAACCTATTGTAGAAATTACACATTTCATCTAAGATTTCAGCAAAGTGATTCAACCTTTTCCATGTCTGTATTAAAATCATCACATTTGATATCATTAGGTTTGGCATAAGAAAAATCAATAATACACTTAGATACAGGTATGAAGCTCCACTTGCAGCTCACACTCAGTTAAAAATAAAGAAGAAGAAAAGAAAGAGGTAGTAATAAATTTTAGCTAACTTTAAATTTTAATTTTGTAACATTTTACTGTGAATGATTTTTTTTGTATGTTACTGCATAAAAGTGAATGTGATAATATGTCTAAGAATGAATAAGTTTATATGGGTCATTATGTTAAAAACATGTTATTGTATGATTATATTATATTATCTACTTAGTAAAATTTTTGCACCCTAACAGGGTAATGTACTGTACTAGTTGTATGTACTTCTTATTATATGTACATTGTGCAATATGAATAAAATAATAAGTAAATACTAGTAGTATTATAGACTTTTATAATGATTGTTTACTAGATTGTGTGTTAGGCAATGGAGATAGTTAATAAGAAACATACACAAATGTGTTCCAATCACAGTCTTGATTGTTCCAATAACAATGTCAAGTGTGAGAGCACAATTTGTGTCACCTGGTTCACAGATGTCACAATGGTAATGTTGTAATGGTCTTAAAGGTATTTATGAGAGTTTAATGCATACTAGTGTTTTATTTCCCCATTTTGTTTCTATATGAAAACATCTTGAAACTGTTACTGGTACAAATTTGAATGCTGCTGTGTAGAGTAAGCCAATGTTTGTTTGTATAGAAATGATAGACTTACCTCCCAACTCATTTCGGAAGAAGGGACAGCTTTCTAACAACTCATTTGATCTTCCATCTCCTGTATCTGGCACTGCATCTTCTCCAGGAGGCAGTCCACGGGTAGCAAGTAAAGATGCAGCAGATGCTCCAGTTGTAGTATTTCGACGCCTGCTCAACAAAGCTCCACGGATCTCAGCCGCATAAGTTAAGTTAGCCATAAGAGATTGGCAATCATAGTGAGCAAACTGCTTCCTCTTGTTAACATCAGCTACACTTGAAAGCCCACCATCGTCCAGAGATGGACGATTCAACACAGGTGCTGCACCACCCCATAGTTTATTCAATTTGAGCCGCGGTTTTGGACTGGCACTCGATCTTGATGGAGGACCATCTGCATGGTCAGTAGTAAGGCCATCAGCAATTCTATCTACGGTGCGGTTGAGACCGGGTGTCTTGTCTGGAGCTGAAACACCGCTGTAGCTGTGTACCATTGCGGGTAACCGATCGTTTGCACCACCAATTACGTCAATTGAACCATGACTTCCGTACTCCCGTCTCAAACCATTCCCAGAGGGATGTTCAGCATATATCAAGTCAAGACTAGAATTGCTGCGATAAATAACATCTCTGGCATCCTTTCTTCTATTATCTGGAGCGTACATTGCATTATTTTTCCAAGCAGCCTAGTACATTTCCAATAGTCAAAATTAGTTGAGCTAGCTATAGTTGAGCTACAGCTTTTATGGGTAATTTATTTACGCATTCGTATGGAATTGTTAAAAATAACAAAAGAAGCAACTCAAAAGTAAATTAACACTCATTAAAACAAATTATTTTACACATCATATCAAAATTACTCCACGTAATTGACCACCACTTATACACTAATCTATTAGTTACTAGTAGTAAGTTAATTCGTAATTGATTTCTATAATACTACATAAACGAATAAATAAAATTGAAACGTTATTGTAGTTGAAGTGATTAATAATTTTGCAAAACTTGACGAATCTATGGATAAGTCAATCAACCACAAAAAGCATAGATACAAAATATGAAATTTTATCTGTGGATATTCTACAGATTATAAAGGCTTAGCTAATTTAAAGATCACTGTTCACAGTCCAACAAATTAAATAAATCTTAAACTCGGAGTAAGTAATATTGTAGTCTAATATGTTTTTAACAGACTTCAAAAAAACAGAAGTATGTATGAATGTATACATGTATGACTTTGATGTAATTTTCAGAAAAGCGTTTGTTACACTTAGTACAGAGTTTTAGTATATTACAAACCGACTTCAAAAAAAAGAGGCGGTAGAAGTCAGTTTTGTAAACGTAGTTTATAAAGGACTTATTGGAACTAATTTCTTTTTGGAAATATTTTTTTGTGTCACATACTTACACAAAACAACGACAACCACAATAAGTGAAAAAATTAAAACTTTTTGGGCACGTAAATCAGGAAAATGGTAATAATGCTGATTCTATAGAAATTACTGCATTTTATTTATTCCCTCCTTTTATTTTTATCAATGAAATATTTCCAAAATATTATCGAGACAAAAAAAGAGTTTGAAATAATGTACTAGTATCGTACCTGGGGCAACCTGGTACAACTACAACTCAATCGGCTTTGATATTTGTTATTTTTATCAGTTTTATCGGAAACTGGTTCATGGTTTATGCATGGGATATGATCTGAAATGGATGATTCAGTTCATGATAAAAGTCAATATTAGTTTCAACTGTCACCACATCAAAGTCTTTTTTGCCAAGCCGCTGCCGTACCTTTGGGTACCATAGTGGTATCATAAAATATTATTATACTATTTTGACAAAACCATAAACAATTTAGACCGGAAATCAGCATGATTATTATGTTGGTGCACTTTTCTTCTCTGCGCCTGCGTGTTATGTTACTTACTCTGGTCTTAGTTATTATACTCTTCTATACTAATATTATAAAGAGGAAAGATTTGTATTTTTGTATTTTTGTATGTTTGTAATGAATAAACTCAAAAACTACTGAACCGATTGCAATAATTTTTTCACCATTCGAAAGCTGCATTATTCAGAAGTAACATAGGCTATATAATATCACGCTAGGTCCTATAGTTGTGGAGCAGTAACCAAAAATGTTTTAAAAACGGGGGAAAAGTATCGTTTCTGAGGCCTTCCGTAGCGTGCGCTGAGCATATAGTTAAAGTTATACAAAAATGTTCTATAGATGAATTGTTTATCTTAACATTATTTTTAAAAAAGTCCGCGAGAGCATATGTCTACCTTTTATAGTTTACCCATAACAATCGTTTTAATGAATGGTTCAATCCTTATAAAAGTTTGCTCTAGATAACTTTTGAATTGTTCAATCGGCTACCTTAAGACGCGACATCGACAACGGAGGGCAGGTCGCTAAAAAAAACTGAGAATAAATATAAATAAAACGTAAAACTATGTAAAAAATCTTAAGTCCCCCCGTGCGAAGCCGGGACGGGCCGCTAGTTGGTTAATAAACTTTTGTGCCTTTGAATATATAGAGGGTCGCGATTGTATAAAGTGTATAGTTCACTGCAAAGTGCAAACTTTTGGACCGCTTTTCGTGAACTGACACTCCATTTAGACATTATATATCAGTCGCGGAGAACCTAACGGGTAACCGGGGCTCCGGCTAGACGTGCAGGAGAAGGAACGGGGTGGGTTTTTAGTCAGTAAGAGTCTGACACTCCCTCCCACCTCACCCAGGCGGGAGCTGACATTCGATGATTATCCCCCTTTAAATAAAAAGACATTAATCAAAGGCCTTTAAGTAGGTAATTGTCACTTGTCAGCGTTTGTCGGTGGGATTGGATGGGTAGATGTATGACGTAGGCATTCGATAAGAAAGGCTACCCCCAAAGAGACAAAGTAGGGGATGAAAGTTTGTATATACGATGTTTATAATTTGATTGAATATGATAGGGCCCGGGACAGTACGTCTGAGACTTTTCAACCAGGAAATCCCACGAGAACCGGGGACACCGACTGAACCTATTTGAGTGAAATACTACGTTACAACAATAGTTTGAGACATCATGCAAAACGACTTATCTATGATAGTTTTTATCCCCAGGAGCGGGACTCTAGGGACTGGGACCTGTGGGATTATATAATTGAAACCACGAAAATAAATGGATTCCACAATAAATTTAACTTAGGTACTGAATCGATTTTGACGACATTTGTAACAGCTGTAAAAGACAAAATCTGCCAGAAGCATAGCATTATAACAATCTAAGGCCAGAAGTTAATATTCTACGCGGAAGTAGCAGCTAGTTTCATTATAATTGTTTTGTTGTTTTAGGCAATTAATCTAGGGATATAAACAGCAAGACTGAAACAGAAGTTCATTTCAGGTAGGATGTTACTGTGACTTTATTTCATGAAAATGTCTTTATTATTAAAATAACCACCGGTTTCGCTTGCGTTCCCGGTATAAAAATTATCCCTTGTGTTATTGCAAATTTCATTAAAATCCTTCCTGCAGGTTTTTCGTGAAAGAGTAATAGACATACCTGATAAGTATGTACCTACCTCTATATCCATACACCCTCACAAACTTTTGCGTTTATAATATTATTAGGATACGGTTACGGTTAGGTTAAATAACGCATAAACACGGTAAATCGTTTATAATTATCTTTATTAGTCATGATTAATAAGCATCATTATTACTAACATGTGGATAGGTACTTTTATATCAACAAAAAGTCGGTTAGATATCAAAAGACACAGAAATATTAGGAATAACTACTTATTAAGTTATATGGGTATCTATATTTTTCCACAATTCTCCTCTTAGTCCAAGTCATGTCCAACTTAACACCATCCGTCGTTCAAGCTTTATAAATTAAATAAGTCATTAGCATCATGCAGGACCCTTAAAAGCCTTGAACTCAAGGAGCATAAATGTACATATTTTTTTATTATACTAGCTCTAGCTACTTAATTAGAATACTTTTTTATTATCTAGGTAACATGTATTATAAAAGAAATTAGGTAACTTACAAAGAATAAAGTATATACTAAGTAAGAAATAAACAAATGCTCTGCTAAATAAATTAAACAAAATATTTCAACCTTGCTAAAGGGAACACAGCAAAAAAATACTATTTTAAAAGAGAAGCGTTGTCTTAGAAGTTTCGAGCATCCACCCACGTGTGCTGGATGGTGGTAGCCATGGAATTGAAATATCCAGGCATATAGGTATAACAGAAAATACTTAAGAATACCAGTGGTGACGGTAAATCTATACCGGCGTAATGGCGACATAAGTTGGTAAATCGTAAATATTTATTTTGTTACAATTCTTTATTTATTATGGGTGTTTACCATTCCATTTCAATAGATGCAAGGATTGATCCCGGTCTCCCTGACAGGTAAATGTCGGTTTCAGTAAAATCTCTATTGGAATACTTCGAGCTTTTACAGTAACATATCATTGATATCATTAAATTTCATCTTCTTCGATTTCCGTTTCTTCGCGTTCTTTTTGTTTGTGTTCTGCTTTTTCGGTTTCTGCTTGTTCGGCTTCTGTTTGTTCAGCTTCTGCTTGTTCGGTTACTACTTGTTGGGCTTCTGCTTGTTCGGTTACTACTTGTTGGGCTTCTGCTTGTTCGGTTACTACTTGTTGGGCATCTGCTTGTTCGGTTACTACTTGTTGGGCATCTGTTTGTTCGCCTTCTGCTTGTTCGGCTTCTGTATGTCTGTCTTCTGCTTGTTTATCTTGTGCTAATTCGGCTTCTGTTGTTTCGGCTGCTGCTTGTTCGTCTACTGTCTTTTCGCCTTTTGCTTGATCACCTTCTGTTTGTTCCAATTCTTTTTGTTTGTCATCAGTTTGTTCGCCTTCTGCTTGTTTGTCTTGTGTTTGTTCGCCTTCTGTTTGTGGGCTTTCCTTTGGTGGAAGGTTAATTTGGACACTGGGTTTGTCCTTAATCCCAGTAGATTGGCTTGATTTATCCCGTCCTAGAATACTTGTGGAGATTCGTTCTATTAACATTTTGCGTTCGTCCAATGTCATGGTACTGCACTTAGCTTCGTGCTTTTCATGCGGTGATAGTATAATACTTCTACCATGAATGTTTTCAGTGGTGATAGACACACGGGTTGGTAAACTTTTGTGCTCCGACATAGCTGAGGCAGTCAAAATTGATTTGCGATCCGCAGATGGCCGGTCTTGAGAGTCTGTTTTACGTTTACGAACATAAGACGTTTCACTTTCAAGTGTTTTGCGGTCTGATGCAACGCTAACGATGCTTTTCTTGATCATCTGAAATATATTATTTAAAAAAAATATTTTAGTAAACACATAAAACCTATAAACACATGTATAATAATGACATTTTATATTATAACTACTAACCGCTTCAATGTCCTTGTCTCGCAATACCTTCTGAACTTCCTTTTGAACTTCTGATGCTTCTGCTGGCTCGATTATTTGTGCTCTTAAAGCATCCAGTGCACAGCCGACGACTTGTCGCAGATCTTCAGTCGGCAGGTCAATACCACAATCTAATAAAACATATAATCATAAGATTATTTTAAAGATGTTTCCCCACAATAAGATTTCCTGCTATGTAGTGGGTGGGTTTACATACACTGACCCCCAGACCTGAAATAACTATTACTGGATCGTAGAAAGAATTGATACGTGTGGGAATCAAAAAACGTTGTGCGGCAGCCAGTTGCTCAGCCACCGTGCTAACCGTGGAGTCAAGTAGGTTGTGATGTTCTCGTGGTAACCATAAAACTTTATTATTCAGCATTTGGGAAACCAACAGCTCAGTTTGATTAAAAAAGAAGGTCAATCACAGGCAACAATCACAGGCATGTAACACTTAAATTACCTTTAATATCTTCAAGGAGGTCAAAGGAACAAATTCGGTCAACGCTGTCCTTTGTGATTGGGTGATTTTCATCCGTGACAGACTTCACAAGAGATGCCAACGTTTCAGGATCTTCTGTAGGTAGTTGAGAAAAATAAAGGTATTAAGATAAGGCACTTAAAGGGTTCAAACTTTTGGGTTCAGACGTAAGGTTGTATGAGTTCATTTACCCATAGTAGTGAAGTGTGCGGAATGTAATAATGCTGCGATGGCTGGTCCGAGCCGATCAGCCAGTGTATCGGATTCTTCCGCCAAATCCCTCAGGGCGTCTTCTAAATCTTCTATAATACCTTCCGCATCATCTGGGGCTTCCATTGCTTCTATCTAAAAATTCAAATGGGATTTGTGTATTCATGTGGGTAGGTAGCTATAACCGAATAAACTAGACACTTCTACACCTTGGTATAAGTTTATTTATTGTACATAAAAAAATGGATGTATTTTTTCTTTTTTCAGACCCGGTGAAAAGACAATGTCCAAAATGACCCTGTGCAATAAAGAGTATTGGAATGTATGATAATTAATCTTCTAATTTATTATGTAAGTTGCAAATACTTCTGTATCACGGACTAGCTGTATTCCAAAATGTACTTTAGGGTAGACGACTAATTTTTATTTTAATGTCCGTCTGATAGATTATTTAAAAACATTAGACACGTATTTTTTATTTTCTCACAGAAACGAATAGTTTCGAAGATATATTGATTTGAAATGTCGCGTGACGTCACTTCTCAGTACATTTTATACTAAGCAATGACGTTTTAGCCCCCACTCCTAAACTTTGATTCGTTTTATCTAAGTATTGTTTTATTATACGACAAAATAAAAAAATACGTGTCTAATATTTTTTCATTACCTAACTTACGGACTAATTATATTTTTAATTTTCATACCCTGTCATCATCCCCATTAAACGCGATTAATAACATTAGATCGCCATCTTTGCCTAATGTGAAATGCCTTCGCCTAATGTAATAAATAAATAAATAAATCAGCAAGTCCAATGTACCTAATGTCGTGTCGAAAGTGAAGTAGGGATGTCCAATCAGTCATAATCGATCGAATGTGTTTGTTTTTTCTTTATGAATGCAGTAATAATAATATTATACAGTTATAAGAACTTCTTTATTTCTATAAAATCATACAAACACTCAACATTCGTTCAAATATTCGTTGTTAGTGCTCCAGGGCCAACAATGTATGGACGCAGAACAATGTCCTTTAGTCATTGAGTTTCGAAATAACCTATACTTGCCCTGCCTACCCATATTCATTAAAATGAGTTGCTGTAAATATGTGTGTAATAATACATTAATGCCACTTACTTGTTCTCTGACTAAACGATCTGTCAAGGCAGCCAAAGCATCAAATGCTCGAGTTTGTTTCTTGTACTGACTGGGGTCGCCGCCAGATTTCAACAGCCACTTACGTACGGTCGTATCAACCAATTCATATCGAGAACATTTTCTGTTTCGTAAAAATGGTAACAAGAAATACAAAAATAAATTATTTGATATATCATAAAACATGCGATTGTTATGTATTACTAGACTAGACTACGACCTATTATAAAACAAGACAACAAGGGAATAATCTTATCGAATTTAGATCAACTATAAGATCAACCCGTGGCAGTCCACTGTACCACAAGTCTCGATTCTGTGAGGGTTTGCTATATAATCTCTACGGTCGCTAGGTTGGTATCGAAAGATCGTAGTTCAGGTTTAGGGTACCAGAAAGTGCTGTTGCACGGTCACTCGCTCGCTGTAAATTGCACAATTTACACAATACATGACACATAACATCACGCCTTTTATTTGTAGGCAGAGGTGCACATTATGGCACTTAATGCAACTGTAGGTATAATGTAACACCTACTTTTCACGATTTATGTTATGAGTCCCATGTAATAGGGGGTGAGCCTATTGCCATTGCACAAATTCCAGCATTTACAATTTGCGTGTACTAACACGCAGACAGAGGAAGAGGTAAATGTGTGCCCCCATGTCTTATGGACATATTACGAGATAACGAATGTTATACAAACCCGGTTACAACGTCAGGTAGTAATTTCATGACGTCAACCAACAGAAGTTCCGCATCGTCCCGTGAGACATGCATAGCGTCAAGGCAGTCGTATAACAGAGTTGTTATATTAACCTCACGTCCTAATTTCGTTCTGGAGCCTAAAGGCGTTCTGTGGGTAAACAGATGATAATACTAATAAAAAGCAGAGAAATGCCTTGTTGAAAAGAAAAGATAAATTCTCTTGTTTGTCCAAAGGTTTAAAGGCCAAAACTTAAAGTAAGCAATATATCTTAAAATTGTTTTATATACCATTTAACATATTTTGGGTAAATTATATTGATAGGTATCGTTTCTTATAAAACTCACAATGGAAAGTATTTTTTCCGGTGTTGCTGGTGGGACCGAGGAACCATGAACAGGTAAATGTCCGATTGCTCTGGCTCAAAAGGTGTGAAGGTCGCTGGTGCAGCCCTATAGGACAGCGGCTTCTCTCGGAGACTTGCGATCTCTTCTTGTAGTTGCTGTTATCAATAAAATTGCTGTCAATGGAAAATTCACTAAAAATTATAGCCAAATAATGAGTATAGAGTAAGGGACACAATAATGGCCCGTTTTACAATCTCTGGATAACTACTATCTGCCAGATACAAAAGAATATAATACCTACTATTGAAGACATTGAATTTCGACTAGGAGGTCTTTCTGATGAATAAAATGATATTAAGTGTGGGAGAGCCATGGGCGGGCTCGACCAGAGTGATATCACGGCCTCACAGAAAACCGATTTGAAATAACGCTTACGTTGTGTTTCGTCGTGTGAGTGAGGTTACCAGAAGCTTAATTACCTCCCTACCCCTATCCCCGAATCCCCAACAATCCCCAATTTCCAATTCCCAAAAAGCCAGTAACCCACTTGTAAAGCTTCTGGTGTTTCAGGTGTCCATGGGCGGCACCGATGGCTTCCCTTCAGGTGATTTGCCTAGTTTACCGGTTTATCCCATAAAATAATTATTTTGCTAACTATGAACTGCATTCACTGCATTGCATACTTGTGATACATACCTTAATTTGTTGTTTTTGTCTTTGTCGCACTATCAGTAGACGCATTACGTCACGCTGGTATATTTCCGGGTTGTAACCACCAGCCATATCGACAGGAATCTTCGTAGGCTGTTATGATTAAACTTAATATTAAAATATCTTTAATACAATCACCGTCAATCACGGTATAAGTCCCCCTTAGAAATACTTAAGATTTTTTAATTTTTACCATAAATCAACTTAAATGTTTACTTTTATACCAACCTTTTGAGGTAGAACTTCTGCTTGCAACGCTGCTGTCAATCGCAAGCGTTCAGAGTAGTGGTTTAGAGTTTTCAGATATTTCTTTTCGAGAGTACTATGTCGCTCCTGAAAGTTATTTCCTGATTTTGTACATACATAAAAATTGTGATTGTTTTGAGTAAGTCATATATAATTGTATCTTTTTGACTTGGGACCATTCTTGTCAGTAAGCAATTATTTGTAATAGTATTTTTTACGATATTTTGGGGATCAGGAAGATTCGCAGGTTTGTACTTATAAACCTGCGAATCTTATTACTTACTAAAGTACCTACCAACAAATGGGGGTAGACAGAAACTGTAGCGCCCCATAAATTATTTTTCAGTTTATTCCTTCGGCTTCCATCACATTCATTTATCTCTTTACTTCGCAGCTGGCCTTATTCCAATGTGAGTATTTTATTTTCTTTTTGATGACGAGGGTAGGTTGAAGATGGCTAACTTTTGAAAATAAATATAAAGTAATGTGACTACGTACACTCCATGTGCGGAGCTGCGCTATTACGTGCGGTAGTGTGGCGTATGTGATCGCGTACTTGTGGCGGCGCGCCATTTGTCGCAGCAGGTCGTCGAGCGTGCGGTCCACCTTGCGCGGCCGGCCCAGCTTGCGTGTCAACACGTCACGCATTTGCGCGCGTAGGTCCGTCGCTTCTGCCTCCATCGCGCGCAGGTCTATGTTCATACGGAACAAGTGCGTGCGGTTTATCCTGCCGACAGATAAACCTAGTCACTAGGCCTTCTTTATAATAAAGAGAAAGGAAGGCATAATCACCACGCTTGGCAGTTAGGTTTGAAGATCGCAGTTTAAAAGTATTCATTTAAAATGAAAAGTAAGTGTCAGTGTCTTGGAAGCTGGTTCTGAAAACCAGCTTCCAAGACACTGACACTGGTTCACTGGCTTTCTTTTATAAAGTTACCTTTGCCGTAATTTCTGTTCTTTAATCTCTTCCAGAAGTTCAAGCACTCGTTTCCTAAGTCGAGTTAGTAACGCTTCGGGAAATACCACAGTTTGTGACAGACCCTGAGGACCAGTGCAGCCGACGATAGCAGCTGCTCTGATCTGATCGTACCGTAGGACCACTACAGTGTCTACTTCGTTCATGCAGGTTTGTTTCTCCAACTAAACAAAATAACAAATAGATATGATTAAATTAGGAAGCTGCATAGCTGCATTAATTATTTTATATCAGAAAGTTCTTTACCATAAATTCTCTAAGATCGTTCTTCCTCTGATCCAACTGCATGGAGAGTTTGCGCTTGACCTTATTATGAGCCTCAATGTCACGCTTCAAAAGTTCAACCAGACGATCTTGCTCCATCATATTCTGTTCATGCTTGTGTCTGTTGAGCCAATAAGTTTAAAATATGGGAAGAACAAGAAATTGGACGCTAAAACACTAACGGCCGTTCCCAATATTCTATCTATCCCTTGTTTTGCTCTACTGGAGATATCTATCTTTCTATCTTTAAATTTGCCGTCTCAATAAACTTACTGGCGATAGGCAAACTAATCTATGGTTGTCATTACCTGTGGGAGGACGGATAGGTTATCTACAGATTGCTTTTACTATGAAATTGACAGTTCACGCGTCCCAATAATAACAAAGGTGCTATCTATCAGTAGCTTTGGTTATCCCTAGTAGGCTATAGCTCTATCGCAGGATTTTGATAAATAGGAGTATAGTTATCAGTGAAGATCAGTAACATATCTTTTCTATTTCTTAAAAATACATATAGGAGTATAGTTATATACATCAGATTTAAACAAAAAATCATGTCGGTCTTCAGTTCAAGAAGTAGTTCAAGTGCTATTGATATTTTGGAACAAATAAGGAACTGGGGATCTGACGAGGATGATGTGCTCACCACACCACAACACGATCATATCAAGGGCGTGTTAATTACATGTACAGATATGACGATTACGAGTTTGTGTATAGATTTAGGCTAAGAAGACTAAATTTGAGAAATTTATAATTGTATCAATATAGATAGGTCAGTTATTCTTACCTACATATTTATTTTAATTAATATGTGTTGCAAAATTACACAGTGTAAAAAAAAGATGGTTTAGAATAAACTGTTTTAATTTATTTAAATACATGAATTATTATTGGGTTGTTTCTCCTTCTCCAGTATATCTAGCTAGAGTTTCCGTTTCTTTAATGCATGTATTTCATCGTCGTGTTTTATTTTTGACTTGGAAGTAATATTCTGCGATTGCCTGATTTCAATCTGTAATTGACTCATTTCATCTCGTCATCAGCTCGTCTTTTCTGTTTTCCTAGAAAAATATTATTCACTGTATTATTCCATTTTGGTCCTCACTACAACCACCATATAAAAGTTTTGTTACCAAACAGTATTGAAAAGTAATTAATCATAACCAATACCATAACCAAAAAATGAAATACACAAGAAACTATCTGTGATACCTAATCCTCCAAGTCGCATCTTTGAGCTGATTATTGCTTGCATTTGTGGCTTTGCTAAACATCAATGGATTTGCCTCCACCAATTGTACCAGCTGCATTACTTCTTCTTTCGTCAATAGCATATTCTTTTGCTGCAATGAGTGCACCAAACACGAGTTATTAGTCACATGTATGTTCATGTAATCAAGAACTTTAAAACTTCAATAGCTTCAATCTAAAGCTAGAAAAGCACAAACTGTAATACTTACTGAGGTCATTTTTATAACAATTCTTTGCTATATTATCACAATTTATTGTAAACAAAATCAACAAACAACAATGTCAAATGTCAATGTTTTAACAAATACGTTTCGTTACAAGTCGCGCACTATTCCAGTCGCAAACATGAAGTTTTCGTTATATTAAACTTAAATTAATTCAAAATGTTTGTGATATAAACATGACAAGATGCTTTAAAAACATTATTGTAACTTAGTGGCACTCTGTGGAGCTCTGCATACAATGAAACACACGGGAGGGTTCAGATAGGCACCCTATCTACTGATATCTAGAGATAGCAAAGACACATTTTAGTTATTGGGACGACATCGCAAGATAGATAGATTTTAACTGACTATCGAGGATAGCTATCAATCTTTACCTATGGATTGAATATTGGGAACGGCCGTAAGTAAGTACGTATCTATCTTACCGATTACCGGGCAAGCCTAAGACCGTTCGTGTTGATCTACGATTCTACGTAATACTAGATCATTAACAAACCTGGTATTTCTCATTTCAAAAGTTTTGTCATAGGTTTCTCTGTCGCATCCCTCGGGACATATGTTGGGGTCGAGGCGTATTGGCCCGATGTCTCGACTGTCCAAACTGCCTTCATCTTCTTCTTCGCTTGACGACGATGATGACTCAGACTCAGAAGATTCTGAAAACATAATTTAAAAGGATTAAGTAACATCTATATTAAGCACTATCGTGAGAAATACTAACTAACTACTTAGTAGGCTGTGCTGCGACCACGCACGATTCTCATGAGGAAGAGCCCTAGAGCCCATGTGGCTCGAAACTAGTTTTTTTTTATGGTATAAGCCGGTAAACGAGCAGGCGGATCACCTGATCGTAAGCAATCGGCGTCGCCCATGGACACCTGGAACACCAGAGGCATTACAAGTGCGTCACCGGCTTTTTGGGGATTAGGAGTTTGAGGATCGTTGAGGATATAGGGATTGGGGAGATTGGGGAAGGGGAAGGTAATTGGGCCTCCGGTAACCTCACTCACACGACGAAACACAACACAAGCGTTGCTTCGCGTCGGTTTTCTGTGAGGCCGTGGTATTACTCCGGTCGAGCCGGCCCATTCGTGCCGAATCATGGCTCTCATCATATTTTCACGTGAGTAACTCGCGTAACATAATTTTAAGAAACCCCTCTCTTTTAGGCGGGTGTGCAAAAAGGTTATAAAAATAATTATAATCTCAAAAGTATCCAACTATTATTTGCACATTTTTAGGTATAAGAGAAGGCAAAAATATGAATGAAGCACTAACTTACCATCATCATCACGAATACGTGGCGGACGGTATTTCTTTTTGAATATCCTTCGAAGGAAGTCAGCAAACTTATTATCTTGTACAAGACGTTTGAATTTCCTCTGCAGGTCCTCACACATTGTGCCCAGGTTATCCTTCTCAGTCATATGTTCTTCAATGCGGTGTTCACAGTCTATTATTTGCTCTTGTACTGCTCGCACCTGGAATCCACAATGCTCTTATGTTGTTGTGTCCTAAACTTATTTATATGTATAAATTATACCTACACATTTTATTTGCATTCGTTGATTGGTAAGGTAGGTTCCTACATTTTGCTTAAAAAGGTAAAGTTTGTGAGTAGTGTAATAAAATCGTCACCTGCATCAATTTGACATAAACTCGTTCAGCCAAGCGATCTTCGTGCATTTCGAACCTATTCAAAACGTTCATTTCTCTGTGCAATTGATGTAAATGCAGCTCCAATAATAGGCTCCTTTCCTAGAAAATATTGTTTATAGAGTTTATTATTAAGTTTACCATATCATATTTAGGTTTATCGCGCAAAAATGGGTGTTACATTTATTATTATTACATGTTTGCCAACTCTGAATTTGATTGAATTAAAAGGGAGAACGATCTTGCGTGTATTAGGTACGTAATATTAAGTATCTAGCTTAATATTATGTAGCATATGTATGCTTATATCTTTACAAAATTGTATTAACACCTGGACCCTTATACGCTCCCGTTGTAGCTCTTTCAATCGGGAGTCAAACAGCCTCACTTGGTCATCTGCGTCCATGAGTAACATGTCTTGTTCATATAGATGTCTGTGTAAAAAAAACGTTAGAATTAGTAAAACATCTTCTTAAGTTGTATTTCCTTTTTAAGAGGTAGCGGCATACGAGCACACGGATTTACCTGATGGTATGAATATCGTTCTAGTCTAATCACAGAAATATAAAACTTCATTTATTTACTTATTATATCTATGAGTCTAATAAGTAATTAATGTCGCTAGTAAATAAAAGTCAATGTACATACATAAATATACTGCTACATATTATAACCGTAGGGAATATACTTAAAATTAATATTGTATTTGTATAATACTTATTGCTTGAGTTCACCTTTCGATACGTCTTTCACGAATTTCATTTTCAACAGGAGTCGATTCGTGATCTTGTCTCTGTCTCAAAAGTTCCCATGAAGCAAAAAGGGGTCTTGATTCTGAAATAATTATGTAAAACACTGATTCGGTTTACAGACCGGACAAAATATAAATAACCAGTAATAGATACGTAAAATATTTCAATTTTACGTTTGGTTATTCTTGGAAATGATTCCGAAAATGGTAATCGAAAATAAAACTAAAAATGTAGATCAGACATACTGTTTATAAGATAGGACGTTCTAAATATCGACATTATATATTTTGACATACAATCCCTATTTATGAAATCATCAATGTCCTAACCTCCAAACGTCTGCCGTATGTAACTTCTCTGGTGTTGTGGGTGTCAATGTCCATGGGTGTCGCCGATTGTTGCCCTATACTTAATGTATGCAACTTTTACAGTTCTGTTAGATATTTACCAGTGACGGGTACAAATCTGTTAACTCTTGGCTGACGTACTCTCGCGGTAGGGTCAATCTTACTCAGGGAGGTTCTCTTGCGCTCCTGTACTAGTTGCGATTTCTTATGCGGCAGTCTGCTCGTTGGGTATATTGGTTCTGGTTTTACCTTTAAATCAAGAACTGTTCTCAGTACTTATATAAAATTCTATCAGTGAATAATTTCAGTAACGACATAGGTAGGCACCTACTTTAAATTATATAAAAGCACTTCGTGCACTTCATATAGTGCTCTTTCAGTGTAGGTATTAGAAAAAAGCGACAGTACTAAATCCCAACGGTAGATTCTGGTGATTATAAGTGATGTAACTGGAAAATCATAATGTACCTACAGTAAGTAATATACTTACTTCAAGATGTCTCTCAGGAAATTCCAGTTCGTCGTCAAATTCCGGCAGGGGCGGCGGTGGCTTAGCTAATTTAGGAGGTATCTCTATTCGAATTTCGGATAGTCGCTCTCCAATCTCCTTCATACGTTGTAACATTTGTACTTTACGACTCCGCAGCTCTAACACTTTTTCGTTGAATTCATGTTTCAGGTCGTAGATCTGAGCAACAAAAGATAATAATCCAGTAATCTATCCTTTAAATTAAGAAAAAATATTACTCTCAAAGTGGCGACAACTCATTATGAAGTCACATAATAATTATGTAATTATAATTTCAACTATTGAAGATATTTCAGTTTGATATTTAATGGTCCGTTCACATGGGTACACGAACCGTTGGCGTGAATTTTTTTTAAGTGCGTCCAGATCAGCGCGCTATCGGCTCATTAGCTTTATGTGGACGCAGCTTCATTGATACCTTTATTAGGTTTATAATTTTTTTATTATATCACCTACAAAGACACACTGACCTCTTTCCTGCAGAGGCAGACTCTCATCTGCGTATTATGACCAGGTGGTGCGACGTAGTTGGGGTCGGTCTTGAGTATGCGGTTGCCGATGGTTGCTTCAGCTTCTTTCAGCGCTTCAGCAGCTCCAGGAGGCATAGCGTTAGGGTCCGGTTTACGGTTCAAATGCTCTTGCCACTACACAAAGCAAAAATAGATTTTCGGATTTAACTGATAGCGGTGAAAATTATCAGGTTCCTACTTATTGATAAAAATATAGGCTACTCTTCTTAGTTACTCTTATATCTGTAATTCTGAATGAAATAAAAGCTAAGAGTGTGTGAGTGTATGAGTTAAAAATAGGTACTTCAAAAATATTTACGTACCTCAATATACTGGATATGGTGTCTGTTTAGACGGACGTGGTAGTTTCTAAGGGCTTTCTTCAGAGGGTATGGTGGTCTTGGAGGTAAACCTAGTAAGAACGAAGCAACTCTCGGAGGTCCATACGATGTCTTCCGTGCACCCATGCGACGAATCGATGACTCCGTTCGCCTAGTTTAAAAGTATGTAATTTGAATAGAACATGTATAGTAATAGGTGCATGACTGCATGTCACACATTTTCACATGCAGGCCGACTTCGTAATAAAAATAAAGAAAAGAGAAGACTGTACTGTTGGTGCGGTGGCTGGGCAACCGGCTGCCGTGCAACGTGTCGCGAGTTCGATTCCCGCACGGAACAACACTTTGAGTGATCCACAAATTGTTGTTTCGGGTCTGGGTGTCATTGTGTATGTGAACTTGTATGTTTGTAAACGCATCCACGACACAGGACAAAATACTAATGTGGGGCAACGTTTTTCAAATAAGAAGAGAGAGAAACACAGAAAATGAAGAAGCGCAAAGCTGTATTAAACGCATTATTTGTGTAACTTATTAACCTTTTACGCACACAAAGTTCTATATACCCATATCCAACACTTGTCAACAGTTGACTGCTTGAACTTCACACTACATAGCATTGTTACTTGGTGTAGTATAAGAGGAGGTATGTTGCATGCAAATGCAAATACTATAGGTTACTTACTTTAGTTCTTGTTCAGCTAATTCCAATAAATTCATATCCCTAAGCAGCATGTACATTACAAAATACACATTAAATAATATGTTTACGTATACTAACTAAAAATATCGATTTACTCACGTAAATATACCTACTGAGAAAAAAGCTCTATTAGTTTCGTGTTACGGAGGGACTTTTCCTCATGAGCAGCGTGCACGTGCATAGATGCGGCGACGTCGCGCAGTATCAATATCTTTTCGGTATATTCACGCGAGTAAATCGTTATTTTTAGATAATTTAGTATGTCTCGGAATATTTATTACAAAAATATATAGGTACGTAAACTTAAAAAAAATTGCAATGATATTACCTTCCTTTCAGTGCGGCTTCTGCAAGTTTCTGATATACTTCTTCCAATTGTGCATAGAAAGCAGCAGAGAGATTCTTTTGGCGCAGCGGTCTTATTATTATGTTTGGATTGCTACAACAGACAATACAAAAAAGGTTTAGAATTCATCAGCATTCAACAGCCGAATTAGGGTGATTTAGGTGAAAAAAATATCATTCTTCCTTCATCAAAATACTGCAATCGGATCTATAATTAATTTCCTTCGTATTTGCAGAACAGTTGGCGGGCCAGGTAAAATGCTTTATCGGGCCATAGTTCACTCACTACTGATTACAAGTACAAAATAAATAGTTGAAGCAGAATGATAATAATATTATAATATAAGAAACTAACCCGATAGCTCTCACGGTGAAAGGATACACGTCCAACTGTATGATATTCCTAGAATGCATCTTTGCTAAACCCAAATCGGAGGCCTCCAACTGATGTGCTAATTTCCTTATAGTAAGAGCTTTGGCATCTTCAAGCTCTTTCTCTTGTACTTGTAAGGGTCGTCTGTCGAGTGTTACATCTATTTGTTGAGAATAGGGTAATGCTTTATTCCTACAACAGATTAACATAACTAATTTAGGTATAAAAACCTATGAAATACCTAGTGGTTGGAGTTTAAAATTATGTAGGTAAAGATGCCAAATAGAACAGATGGCAATTGACCATATTTACACAATAGGTAGTTAGTCGCATTCTTCATTTAACTATAGATTACGCTTACGCTTTAATCAGTTTGTTGTATTCAGTTGTCAGATCAGCGAGTTGGTCGCGAACACGTTTTTTATGTGCGTTGGCGATCGCCATCATTTTGTCGAATTCCTCTTGCTGCTTCAGTTGTTCGTGAGACATCATCTCACCTTCTACCGTGCTGTGTTCCTTTACTTTTTCTACTTTCTGTAACAGATAGAGAACATTATTCCAGTATATAACTTAGATTTTACTAATGATTAAATATTGTTTGTGCTTACAGGGGTTTCTCGAGGCGTTGGAAGTTCTGGTATGGGTAACAATTGTTCTGGAAAGTTGATGACATAAGAGAATATATTTCCGTCACGTCCAGAGGTGTACAGGCGACTGGAAAAAGCAAATGATAAAAATACCTATAGTTATTTATTATTAACCAGTTACTCCCATGCTTGGAGAGAAGAATGATTGAATTCGAAACAGTTCCGGTAATTAACGGGTTCATACAATTTACAAACAAACTCTTCAGCTTTAGGTATAGATTCAGTTATAGATTAATAAGTTATTTAATAAATATTTCTTACCTCGAATCGCAGTTAAATTCCAGGACAGTGATAGCTCCAGTATAACGGTCATGCATCGGTAAGTAATAGTAATCTACGAAGTCTATGCGAGGAATTGGTTGTAACTGAAAGTAAGGTGAGGTCAAAGAAAGTAAGGTTAACTTCAACTCTTCCATTAGTATATTTAAAGAAATCAACAGTGGCCAGCAGATCATCCTACTCCAATCCAAATGGATTTTCGACTTTATGTCAATACGATGAGCCCGGCAACCCTTTAAGTCCTCTGCGGCTCCGCGTTGGGCATCTGCTCTATAGGACATTACGATTCGATTTGCGATATGTACTAAGTATAAACTGGTTGCGCAACCAAGCGGAAACCAGGTGAGTAACTTTCTATAGAGCTGTATACATTTTGTTGGTAGCGGCGACTGGTAGCGCTGCCATGACGTCTCTATGAAATATAGCCCTAATAAGTACTTAAAAATATAGATTTTCAATATAAATTGCAACATAAAGATATTGCAATATAAAGAGCAACCTGTTCTTTAGCCAGCCTTCTGCCCTTTAGTTTTCTCAATAGCTTCTGTTGTGCGGTCATCCACAAGGTAAAATGATGTTCAGGATTGTCTTCTTCCTCAGTCGGCATGCGAAACATACGTATGTATCCCGTATTTGTTCCAACCACGAGGTAACGTCCTTCACATCTGTAAAAAATAGGCACGTATGTCTATGATTATGAAAGAATGTTTGTTTGTTTATTACTCCTTCGCGTCAAAACAGGTGAAGGGATCGAGGTGAAATATGGAACAGATTCCTTAGAACGAATTTCGTTTTCGTTTAATGAGATTGGTTGATTCATTCGAGCTGGCCAATCAGAGAGCCGAATGCGGTAACGTTTCGATCTCGTTAAATACAAAATAAACTCATATAAGCCCTCTGGATACATTATGGTCTGGATTAACGTATAGGCGGAAACGTAGTTGAAACCGATGAAAGAAGCTAATAGAACCATAAATAAATATATTTTACGAACAAATGTCCACTTACACAAATCTTAATGCTGTCATATCCTCACACCAGGCTCCAGGGAAAGGTGCGTACTTGATTATCTTGTTGTTACCTGGCTGGATAAGAAGTAAAGCTCCTGTCCCTTGTTGGACGATCCACACTCCTTCTTCACAATAGTCGGCCCAAGTAACTGTTGTGCCTAACATACTCTCACTTTCCACTAAAATAAGTTAAAATATTTTACGAGCCAGAAGACATAGGTATCTAACATTAGGATAATAAAGAATAATGGTAAAACAGGTCTAAGAGATACTAGAACAATTTTCCAATTTCAATTCACTTACTCTCTCCTTAAATTTTATTTAAGTACCCTATGTTACAACAATAAAAAAGAAAGAGTATGCATACATACACATGCAACGGAATAGTGAGTAAGATATGTACTAACTTAATTCAATTTCGCCGATCCATTCGCCTTCATCCTCTTCATCATCTCGAAGTTCAGCCTCTTCTTTAGCCTTTAAAGCCTCTTCGTCAATGCTAGCGAGATCTTCTTCTTCCGGGAAAGGTTTGTGGCGCATACTACCGATTTCCAACACAGTATTACATCAAAAATAACAACACTTGAAAAGGTGCAAAAGCATAGTATTTATTAGTTTTTACTTACAAGTGTTTTTTCACTAAAGTTTCTTTGTACGACTCAAATTCTAGCTTAAAGGTTTTAATGTCAGTGTAAGTGCGAACTTTTGGTTCCGGTAGTACAGCTTCCATTATAAGGCCTACTTGACCACAAAGTAAGAGCACTCGGTCCTAAAATTCAAATCTTAAAGTCAACGAACTTAAGCAATTTCATGTTTTCAATAATGTACTTAGTAGTTTTTAATGTGGCTCGATTCAGTATCTCAGAAAAGGTTTAAAAAAAGAGGTAGCTGCAAACAGAATTAAGGCTGGGAAGTGGTTGTTGCAGGGTACTGCGCCGTGGAAAAGAATTAACCATGGAGTGGAGTGCTGGAGTGGTCCCCAGCAAGTTGTCATAATGATGATGATACTGAAAGTCTCTACTCACGTATACGTTTTCATAGGTATATTGTCTTACTCACTGTATCAGGTTTCCAGGTCATAAAAGCGATGTTATTAGGCGTTTCAACGAAACCTATTCTCTCAAGAGTGAACGGAGTTCCTTGTTTCAATAGATAAATGAATATGGTGCTATCTTCACCACAAGTTACTAGTAGAGTGCGCTGTTCGTTTATCGTTATTTGAGTTATTGCTTTTGAGTGCGGTTTTAGTAACTGTAAAAATAAAAATAATATTATGATTCTTAAGGAGTATTATTTTAAAAATAAAATCAATTGAGAAAATAAATCTTATAGCTACTTATTGGCTACATCGGAATTACATGCAAATATTTTATTATTAACTTCAGTCAAAATTATTCTATTTACATAGGGCCTATTAAATATGTAGGTATATTTTTCTCTTACCGATATCATATCTATTACGTCAGCATTAACAGAGTCCTCGCTATGGATGGTTAATGCTGAGTGCACCCGTATGTCAATCATACTCGTCCTAGCTTGGAGTCTATCGGGGTGTAGTAGTAAAGTTCGCATTGTGCCATCTTCGAAACCCAAAATCAAAAGGCGTGAGGTTTCATCAACCTGCGATTTTCAGAATTAATTTATCTTCTTATAATTGCACAGTATTAAAAAAAAATTGGTTGCCTGTAAAGTCGGTATACGGGCGAAAGTTTTACGTGACAACGATGTCTGTCTCTCTCGCTCTTAGGCGGGCTAACCATTCCCGAGTGGAAGGGACGCGTGCCTCTCACTCGCTCTCATTGTGAGCGCATAACGTGAGCGGAGCGTAACGCAGTTTCTTGAAGTGTCACCTGGTAAACCAATTTATAAGACGTTGTCACGTCAAAATCTAAATAAATGGGAAATCCTAATCTACCAAAAAGAAAAAAGTATTAGATTGATTTCATCGCTGCATCTATTTCAGAATTAACATAAAAATTACTACTTACATCCAAGGGGGGATAAAGAAGAGTGGTTATTGGTTTCGGGAAAAGATATCGTGCAAGCAGCATGTGATTGTCTGTGTCGTAAGCATGCAATGCTCCGTCTTCACCCGCCGTGATCAGTAGTGGATGCGTCCGTACTGCTGCCATAGCCACAACACCTCCAGCATGACACGTTATCACTTTACGATGATCGCATTCTATTTTATCAATTTCTAATTCAACTATCCATATACCTCCGTTGCCGTCCTATGAAAAAACAATAGCTTACACGCCTATTCATATGTCTAATAAGAAAGTGTTGAAATACTCACCTGGGCGTACCATAACAAGTCATTTTTGTGTTTTAAGGACATTATCTGACAACCCGGCACCTGCAAGCACATTTAGAAATAGCAGTTTTCTTAAAATTGGTAAAGTACTAATGTACTAATGATCTATAATTTGAAAAGGCTTCACTTGCTTTTGTCAGTTTCATTTATAATAAGTTTGTTTTCATTACCAATCAAATTCAGTTTACCATTTCATTTCAGACCGTCCTATTACGCCACGACGATAGTGGACCAAAACAGAATAGGAAGCGTTAAACGAAAACAAAGTGTTAATCGACAGAGTACGAACACAAGTCTCAGCTACAGGGTTAAGTTCAACAAAAGGGTCGTCTTCTGGAGGATCAGCTTGGTCTACCGTGTCCCAGTACCAAGCACGGACACAGCCGTCACGAGCTATCGTTGTCACTTCATCACCAGCTGCGCTCAACATGAATTGGATCTGGAAGGTTTTAGAAAAATGTGATGGTGAAGAACTTGTGATGGCAGACATGATTCGTTTAGTGTGTAGGAGAATATTGTTATATGCATTAGCTGTAGTATTATGGATTTCTACTTGTCAATATGTTCATCTCTTTATGTACTCACAATTGGAGCGTTATGACAGACTTTTCGTCCCCTTTGCGTCACTTCTAATTTTACGAGGCCAGCCTCCCAAACTAAAATGTTACCCCATTCACATCCCGACAGTACCTGAAAATAAAAAAAACAAATTGGAACGACTTCAATTTCTTAATTAGATCTTTTAATAAGAATAATAGTCACTTTATTACCTTTTCGTCGGGCATTGGATAAACACCAAGGACATCACAGATTTCAGTTTTCCCGAATCTGCCAAGTTCTCCTTTCAATTTAAGGCCAGTAAATGTTTGTGCCATTTTCCAAAATTTTATGTGAGCAGCGCCTAAAAGAAGTAATTAGAAATTTAATAAATAAATTCTTAAAAAATCCCATGTCAGTAGTTATTCATAGGAGTAATGGTCAATTACCTGCAGTAGTGAGCTGTCCTTCACAATATGGTGAAAACATGACAGCATGAACTCCGTATGTAAATGCACTAGTACGTAGAAGAATCTTATGACGTTTCCAGTTCCAGATGGTCAAATTGAAATCTGGCTCTTTACCCACAGACGCCAGCAGTTCTCCATCAGGGCTAGATATAGGTACAGATATGAAGAATGATTGTTATGTAAATTTTTAGGATAATTTATAATGTCCAAAGTTTTATTGAGATCAAACCTCTCCTAGGGTAGCATGGTCAAGGTTTCTTACTCTATCATCATCATCATCATCATCAACAGCCGGAAGATGTCCACTGCTGGACAAAGGCCTCCCCCTTTGTCCTCCACGTCGAATTTAAATCGAAATTAAATTATCTTACTCTATTACGAAAGCTTAAATAATAGTTGTTATATCGGGGAGGGTCGAATGTGTAGTAGGTATGTACTTAAAAGCGTCTCTTGGTTCGTTTTGCCAAGTTTAAATAGTAATCGGAACTCCATATAGTACGACGTCAAACACCATATACTTAAACGAAATACCAAAAAAATGTTTCACTAAAAATGGTTCCCTTATAAAGTATTTTCGCCATTATTTACATATCTTCCAAAATAAAAATAGTGAACTAGATATAGGTACCTGAAATCAAGAATAGCATATCCATTCGCGGTACCATCGCGAAGAACCGCATCCATTTCCATTTGAGGCCAGGTATACATAATTATTAATGGCTCTTGGTTGCCTTCTCTGTCCTCTGCTATCACTATACGGTAGTTAGGGTCTTTTCTGTAAGACTAAACATATAAAATATTATGCTAGTATAGATAATACAAAAAAAAAGGAACCACTTGACCTTTAGCATTCAATTGTTCGAGGTCTGGGTGTATGGTGTATGTGAAGAAGTATATTTGTCAACGCGCACATGACGCAGGATAAAATACTAGCGTAGGACAAAGCTTAAAAAAGTTCAAACACAGTTAAGCTATGACTGTTGGTTGGCGCGGCGACTGAGCAACTAGCTGCCGCGCAACGTGTTGCGAGTTCATTCAACAAAGCCTAGTGCCTATTTTGCATTAATTGTGGGTAATTTTTATAGCTGTCGTGTAGTAATAGAAGTTATTTTTATTTACCGTTATACTTCCAACTGTTCCTCCGGTAGTGCTTCGTCGAAACCATGTCTGTTTAGTATTCACGTCCAAGAAAGTAATCATGCTGCCCGATGAAAAGCATACGACCATATCGTCGCACGCGCAGAGGTTAAAAAACTTATGACAGTTGTAACCGTAAGAATACCTTTGTTACATTTAAGGAAAAACTTAATTATGTTTATCATAAATTATTAAATTACTTTGATCACCAGCACATAAGCAAAGTAAAAAAATTGTAAAGCAAAGCAAAGTAATAACAGAAACTCACTGAGAGGTACATAGTAAATTGGGCGATCTACATGATTACTCAGGATTTGCATTTTTGAACAACCTTGTCGAAATGCTAAACACTGCATTCCAGAATGATCAACGCGAGTTATTTTATTGCGATTGAAACGTTATCGCGCGTAGCCCTCTGAGGCTCTGATTGATTGGTTAATATGGTGAATATGGAGCTGGTCTGTCAGTAGGCTAACACAGTAACATTTGGATCGCGTTAACGTAAAATAAACTTTTAAGAGGCACCCAGACTCACTGCATTAGTTAACGTATTGTCTTTTATCTCTTGAATGGGGATGATGACAGGGTATGAAAATTAAAAATATAATTAGTCCGTAAGTTAGGTAATGAAAAAATATTAGACACGTATTTTTTTATTTTGTCGTATAATAAAACAATACTTAGATAAAACGAATCAAAGTTTAGGAGTGGGGGCTAAAACGTCATTTCTTAGTATAAAATGTACTGAGAAGTGACGTCACGCGACATTTCAAATCAATATATCTTCGAAACTATTCGTTTCTGTGAGAAAATAAAAAATACGTGTCTAATGTTTTTAAATAATCTACCAGACGGACATTAAAATAAAAATTAGTCGTCTACCCCATTATATTACCTTAGTGTATTGATATCAATATTGGTAATAGTCTCTCATATTTTTTTTTATATTTTTCACTTGAAAAGGATACTCGAATTCGAATATATCAGGTGGAATCGTTGACTGCGGGCTACTGACTGCCCCCGAGATATAGTCGTCCGGGTCATAAATTGTCAATATTGATTCCGCGTCTTCCTCGCCTTCGTATTCTCCTTCTTCATCTGTCTCTTGATACTCTTGTTCTTCTTCCTGTCCTCCTTCTAACATGGAACAATTAAATATGAAATTTGTGAAACCACGCTACGGCTCCTATATCCCCCCTATCAAGGTTCTTCAGTAGGTATATGTATATCGGCATTGTTACGTCCCTCTACCTCGGAAAGTACGTAAAATCTTTGTATGGTTGTTTGATTGCAACCTCACTGAAACGATTGAGCTAATAGTGTCTCCATGCACAGTGCTCCATAAGTACAATTTCTGTTTTTTTTTTAAACTTTGTCCTACATAAGGATTTTCCCCTGTGTCGTGGGTGCCTTTACAAACATACAAGTTCACATACACATGACACCCAGACCAGAAATTGTAGATCACACAAACAGTTGTTCCGTGCGGGAATCGAACCCGCGACACGTTGCGCAGCAGCCAGTTGCCCAGCCACCGCACCAACCGTGCAGTCAAATTTCTGCGCATTAGTGGCATTAATTGGCTATTTGGTTGTAAACAAAACGGTTAGAAGACGATATAGAGGTAGATACCCAATTTCTTACCCATTATTTCACCTATAACCTCTTCATCGAATTGTTGTCTGTCTTCTTCAATATTTTCTTGTGCTTCATCAACATTTTCTGGTACTTCATCAACATTTTCTTGTACTTCAACTACATTTTCTTGTACTTCAACTACATTTTCTGGTACTTCAACTACATTTTCTTGTGTTTCAATAACATTTTCTTCTGCGTCTACCAGATTTTCTTGTGGTTCATCAAAATTTTCTTGTGGTTCATCAATATTATCTTGTGGTTCATCAATATTATCTTGTGGTTCATCAATATTATCTTGTGCGTCATCAACATTTTCTTTTGCGTCTTCTTCCTTGTCAGACATTTTTAATAACTTTTACTTCGCGATAGCAAATAGAGAAATACAATGTACTTTGTTGATGGTTTTGTCAATAAGTAAACATTATACTGTTGCTAGGATACACATGACGCTTGATTTGAAATTTTACTTCGTAGAGTGCGTCCCCTTAAACTTATTATACTTTTTGAGTTCGTCACGCAAAAGAGTATAATAAGTATAGGGGAAGCGTCACACGTTACTGTTTGTTGTTCTTGATTTCGTATTATATAGTACCTAATATCGGAATACTCAAACGCTACTCAATTTTAAGTCGTGCTTAAGTATAGTTCTGTCTCCACAAATTCTTTGTAAAATGACAGAGATAACACGATACTTAAGCACGACTTAAAATTGAGTAACGTGTCAGTATTCCGGCATAAGTGTAGGTACTTTCCCCTATGTTATACTCTTTGGTAGATACTGCTACTGTGCTGCTACATTGCTACATGAATACCGAAACTGAATGTAGATTTTTATTTTATTTCAAGCCAAAGTGTAATTTAATAATGACAATATCTAATAGGATGCCACTTAATAAAAGAAAACTAGTTATTTATTGCATGTGCTCAGAAATATAACAAGTCTCAATATAACCATAGGTACTACGATATTTCTTCGATCTATCTGCGTTCCTTTATACCCAGCACCAATATATTAGAAAAAATGTTTTAAATTTATCAAAATTTAACAATGGTTTAACTGAATGGTTAATAACATAACATCACACCTTTTATCCCTACAGGGGTAGGCAGAGGTGCACATTATACCACTGTATAATATAACACCCACTTTTCACTATTTATGTTATGAGTCCCATGTAACAGGGAGTGAGCCTATTGCCATATATCGGGCACAATTCCAGACTCCGTGCTACTACTGAGATTTTTAAACAAACCCAGTAATACTTTGCCCGACCCGGGAATCGAACCCTAGACCGACCGAGTGGTCGCAAGTGCGACCACTCGGTCAACGAGACAGTCTGAATGGATTGCTAATTGAATTTTCTTATATATAATAATTGGAACGGCCAATATTGAATTAGACTAATAGGTACTTACTTAATATAATACCTACAGGTGCTTGAAAAATGAAACTACTAACAAAAGTCACAAAATGTATTATGTTAATCATTACACACATAAAAGTATTACAATTACCAGTAAAATGTGAACATTTGATCTGCAATTACCAGTCAAATGTTGTGAAAATTTTGAGCTTAACTAATACATAATAATAGTCAAGTAACTACTACAGAAGGATTAATATCATTCACACACAAATTTTAAATCTACAATTGGTATTTCTTAGAAATACTTCTTATTATAATAAGTAGGTACTAGTACATTAATTGATATGAAAGTATTACAAGAAAACTAGAACTCTAGTCAGTGCGTCTTAAATCGAAAACACGTAATCATAAAAAAGTAAATACTGGGTCTTAAAACTTTAATACCATTGGTAATTTTTTTAAAAGATTCTATTACGAATAAAAATTATATTATAAAATAATTTTTCGCAATAATACGAATGGCCGATGAAAAATTCGTTTAAAACGTAATATATGGAAAAAATCTAATCAATTTAATTGTGCTACATATCACATTACATTAAGGACCAGTTTCTTTCGATATCATACGTGGCTACTCCTTAAACCTATCAAGCCTAACGTATAAAAGAACACAACCATTAGGTAGGTACACACAGTCAGTTTCTTCTTTCCAATAATGTAGATGAAGAAGATTAAATTGCATATTTTCCTGAATTCCTGATCTGGAAGCTCGTTCGGAAACCGAACGTGTGTAGTCTCAAACGTATTGACATAATAACGTATTGATAAACTTGAGCATTCGACGGTTTGCTTGTAAAAATGTTTGTATAATTATAATTATTTATAGCAATGTTTGAATGTAGTCGGACCTAGCTTGTTGTTCAGTTTGACAAAAAATCGGCGGATACTTTCTTTTTCTATTTCAAGTGAATGTTCGGGTCTATCAGTATTTAAAATATGTTTACAGCATCTTCTTAAAACCTAAACGAAGCGAATAAAAACGAATGCATGAACATTGCGCTAGAAAGCCATGTGACGACTGCGTGTTCGTGCGATGGCAAAACGATATTCTATCATCGCGCGAATTGACGACGCGATTGAGCGACTGAGGTCCACGGTTACTAGATCCACGGTCCGTGGATCGTACCAACAACCATTTCGCGAGAAATTCAAATAGGACATGAACAAGTGTCCTAGGTGTTAGTAGGTGTTAGTAGGTGTCACTAGGTATTAGTTCAATTGTATTTAAACACACGTTCGCACAAGTAAAATTCACGCGAACTGGTGATGATCAAACATTTGTGTTCTATTCGGGCTGAAACTGCGTTAAGTAGCTTATATTATTTTTAAATTTGGTAAATATCTATTTAGAACACAATTTAAATAAAGTACCTACTTATTTTCGTTTTTTCTTACCATAAAACATAAAAACACGTCATAAGTAGATACTTATTATTTGTCACAACTCTCCTTAACTTTAATCACATGATTTATAATCTAAGACTTAGATTGTAGGTCATTCAGGATATGGACTTACGTTAAAATTATTAATCATAATTTTTTGCCAACGACCTCAAATTGAACGCAGACAAAGTGATAAATTGAAAAAGTTTGAAAATAACCTTTCGTAAAAGATAACAACGATGCTTTCAGTACCGATGTGTAAATAATCTAATTCATAATATCACTTTATCGCCCTAATCTCTAGAGTATAGATTGAAGTTTTCCAAAAAAAAAAAACTCAAGAAATGAGATGAAATTTTCAATAGTGTTTGGGTGGAATTTTATTAAACCCTAACTGGCGACTACTTTGACAAGCGAAAGCAAAGTGTCACGATTTATAGGAAATACAGGGTATCTGTAAGTGAATTGTGTGGCGGGCTGTGGAGAGTGTTTGCTGCCAAGAACGCCAGCTTATGCGCGTACTGGCACACGGCTGGGACACGGACTTGTGCGGAGCAGTTGTAGTACATGTGCGTCATCTTGTACGTCAACCATTGCATCTGAAACCGTAAAGTAGAATTATTTTTAATTCTATATAATTATATGCAACTGTAATCAAACCACTGTACTAAATGTAAATACTATATTACTAGTCATTTAAATTAAAAATAATAGTTAGTATTTGTTTTAGATAACAATTTCAATTAGAGGTTAAATTATTTTTAGATTTTGAATATAAAATAAATTGAAAATATATTTTACCCTGTCAGGATGCAGTCCTGTTGTATCCGCAATTACGTTATACGATGTAGGAGTTATGGTTCCATCTCGCACATTTTGTGAAATCAAAAAAAAGTCGTATCTGAAAAAAGAAGGTGACAATTTAATCTATCATTCTCGCCTTTTGCCCCCCGGGTCATAATTGCATCACAATTTTTTACTATACTGCTAGTATAACGCTATCCAGTTCTGTATCGAAGTACGTAAAGTACCAATTAAAAGGTAAAATGAATTTTACCAATATCTTGAAAACGGTTAAGTTTGGGATAGGTATGGGGTATTAGACAAATCGGTCAGGAATGATGCATACCACATAAAGGATTTAGGTCGACTTTACTTGTAACCCTGTATACTATGTATGCATGTGTGTGAAGTGGAATCTTCCAATTAAATTTTGGAACAGATATCTTGAAACCAGAAATTTTGTATTCACGTTTAGTTTGTATAGCAATAATGCTCAGCCTTTTTTGAGGGGTAAAATCATACAATGACTTCTCCCGCCTTAGGTAAGGCGAGAGGGAGTGTCAGACTCTTACTGACTATAAGCCACTCCGTGCCTACTCCGACATTGCTATTCTGTAATAAACAGTTTCTAGGCTGTACACTGTGTCGAATGCGTCGACGAGTCAGCCTAGAGATCGACCGAGCCTCCTGTTCCATTGCCCGTTCCTACTTGTTAGTAAAATGGTTTTAATTTATTTACTTACCGCTCGGGTAGAGTAACAACGTCGTCAACAACAGTCCCTGGTCGTGGGTTTACGCATTTGCTTCCTTGTTCTAGGAAAAACCGCGCGTTTATCCTCTTTGACACAATTGTGAACGACATTTTATAGTCATCCGAGCCATACAACATACGAAGTGCCTTCTCTATTTCAGCCACCTAAAAATAAATATTTTTTGCATTTTGATTTTGGTTTAGATAAAATTAAGTTTCAATACAATAGACAATAAGTCAATGGACAGCAGCAGCGATTGCCCAACGTCATCGACCTAGTCCTACGCGGTATCCCTGTGAAGTCGTGGACTATCGCTCTACGTCGACGAAGCCGCCTACTACACGACGTCGATGAATCCCAGGCACGTAGTAGTCAAACTACAGCGCGCTCTAGATGCACTCCCTGAATGGCTAGAGAAGTGGACATTGGCCGTGAACGTGGCCAAGACACAAGCATGGAGATCATGAAGCCGACACCCATCACTCATGGGAGAGCAGGTCCGGTGGGCGCCGAGAGTTAAATACCTCGGTGTGACCATCGACCGCTCGCTTTCAGGGCAGGCTGCTGCACAGGCGCGCGCCGCGCGTCATCTCCTCCTCCCGGTGATCAACTCATCTCGATCGTGTCGCGAGTCCTAGCGGCGCCCCCACTGGACACGACCGCGCGCCGCTAATAGCTCGCTGCTCGCCGGGCTCGCCCGGCTAGAGCACGGCTCACAGCGGCGCAAACCACCTAAGACGACGCTGCATCGAGCCCCGCCCCCACTAGGGGCCCGACTACACCAACCCCTCGCCTGCAGTCGCAGGCAGTGACCAGACACCGCCGAAACAGGCATCGGCCTGGTTCGCGCGACCTCGTGCCCCCAGTCGGGGACCGACAGAAGACTATAGAGGCAAATAAATTATCTTGGTTTGAAGTACTTCGTATTATTTCAAGTAGTAGGTTTCAAAGGACTGTCGGCTGATAATGTTCACCCCGTATGGGCGTATTCGCGCGAAAAGTTTGTTTATTTGGGTTTTTAATTCGAATTTTACCCCCTTCCTGACGATACGTCGTTCTGATATTCAGAATACATTCCTCTTCTTGATGACCAAACAATATTATAATTGAAGCTTTTTCACAACTACTTCCATTATGGATACCAACGAAGGGGCTTGATTGGTAGAGAAGAGCACATTAAAACCTATTAACATATTACATATTGTTTGAAATATATTAACAAATACACAATAATATGTTAGTACGCTATATGTGAACCATTTATGTAGGCATTACTAACCTCGTGTGTGTTTACATAAGGAATTTGTCCATCACCCACGCCATCACGATATATAAAAATCCTTTGCGGCAACATGCCTGAAAATATTTTTGATTTCAGTAACATTGTTACATTTTTAATATTGTCATAAATAACAATTTGTTTTGAAATTCATTACGACTACCAAGAAATTTTACTTATAAAGAAAATTAATTAATACCGTTCACATCTCTATACTTTTTTACGGCTGTGGCTGTATTGAAGCCCATGTGGTTGCTTAATTCTTCGCCAGAGGTGTGCGAGTTGACAGCGGAGTAGTAGCGCGTCATATATCTATCTAACGAAGCAATATATCCACCGAAACTTTTTTGTTTGTTTTTAGTGTCATGACACACGTCATAGCCCACGACTAATATGTTTTGGAGGGGTATCTCTACTCTCCACGGCGCGCCCCCGAGCTGTAATAAATAGAGTAAAAACAAAAATTATAATTAGTAAAATATATTACAAGTGTGACGAATAGACTGAGTGATACCATGGCTTTACAGAAAACCGACGCGAAACAACGCTTGCTCGTCGTGTCCCCCTTTCCCAATCTCCCCAATCTGTAAATTTTTAAAAACCCTCAAATTCCTAATCCTCAAAAGGCCGGTAACGCACTTGTAACGCCTTTGATGTGCCGGGTGTCCATCGGCAGCGCCGATTGCTTACAATCAGGTGACCCGTCTGCTCATTTTCAAATATCCCATAAAAAATAACTAACCTTTAACTAACTATACAGCTATACTTAAGCATACATATTTAGAATTACTCCACATGACATAACATCACTCCTTTTATCCCCAAAGGAGTCGGCAGAGGTGCACATTATGCTACCGGGCACAATTTCAGACTCCGTGCTACTACTGAGAATTTTTTTAAAACCCAGTAATATTTTGCCCGACCCGGGAATCGAACTCGAGACCCCTTGCCGCCGTCGCATTTGCGACCACTAAGCCAACGAGGCAGTCACTTAAGAGTAATGTGTTAGTAAATTACTATTTATTACCTTGCAGTTCATTTGCAGTGCCACCTTAGCGGCAACTGACATAGCGGAGTTGGATGTCATGTTCCGCGCGGTCACAACTTGACTAGGGATGGCACGGTCAATAAGACACTTCTTTTTAATAGCTTCGTAGCTGGAAATGACAAACTTTTTCAGTTTACTTAAGTACCTAATAATTATAGTCTAAATTACACAACTTACACAGCCAACGCGTTACTTCAGTCTAGTATATTTTGGAAAAAAATCCAGACTGCTAGTTACTAATACTATATTTTTTATTTAGATTTTAAGCTTTTTTGTACATCCTGAAATTATTAAAATACTCACCGATCCGTTAACTTACGCATGAGCGCGCAGAAAACCAACGCAGGATTTCTGCGGGCTATAACGGCATCCAATGTTCGAGCGTAATCTATAGCGCCGTCGTACTGTATTGTTACTAAAAAAAGTCGATGCGGATCAAATGAAAGAAAGTCGTGTTAGTTACACTATTTATAACTCAAGAACGCTGAACTGATTTGACTGAAAAATCGGTTGCGAGGTAGCTTAGAATCACGAAATAGATAGAGAATGGCTTTTATTCTGAAACCTTGGGAATGGGAACAATGCATTAAAATTCCGGGGCTCTCAATCTTTTAAATGAATTAACTTATTTAAGTGAAGTTCAAATAGCTCAATTTCTGCCGGAAGTGATTATTGCATGCGATGCAGCTAGTTTTTTTTTTAATATAATTGATATAATTAATATTTACCGATTTCAGGTTTGGATAGCATGAATTTTACATCTCTCGCCGCCTTTAATACCATATCTAGGAAGGCTTCAGTTTCACGTCGAATCTTGTCAGGGGTTATCACTACCCATGATGAAACTTGGCTAATACGCAGCAAGGGTTTTGATCTGACACAAAAGACGCATGTTAATCATACATTATTATAGCCTATAGGAAGATCATACATTATTATAGCCTATAGGAATAAATGTACGTATTTGTATAATATTACCGAATATCTCGCGTCCATCCCTCTGGTGTATCACCTGCTGGATAACGGCAGTCATTTCCTTGAATAATATTTTCAGTGGGTAATTGACGTCCTTTAACCTTCATCAGTTGTTTAGCAAAGGTAAGGTGGGAGGTACTCAGCTCCTATAAATAATAAATTTCTCTATAGTAGGTAATTGTATGTAGAGTTTTCCTGGCCTAAACAAATGTACATACCTATCGATGTGCCATAAACTAGTACTCTAGTATAATAATATAGGCATCACATAACATGACAGCTCTTGAATCGACGAGATACATATTTTTTTAAACGATATATTCATCAACATCTCATTGCAACTCCAGTTACTTCAAATACCAAAGTCAAAGTACCCTTCCCATATTCGTACATGTAAAAGCGAATACAGTTACGTCCAACGATAAAATAGTCGTCTATGTCCGTATAGATACCAATTCCTTAGTTAATTTTTACCAATCCGTTCGTGGTACCCAACCAAAACCGCTAGGATCGGCAGTAGCAGTACAGCCACTCTATTTTATGTAAGAACGTAACATAACAAACCTACTTCGTTACCTATAGTTGTACCTACACTACAAACCTTTATAACTCGCTGATTTTGGGTCAAATTTCTGTTAAATTGTAGCAATTTGTTAACACGGACGTCGGGGCCGATTTTAGTGTGTGCATCAAGGGCCTTCATCAGTTTAAAGTCGTTACGCATTTGGTCTGTCAATCCTGTCTGCCGGCACAGTTCGGGCACTAGATACACCAGTTCAGGCATCCCGGCGCGAATCTCACGTGGCTTTGATCTGGATATAAGTAAAGGCTGGTCGACGTCACGGATGTTAATTTCATATTTCTGGAAATTTAAAACACTCAATTAATTAGCCATTAATTTAAAAAAAAAGCCTTGGTATAACATTCTAGTATGAAACCAACTGGTAACAGAAGAAGTACCTTTGACAAAAACAGTGTGCGTTTTAAGGGTAAAATTCATGGCGATGACTTACTTCAGGGACGACATTGTCCCATTATTTTTGTTTGTTCGCAGAAAGGCCAATGGGATTTTATTATGCCGAGGCCACACTAACGGGAAATGCCATTAATTATCGCGATAAAGGACGTTCATCATAAGTGCAGCCACAACTTAACGCGATAATTTTATAATGGCATTAACAATGCTGTTTGGCGTTTGATGCAAAAATGTGATGCAAAAAAATCAAAGAGATGCGCGATAATTGACGCTATAAGTGGTCACACTACGTATTGTCAGTGTGCGTCGAGAGCGCATCGGGAGCGGACGTGTTTTTGTTTTTTGTACGATGTATTTGCAAATACGTATACAATGACGATGGAGCAGAGTAATGAAAAAGTAATCACTTTTATCGAGATTCTGCAAACAGAACCATGTTTGTGGAATCCAAAATTAAATATAGGTTTTACACTAATAATATATAGAGCTCTGTCGTCGTCCATCTTGATTGAAGTAAATTTAACGTCGTTTGTATCGCTAATAATGAGCATTCACGTTGACCGTTAAAGTGCAGCCACTCACTTTGATGCCGTTAAAATTATTGCTATAATTATCGCGATAATCGCCATTCACATTCAACGGTAGTGTGGCCCCAGCATTACAAAAACGTCATAGGCCTATTAAACAGCAAAAATCAAAAATTTAAAATCTAATCGACTTCAATTGAAACTAAGAAAGTCTTGTGAAAATGGATGAATGAATGGATAAAGGACACAGTCAGTATTGAAACGAGTGTACATACCTTTTTATAGTAGTCTATATATGTAATTTTTTCATTTCTTAAGTTGAATGTAGATTTAGGTGTCGCCTGCCATGATACATCATCTACTCTGTAAGTTTTCTTGTTATACGTTGTCATAACAATTTTTCCTGTAATAAATTATTATTGAATTTAGCCTCTCTTCTCTATAAAATTTTGGTATTGTACATATTGAATTAAATAGTTTCACCTTACCCACAATATCTTCCAGAAAACATTTTTTATATGCTGCACCTTTTGTCGAAGTATAAGTTTTTAGCATTTGGAGTACGGTGTCCAACCGAAGAACCTTTAATACAGACAACATTATCTATCTATATACATATAATAAAATCGTAGGAACGTGAAAACTGTACAACGAATATTTTTTTAAATAATGCTTTGGGCGGGATCTACAGTCGATACCAAAACTAAATAATTATGGGTTTTAGAGTTTTTGTCTGTTTGTATGTCCGGGGTGAACTCAAAAAGTGCTGCATGGATTTACTTCAAATTTTGCAAGAATACTAAAAGGTCGGGTCAACATATGTATAGGCTACATATTTCATGCTATCAACTACGGGGGAGAAGGTGTGAATCACTAATCCACGCGCACGAAGTCGCCGGCTCAGCTAGTGAGGAATAAAACGCAACCGTTTAAGGGGATTCCCAATAGGTACCTACTCCTATATAATAAACGTGATAAGTAGCGTTTTTTATAAACAGGTCTAGACAAGACTTCTATAATGTTATTTATAAAAAAAGGAAAGATTTCTTTTTGTAAGTAACAGAGCTAATATTAATTTGATTCTGTTTTTATTTCTTGTTACGGCGACAAAAGAAATTGTGTACTTTTCAGGTTTTTTATAGTATTTTTTTTTAAGGGGGGAACATCATCGAATGACACCCCTTCCCACTGAGCGAGAGGCGGGAGGGAGTGTCAGACTCTTACGTTACTGACTAAAACCACCCCGTTCCTTTTCCTGCACGTCGAGCCGGAGCCCCGAGCACATCCAGGTAACCCGTTAGGTTCTCCGCGACAGATTTTTTATAGGATAGGTCGGCAAATGAGCAGGTACATCTCCTGATGGTATTCAATCCGCGCCGCCCATGGTCACCCGAAGCAATAGTGGTGTTACAAATGCCTTGCCGGTCTTTAGGGAACAGGAATAACCTACTCATATGGCGAAATGAGCTACAGGCGATGGAAACTAGTAATGGGGCCCGTCTATACTCTTACTTTGGTACCTACTTTATGCACCTGCTTCTGGATCAAAAAAAGTGTTTTAGAAAGTAAACATCCGCCATTTTAATGTTGTTCGTTTGCCTGTTGGTCGATAAATAATAATTAATTTAACACCAGATCACGCCTAAGACTCATCAGATCAAAGGTCTAAAATATAAAATCTAGGTGTAAAGTAATAACTATTAAGAAATAAACTGATTAGTTAAGAAATAGTTAAATTATTCTAAACTGGTACTTACTTTGTGTGTAATCATAGCGACCATCAATAATTTGTCTTCGTGTTGGTTAATTGTGGTTTTATATCCGGGCCAAATTTGCAGGCGAAATTCAGGAATATCGATCTGGAAAAACCAAACCGATCGATCGACCAAAGTGGGTTAGTAAAGCTTCCCACCGCAAATCAAAATAGTAATACTTATACATAAAATAAAATAGAAAATCATGTACATCAGGTAACAGGACTGTTTTCGGAAGATGTATTAGTATGACTGCACGGTTGGTGCGGTGGCTGAGCAACTGGCTGTCGCGCAACGTATCGCGGGTTCGATTCCCGCACAGAACAGATTAGCACGGAACAACTCTTTGTGTGGTCCACATTGTTGTTGTTCCGGGTCTGGGTGTGATGTGTAAGTTAACTTGTGTGTTTGTAAACACAACCACGACACAGGAGAGAATCCTTGTGTGGGGCAACTTACCAACTATTAAAAAAAAAAGTATCCCGTGGCGGATTAATCAAAATGGAGTGCTGTAGCTAATTCTATAGAGGTTTGATCACATATATCAGGGCTGTCCAAACTAAGTCCCGTGGGCCGCATGCGGCCCGCAGTTTGTTTTCATGTGGCCCGCGACTCACATTTTAATCTTATGTGTGTATACAATAGTTTTGTCTGTGAGTAAAGAATACAATGTTAAACGTCAGTATACAACCGAAAATAATTTTCTGGCTCTCCAGCTTTTCTAAGAAATTTAATTAGCCCGCGAGGGTTTACCTAGTTTAAACAGCCCTGACATTTATGATGGAAGTATGGATAACTGAATAGGTCAATATAATTTCTAAACTTTTTAGCACTGGCGCCTATATTATGTCGTTTCAATAAAAAAAAAACTGTATAGGTAAGGTGGAAATGAGTTTGGCTACGCGGGGCCCTTGTTTTGCGGGGCCTGTAGGAAATGCTACTCTTGCTACGTGGGTACGGCAATGGTTGTGTCTCTGGAAATGTTAACCTATCTTTCTTAGAATAGAGAAAGAATGTTATGATTCTATGTTTAATTGTCTTCATTTGAAAGAGTTACTTATCAGTTGTTTGTAGAAAAATATACCTATGTCTAAATAAATAAGAGTGTTTTTAACTTTATTCATCATCCCTATTTATCGTTTATGGGCAACAAAGTTGCTAATATAAATAAGTAAATAAGACCTTACTGACTATGGTTTGCTTACATGGCCTTCTAAATGAATAGGAACATATAATGTATACCTATATACTGATTTCTTTAAAGTTTCTTCAATCGAATTAGTGGGAAATAAAATATTGGTGTAGGTGCCTATACCAGAATCAACAACTGCCTGCCTGAAAACAATAGCAAGATATTAATAATCGTGGATAGGTACGTACCTTTGCTGTTGGGTCAAAATAGTCGCGGCCCATTAATTGCAGGCGCATTGCCGAAAAGCATTTCCTTAGTATCAGATTAAATATCTGAATATAATGGTAATCACCAGGAGCGACGTCACCTATCAACTGAAAATGTATTATTTATTAACATGCCAAAGAGAGAGTTCAGTCGTATAGAATATTGATTTATATGTATAATATAAAAATAAATCGCTGAATGTGTTGCCACGCTAAGCGTAAATCACGTGAACAGCTGAACTGATTTCGCTTTTTGAATGTAAGAAAAATTTGAAATTTGCAAATATGCACACAAAAATTCCCAATGCAAAACAAATTTCGCGGCGCCGCAATCATAACGTGGAATAGTAACAAATAAATACAAGTTTTCAACTTTTTACCTTCACCGTTATCACCATCTTTTGCTTGTCAGATTTTCTATCAGAGTAAAACTGGATCGGATCGGGATGCAATCGGGTCATACTATATATCACCGACCCATCGAACACGTGCCTGTTATAAATAAAGATTGTTAAAAGTACATACCTAAATTATGCAGGGTGTTTGGTACATCGTGTGCTAAATTGAAACGGACGACTGAAGCAGTCATCTGGAAGCCCTTGAGACCCCTTAACACCCTTCATACCCTTTTTATCGACTTCGGATTTTTTTATCGACTTTTTATTATTTACTAAAACACCCACATTTTTACAAATTTAAACAAGTAGGGCTTTCATTTTAATTTTATTTTGACGTGGATCGTTTAAAAGTACTTTTAAATACAAAATTAGTGACATTAATCACCTAGTTTCTTTTAAATTGACTCGCCGACGTAAAGTTTAAATTAAAGCCGTATGTTACGGCTGTTTATATGGCAACAAAAATAAATAGCTTAAAGCGACCGGAATCTTTCAATTCCCTTATTAATTCCTCCCTTCCTTTAATCGAGCTAAGCTTTTAGGAAACAGAGAGTATTATCAACAAGTCTGATCAACAGTTGGTCTTTGGGATTTATATTTTTTAATCATAATACTTTTGTATATTAGTCTTAAATTGTGACTCGATTCACAATTCTAGTGGTCAAGAAATCCCTATATACATAGGTACCTACTATATTTTACTGTATTTTATAGTATTCCCTATACCTAATATGTTTTTTTAATATTAACTCACAGATAATTTATTTATTTAAAAACAAACACTGAATGGAAATGTCGGGAAATAAAAATAGCACTTGGTCGAAGTCGAAGGGTTATTATCCTTACTAATATTATAAATCTGAAAGTGACTTAGTTTGTTTGTTCCACCTTCACGCCGTAACTACTCAACCGATTGCTTTAAATTTTTGCAGATGTAAAGTTAGAAGTCCGGATTAAATAATAGGGTACTTTTTAACCCGGAAAAATTGATAATTCCGAGGAAAAACACAAATATTCGTATAGATGGCGCTGTGTGTATTGGTATATGTCACATAGGCTACTTTTTATTCTTTTGTGACGCGAGCGAAGCCGCGGGTAAAAGCTAGTAAATTATAAATCATTACTTACCAGCCTAAAACTCTCTGGTGGACGCGCACGAGGCTTTTACGGACAGAAGTATTGTCTTCATCAGGTGAAAAGTCCACGTGGTACTGATACATTCGAAAGTGAGGCGTAGTTTCAACGGCAAAGTAATTTGCTATCAAATTAACCGGGGTGCCAGTGGTACCTAAGTACAAGAATTTTGCTATTAAAATATAGGTGAAATTAAAGTTCGAAATTGGATATTTATCACTGGTTTTCTTTATCAGTAGGTACTTAGCATGTTTTTTGTATAATACTCATGTGTCATATAAGTATATTGTCGAACCTAAGCTAAAATGGCTAATTTTGAACCTATTCATTGTGCACATGAATGCGAGTCGTTAATGAAAAAAAATATTGATATACAAGGTGTAGTTTTGAAGCCGTATCATTTTTCGGGGGCATGTCACAGAAGTCATAAAGGTTCAATGTAAGAGAAAGTTTCGGACCAATAGTTAAAAATACGGCTATAATAAATCGTTTAAGTTCGACAGTATTTCAGAATAAGCGACAGCATTGTTTCTTATTGGAGTTTTATAGAATCAGGAATAATATCAATTACGTATTTGAGTTTGTGTGTGTTAAGCCGCGTTATAAAACTAGTTATTGGCGGCGTGTAGTTCGCACTTACGGATTTCCGTAATTTACAGAAAAATTAAAAATATTTAAGTACAATTTTTTTTGTTGATTCTGACTCAGAATCGATAGCTGAGTTACCTCCTAGAAAATGACGTGGCTTTAAAACAACACCTTGTATACCTGTATAACAATTTAATTTTTCATTTAGGTACCTACAAATCACTGAGCTCGTGGAAAGAATCAAAGAAAAGAAAGACAAATGTTTATACCTTTTTTCGATAATAGTGTACTTGGCCGCGTTCGCAGTGCGTGCGCTTGTTCAGTTTCCGTCTCCATGCGCGTCCTGCATCCTCGCCCTGATGACGAGGGGCCCGGTTTACTCGAAACATTTGACTGTGACGACGACGGTTTATCTGACAAAAAAAACAAGTAAGTCAAATAACAAACCGGACTATTCCATATCTTGCGGCTCTGATTCTTAAACACACATTGATGTTTTGCAACACACACATAAAAAAATCTGAAGAATTAGTTTGGTTTTTATTTCAAGGCTCTAGTTCAAACTTAATAATTCTTAACTAAAAATCACGGGTCACTCACGTAAATATACTGAGAAAACTGAGAAAAGCCAATTCCTCATGAGCAGCGTGCGCGTCGCGGCGATGTCGCGTAGCCTACTGGAGATCCCGCATTCGAAACTAGTGGGACTTTTCTCTGTACATTCACGTGTGTAATCCGCGATTTTTAGTTAATTTTGTATGTCTCACGATACTTAGTTATTATGAATAATTCTTCTTGTGATGTTTTGTCCATTTATCCAGTAAGGCTACTTAACAACACTGTACGATCAATAGGAACCAAGGAGAGTGGATGAAACCGTGTGAGAGTATATAGTACCTACCTATTAAATAAACATTACACATATAAGTTCCAAATGTTCCAAAAAAAATCATATACTTACAAATAAATTGAGTTTCATTGAAAAACATTTATTTGTGTCGAATTTAAGAAATAATGTGGAGAGTGGTAGATATATCATTTTACAATCCTTATTAATAGCGCCAACTTTGGTGAAAGTTTAAACTTTACTAACCCAGTACAATATTTTTCTGTACAGTCACATAAAGTAAGGTGAACATTTTAAAGAACACTTGGTTTGTCAAAAACCGATATTAATCATCCAAACTAGAGGAGGTGGCTCAGAATTTATGATTCCATAATATTGGAGCACTATTAAGGATAACATAACTAAAAATACAGTCGAAAACATAAAAAAATGTAGCAGCAAGACCCAAAAGACTGGCCCAGGGTGTACTTTTTCGTGGATGTCACATAAGCCATTAAAAGAAAACTATATGACTTAGATTTTTTTTTTTTCTGATCCTTACTGTTGAAATCTTGCCGATCACCTGGTGCCATTAGATCGTTGGTTTCAGGGACATGCTGTATAATATATTTATTTATTTCTCTCATCATCATTTACAAAACAATATACCTACAGCAAACAGTTTTAAATTTAAAACCAGAGACAGGTGTCTGTTGTAGATAAAACCTGTATCACAGATCACCAGACCAACCCACTAACGCGATATACTTATTTATTGAGTTGCATAAAGTATTTAGATTCATGTGAATATAATAACAAAAAATAGTTACCTATTGTAACTAATAAAGTAATAGTTACTAAATAATACTGATACATAGTACGTCCGACATTATGTAATCAAAGGTCAACATTAATTAAAACTAGAAAGTAAAATCTTGAATTAAAATAGAAACTTAATAAAGAAGTAAAAACATTTAAAACAATAAAAATTGCGACATTTAAAGATGCTTTTAATTTCCTTGGACTGTGCTTTATTCGGAGGATATGTTCATAATTCTTTGTTAATCTTATTGTATAGGTAGGGACCCAGAAATCCGTAAAAGTGTTATGTAAGACTAGTTCTACATCTAGTTACCGTGCAAACCGTTGCGTATCGTATCTTATTTTCCGTTGTATTTTAATCAAATGTGTTCTGATATAATTTTGAGTGTTTTTTTAATACTACAGTTAGAATGAACGGCTGTCGAACTGTTAGCACCCCACAGTGTTGGTATAATTCCGAGTTAGGATATAGTACCTATAAGTAGAAAGCTGCTTAAGTACCTTTAAAATAACTCTCTGTGCTCTCTCTAACTTTATTATAGTCGTTTTTGCAGCTCCACTCCATACAGTTATACAGTAAGTTATAAGAGATTGGCACAGGGCAATATATAACTTTTTTTTTAAGGAGTTTTCGTAATGTGTTGAAGAGATTTGAAAATGTAAATCAGTATTGTAAATGTTATAGCATCAATATGTTTGTGAAATTTTAGTTCATCATCAATATTATGACTCACAATTATTTTATATCTGTCGTTTCTCATAAGTGGGGCAATTAGATAAAATGTTGCCAGAAGTAGGTAGTTACAATTGTGTGAGATAATAGACTGAACCGGATAATCTTGTCTGTTAAGTGTAAAAGTCATGTATTTTGTTTTGTCTATATTTGGTGTCAGAATATTACTATTGAGGCATTTGTAAACCAAATCAAAACTGTGTTGAGCGCACTTGAACACTTCGTTCCACGCGTCCCCGTAAAAAAGTAATGCCGTGTCATCGGCAAAAGTTTTGTCGTCGACTCATATTGCATCAACTATTTATTTATATAGACTAAAATCAGTGTGGGCCCAAGAATTCTGCCTTGAGGCAGTAATGTCATACATAACGATAAAATGTAAGTATGTAAATATTGAATTTAAGTTATTTTTAAAAATACTTACCTATATCCATTCTTTGCAATTGTCTTTGTATTTCAACAGTGTGTTTCGTAGATCCTCTGCGTTCTTGTGCAGCGTAAGAGCCACCGGGCGCTGGGGATGTTGGCGATGTTGGGGATTGTGGGGAAGAGGAGACTGGTTGTGCTCTACTAGTGGATTCTTTAGGAATTGATTTACTACCTTGGACAGTGCGAGGATTCCAGGCTGTTGGGGATGTTGGGGATTGTGGGGTTTGGGGGGACTGTGGAGAAGTAGGAGATATCGGGTCTTCAGGTCTGGGTGAAGATGGACCAGCATTATCGGTGCCCTTACCAGCTTTCTTTTGTGCACGCTTTTTCCCAGATTTAGGCATCTACAAACAAAACAATTTAACTGACTGTGAGAATTTCTGACTGAATATATCACGTCCTGGCTTGATGAAATGAGATAGATTTTATCCTTTTTAAAAAGAAATAATTTCGCTATTCACGATTTTCTATCACGTTCACGTAACTTATATTGTTTATACAAAATACGTCGAAGGGGTAATCACACTAGATTATCTAACAATTTTCCTGCTTCATTATAAGGATTATGGTTACCATCAAGCACCAAAGTACTCGTCAAGACAAATCAATCAAGCCCAAACTCGATGTAGCTACGTCCTTTAATTAGTGAGTTCCTGTGACCATCTTCCAGCTTCATCATCAAACCTTGGTAAACATCAAGCAGCGAAGTACTAGACAAGACGAAGTATACAAAGCCCCAACTAGATGGGATTATATCGTTTAACTTCTGAATTCTTATGGTCATCTTCCTGCTCCATCATCAGGATCTTGGTTACCATCAAGCACTAAAGTACTCGGCAAGTTAAATTAAACAAGCCCAAACTCGATGGGACTATGTCATTTCATTACAGAGTTCTGGTGGCCATCTTCCTGCTCCATCATTACGATCTTTGTTACCTTCAGCAGCATACAAGCAAGCTTGAATACTGAGTTCCTGTGACCATATTATAGCTCCATCAATTCAATCAACTGATTACCACCCAGCACCGAAGTATTCGTCAAGACGAATCAAACAAGCCCAAATACGATGTGGCTATGTCGTTTAATTACTGAGTTCCTATGGGCATCTTCCTGCTCCATCATCAGACCCTGGTTACCATCTGGTACTAAAGTACTTGATAATACGTAGGCATCAAAAAGTGATCCCAATTCGATGATGTTTGTCATTTAACTATCGAGTTCCACTTAACCATCACCTTACCGATTCCAACATCACGTCAGCTCCGTGTAGTGTGTCCTAATTATATCATTCATTTGACACAATATGCAAATGCAAAGAAAATTCAGCTTAAATAGAAATAAACGAACACATTATGTTTAGCTTGTAAGATTTGTTACATTCATCGAGACAGGTAGTACTAATAAAAATTTTGTAAGGATTGCCAACTTCCATAAAATATTCATCGCTACATTTGGTTTTTTGATGAATCTTAAAATAAGAACAAAATTTTATTATTAAACATTCTATCCTTACATCATACTTTTTCTGCTCTTAATATTAATCACTATAATACACTGAGTATTTCCAGTATCCAACGAGATGAGAACTTCACTGCATCTACAACCTTCATTCCGAGTACTTACTATGTTGCTTTCCTAATACATATGTAAGAATTTTCCACATTAAAAGAATATAATGGGGTAGTATTAGGTTCCTTATAAAATATAAAGTCAGTAAAAACTGACTCATACTTAATATGCCCTTGATTTATGAATACCCGGACAACAGCATACCTTTACAAAAAATAAAATTTTATTCCTAATTTAATAATTAATTCAATACAATATCAGAATGTATCTCTACACATACGACACTTGTTCTTAGAATCTAAACCTCTTATGACCCTTACTTGATCATGAAACTTGATTTATGCATTACCCGGACTCCAGCGGACCGTTGTAATAAAATTTATTAATTTATTCTGATGTAATTTTGAATATTATTCCATAATTTCTTACTTGTTTTGCTTTATAATTGTTGTTCTGTAAAGTTGTAATAATTGTCAAATAAATAATTAATAATATATCAGGCACCTATGTTATGTAGTTATTTTTTTAATTAATTTTGTTTAGTTTTTTTTTTCATTTAGTTGGCACTTAGTATTTTCAAATATTAGTTTGCCTATTAGCTTTTATAGTAATGCTAGATGTGAGAATTAAAATGTATGTGATAAAAAATGGTTTAAAAGAGATATCAATATTGAGGGTAGGTAGCTGAATATTATAAATTAATTTTTTCAATAAGAATAGTAAACAGATAAGCAAAATAATTATGACGTAGGTACATATTTAAAATGACAAGTTAGTTGCGTGCCGGAGCTGTGCTTGTTAGGTGTGGGATGAATATTTATTTTATGAAATCATCAGCTTTGAAGTACGTGCGGTCGAGAGAAATAGGTCCAGAAGTGCCTTGTTTTAGTAAAAAATATTAGCTGTTTGATAATAATATGTAGATATTATGTAATGCCCGCCCCGGCATCAAACGGGTTTTAGATAATAATAGGTACCTAGTGAGATATAGGTAGGTGCTGGTGTGGTGTGGTACGATTTATAAAATGGGTCGACCGTGTTGGTTCGGTTGTATGAAGCGTTTGCGTCGCGTGTCGCGCAGCGCAGCACGCTGTGCCAGCCGGACCGTGTCGCAGCCGGCACCGCCCACAGAGGGAAGGAGTTTAGTTAAACCCGACGCGACCCATGTACTGGTCCTATTCTTTAATCCTCGGAAATCTTGAGATATTAGTTTTTATGATACGATGTGAACAATATTTTAATTAACGTACCTATTTAAATGGAGTAAAAAAATAACGTGAGTTTAAAGCTTCACTAATAAAATAATTATTGTGATCAGGACGTGAATAATTGTTACTGTAAATAATAATAATATAGGTAGGTAGAAGTGTTCAGAAAACAAAAAATAGTTTTTTTGAATATAATGATTATTCAATTATAATTTTTAGACGCTAACTATATTTCGTTTAAATTAAGTTGATTAATTACACTCAATGTAAATGTAATTTAAAATATATTTAAACCTTTTCTTTATTCAGCAAAGATGGCGAACACCTAGCGTCTTCTTTGTATCATATTACATAATTATACCTTAAAACTATGAAATAACAGTTATACTCACCTCCACGAAGTTAATTAACCGTGATGTTTAACAATTTATTTAAATTGGGTTCAAGACGATACTCGGTTCCTGCCAAATCCGCGGAGCAATGATTGCACGTTACACGACTCGCAGCAGCCATAAATCAAAAGGGCGTTTTATAATTTATTGATTTCACAACAGGACAAAGTACCGGACAAGGATGTGTCGAATAGCCAACCGAACAAAAAATATGGCACAGTAGCGCCCAATGTCTCTGTATAGGACCAACCCTAAAGGTTTCTCGATCTAGCACTAATAAAAACAGAAGCCCTAAAGGGCTTCACATATAACAAGGGCTATAACAAATGCTAAGTTATCAATTGGTAACAACACCTAGTTTAAACATACGTTTATGAAATATAATTGGAACACTTAAGTTGTCATCATACCTCTATTATCTCAGAAGTAATTGACATTGTATTACGTAAAGACCGTTTCGGTTACCGTGACCGGTGATTGGCGTTCTGCTGCAGCAATCAGCGGATGATTTGTCTTTAACGGTTTTCTATCTACTATATACATATACCTACTATTATCTCAGTTATTTATTGTTTGTTCTAATTGTTTGTTATATTTTGGGCGCTTTCCTGATCCTGACCTACAGTTACACACTGCAATGGCCTCTAGTACTTAAACTGCATCTTAAGTTGGTTATTGGTCATGTGTTTAAATAGTTAGACTGCTGCTGAAAAGTAAATTTTACATTAAGCATAATTGAGGCTAAGCTTTTTGGAAAACAGCATGCATTGTTATGTTTTTACACGGTTATACGATAAAGTAAGTTGAGTGAAGTGGAAAGAGGCCTTAGTACGAGTTTCTTTTTCGTTTAAAGTAATCGAAACGAGACTGCCTTCGGAGCTCCGATTGGTTAGTTCATTGGAGCCGGCCAATCACAGCGCCGAACGCGTACTCGTTTCGATTACTTTAAACGTGAAATAAACTTGTACTAAGACCTCTGATTGGCCGACGCCAATGAACCAACCAATCAGAGGGCTTAGTACGAGTTTCTTTTTCGTTTAAAGTAATCGAAACGAGACGGCGTTCGGCGTAAGCCCTCAGCACACAATTCAGTTAAATCTGCATAAGATACGACGCGAACAGTATAAAAATGTCAAGACCATTGTCTTAGAAAGTAGGTAGGTACTTAAGTATATTAAATTGCGCCTGCTATTACTTTTTATTTGGTAATCTGATAGATTTGTGAAGATAATGCCATATTTTTTGCAGGTAACTGCTTGAAGGCGGAGATCTCAAGTTCAATTCCGGGTCCCGGGTCAAAGGAAGTATTGTTGGGATTTTGTGTTTTAATTGGCTATACTACTTACTTAGTATGAAGTTTAGAATAGCTGTGCCTGGTGCATGACAATTTATTTTATGTGTTGTACATTGGTCCATCCATGCTTACCACGGAGTTACACGAAGAGACGCGAGACTCGAGAGTGTGGACACCGACGCAACGGAGTGCTCATATAGTTTTTCATATTTCTGTGCTCTCGCCTCTTCGAGTTGTCGTTAAGGTTGAATGTATTTATATATTATTGCTACCTTATTGGTCGAGTGGTCGCAAGAAGAGCAAATTAGAATTTATTAGAGATAGAATTTTGCTAATAGCTACCGGATCGTTTGATTTTTCTGTTTTTTTACCTATTCATAATGTTTTGTACGAAAATCTGTTGTTACCTCATGAATCTTTGAAACTTTGAGTTTTAACACGGAGAGACAGACAGACGTGGCGAAGGGACATTTGTAATAATATTGTTGTAGTGATAATACTTAGATCTATAAAATAGAGGTCTATTTTATTAATATCTTTTCCGAGAACAGAAGTAAAGATTTAGGTAATATAACAAGTATGGAGTGATATATATCTTTAAGGATAATTAGACATGATGTAATGTATTCGTTCATCAGTTTCTGCTAGTATTGTTAACTTTATTCCAATAGGTTTATAGTTTGACGCATGGTCCAACGGTTCACTGTCGTTGCTACATGGCGCGCATTAGATAGTGCATTTCCGGTATTACGTAACGATCGCCAATGCTGCCAACTGTTTCATAATGGTAGGTTGGTGGAACTACATAAATGTCAAAACCAACGACTTGATAGTTCTGTCACAGATGACAGAACGGCAATGTTTGTTGTCCTTTTTTTACATACAGTTATCAGTATAATGCTATCCTGCTGTCTTCAGTTCAGTAAGTCAGTGTCAGTGTCCATAGTCAAAACGTCAAAAGTGTTTGTACTGTTTGTTATCGCTTTGAGTTTATTTGGACTATGAACTTTCTTTTGGATTAGAATAAATTAAGTTCAAAAAAATAACAAAATTATTCATAAAAATGTCTCAACCACATCGGAGTGCAGTTTTGAATCTTTATAAAACGGTACGTGTCCAATGTGTTGTTGAATAATCTAGGATACTATACTGATATTATGATTTGCGTATAATACAATAAACAATACTTTTTGTGAAATCACTCTTGATAATTTTGACACCTTCCTATAGGGCTAAAATCATATTGTTTTGTTGTAGCTCTTGTATCTGGGTCGCGACTGGCCTCAGGGTTACGACCTATTCCGTAAAAGACTTCACAAAGTTTTTACTAAGAATAGTAGAGAAGAAAATCCGGAAAAAATTAAGATTATGGTAAAACATGGAGAGTTTGTTGTTAAAGAAATTGAAGCACTTTATAAACTAAAGAAGTATAGGGCTATGAAGAAACGGTACTATGATGAAAACTGAGGTGGTGAGTTGTTACATTTGTATATGAGATTTACAAGTGATTTTTGTGAAATTTAGTTTATATAATCATAAACATGTTTTATATAAGTAACAAAATATAGTGTAAACCCTAATTATTACCTGTTATTAGTTATTTAAATGAAATAAATGCCTTAAAATGATAGTTTATATGTTGTTGTTCAACGCAGATAGGGGCGTAAAAGAAAACCAGCAATCTATGTAATTATGTATTATAGACATTTTTATAGTTTACATAATTCATTACTATTATAAACTCTAGTAAAAATTAAATTGTGTATTAATAAAATAAAATATCTAATACTTTTAAACAAAATGTTAATAAATCTTTAACATAATAATGAGAATGATTTTTTTATTTAAAGTGGCAAGTGATATGATAATTTATTTTATCAATCCATTTCAGAGATAGGTATATACATTATATCTATGATAACAATTTTGTGTCAACAAAATTACAAGTATATGTTAAATAGTCGGTGCAATAGATGGGCAATGAGTAGCTATACAGATAAACCCTGCAAATTTGTGAATATCTGAACTACAAATGAAAGTTTCATTTAACATTGGTTACATTTTACAATTCTAAATTTAGCAAAGAAGTTTGTAACAAACAGCAATGATTACAACAGCCCAACACATTAACACCACTTTGTATACAAGCTAATTATCCAATGATATAACATTTTACACTTGAAGTGTGATTAAAATATATATTTCACTCATACAAATTGCTATACAGGTATCGAATTGAAAATATAAACTACCTGGTGTGCAGTCAGTTTCCCTTATATTTCTCTTTTTCCACACATTGACATGAATAAAGACATGTAGTTGTTCTTAGATGGTGTTGATCATTTACTTATATTTTTTATAGGATATTTCATCAAAGATAGTCAAAGAGCTATATCTCGTTAATGTTGAGTAATTCCATTATGGTATTTTAATTAGTGGATGACATGAGTAAAGACATGTCGTTGTTCTTTGATGACGTTGGCCATTTACTCATATTTTTATTGGACATTTTAACAAAGATAGTCAAAGAGCTATCTTTCGTCAATGTTAAGTAATTCCATTGAGGTAATTTCCATTGAGGTGGAAGTATCCTTGGTGATATCAATAAATATTGATAGTGAGAGAATTTGTTTGCTACACCAGCATGTGAGAATGTATGAAACATCTCAATGTTCTGATTGTTCTCTTAATATTATAATTCTAGCGATTATTCACATGTATTCTGGCATTTGTTCTTAATATTACAAAATGTTAATATTAAATAGCATTTGAAATATCTATATTGTCAATTCTACTGAGGCTCAACCGCTTGTTCAGAGCAGTTGGGATTATAAAGTAGTTGAGTGGAGTTGCAACAGATTCACTCAGCCATTTCAAATATTTAAGTTCTTTCTTGGTTAAGATTTTACCTTGGAATAGTTTACTTTAATCATCAGAAGAAAGAAGTTGAATATTCTTATTACACACTTCCTCAGTGTGAGTTAACAAAACTGCTAATAAATCTGTTGCATTGTTATGAATAAGTTCTATATATTATATTAACATAGTAATTATATTTATTGTTAAATACAGTACTTGAACCACAAGTCTATTCCTACTTGTTTCGTGTTGGTGCACTTCTAAATTTACTTGAAGCCCGACTCCATTACCCCTATAGGTACATAGACATAAGTATATAGTATAATGTGATTGTGGAGTTTAACATGTGATTACATTATATACACAATAACACATATGTTTGAGATCAACAACAGTCAAGCTTTAGCTAAGTACGTAGGTATAAATAGGTACTCGAACCGCAAAGTTAGGAGATGTTATACGACTATTAAATACCTACCTAACAGTAAAATGTTGGTACCTCGAACCGATAGATAGTAATGTTATAGATATAACTTGCGACCATTCTAGACGAACCACTTACCGACGCGACGCGACGTACAGCAGTCTAATCACGATAAATATTACACCGTAAAGAACCATTTAAACGATTGGAACTATTTAACAATATAATTTTAAAGTATAAGTATTTTTATTTGTAGATAGTCTTATACGTTTGACTAGTTTCGATGATACCACGTATATTGAGTGTCCACTTCCATAACTATTAAATAATAATAAATTATTCTACCTAACCTAAATTATAGAGAACCTAAGTATTGTGTATAAGTAAATAAAACTTTCGACTAACAAAATCATACCGATTAATCGATGGACATTGGACATCAAAGACTTTAATTAATTAATAAATAATGTCATGCCTTAAATAATAATGTTTAAGTACCTATACAATAGGCCTATTGTTCCTCACGAGAAGAGAATAACAGTTTACCGACAACATATAATAATGATCTTGTCTAATAACAAACCAAATAATGTAAACGCAAATGACCTCCGTCGGTCCATTCTCTTCCCCCGAGGAACATTGTGTTTTATTATAATAAAAGGGTATCAATACTATAACACTTATACGATAGTAAAATAGAATGTAATAAATTTAACAGGATACAACTTATTTACACAGCTTTATGTAATAGGTTTTTAAATAAAATATATTTTCGATTACACGTAGGATAAGGTAACGGCTTTTGATAACAAAGCACACTTATCTATTGAACAAAGCTGGTTACCTATTTGTTAGCGCGATTTCAAAACCAACTTTATAAGACGCTAAGGACGTGGAAGTAGCAAAGGAATTCTAACAATTATTATCTCTACACTCCTCACAACAACTTACATATTGCTAAATCAACATTCTTACAATTTAGCAAGATACGAGTATTAGTTAGTCGAGACGAGATGAGAGAACAAGACTCTTAATCAAACGATAAATTTTGCGTCGATGCAGTTGCTAATGCAATCAAGATTCTAACTAAATCAACTGTTGCGTCTAGCTACTTTACCCGTGCGCCAATTCAAAACCAATCGCCTTTGAACTGCATAGATGCAAACTTATCGAAGTAACTCATGCTTACAGCTGGTAAGCAACATTTAAATTAATAAAGGGGTAAAGAACATTATTATCTTTTTACAATTAGATATTTTAACAGCAATATTCATTAGATTATTATATTATATTGGAAACGATTAAAGACAACATCCAAATCACATTGATGAAGCGCTAATGATAACGTTTAGGAGTTGGGCACATATGTTACCGCAGAATTATTTGAATGTAATATAAATAATACCGAATATTCTTAACATAAGTATAAACAAATATAATAAGTCGCTTATTCTTCACACTCGTACTTCCATGTTTGTAGGTTTCTGCTTTTCATACTGAAAATATAAAGAAAATACGTCATTATAATTAAAAAACTAATCAATGTTAATGTTTTGTTTTACTTTAGCTTTCACTTTTTCTTTAGCTTAGTGCAGTTAGGATAAAAAAAATAGATTTTATTATAACCCGACTTTATAGTGATTAAAAATTTAATTAGAGATATCGTCCCGTAGAGTATGTTAATATCATTTACCTCAGTTCAATGTTTAATCCTTCTTCTCTCCATCATCGGGGTCTTTGAGTGTATGCCACTGCGCAATGGGGCGCCGCGGGCTAGCCAGCATATCGGACCAGTGGCGAAGCTCGGTGCCTGACGCGTTGTATCCCAGCACTACCTTGCCGATAGGCTCCGACGTACCGATGCGATCGTAGTCCACCACGGTGATCACTAGGTTTACTTTCTGCAGTGCGATTCAGATTAATGACATACCATTGGAAGCGTTTCATAACTACGAGAGCTGAGAAAAACTGCATAATTATCTTTATTGTGCAAGTCTTGATTTCCGATTCCAGAATATCTTTAACGAATTGTAATTTACATAAAATGTCGTATTTTAAATGTGACAATTAACAAGAACAAAGTAGTACGTTACGAAATAAAGTAAATGCCACGTTGGAAAAAAAAATACCACTTTTCATAGAAATTGAATCTTGCAGCCAGTTTTAATAACCTTTCTATCTGTAGATTTGCTTACTAGAGATATAATTTTGACTTAAGCTCCATACAAAAAGTGTCAAAATTCTATCTCGCAAATCTGAAATTGGACGTAAGTCAACTTTTATGGAAAACTATGCTTGTATTTTTTTAATTTCAAAAAAATATCTTCACTTTCATGGTTTGAATGTGTTTTGGAACGCTATTTATAATTTTATCAGGCGTAGATATGGCTGTTTCTTTACTTGTGTGCCAGAACATGTGTGTTTCAAGTTTAGTTTCCAATCATTGCGATTCTTTTAATTCCAAGTAAGTACAACCTAGGTACAATTCAATTACAAATAAAACACTTCGTTTTAGATATAGGAACCGGATGCTAAATGATAATTATTCTAATAATATTTGGCACACTACATGAAACAAGTTCGTTGAATTATTTCAATTAAATTTATTTCATACATTTCCAGATGTTTTAATGTGTAATTGTATGACAGTAATATCGGATTAAAACACGAGGAAATATATAAAGTTTGTTGAATCGTGAAATAATTCACAGAATCTATGTGTTAAAGATTTTAAAATAGTTAGGTATGGATTTTTATAAGCTCTCGTGAGACAAAATTATCTACAAAAGGAATGAGGTTGTGTGTTGTGTTGTGTGTGAACTAGTGTTTGATATTCGTGTTGTCGTCTTTTTATTAAATGAAATATTTATGCAACGACTGTCTATCTGATTCTTTTCAAGAATCAGTATAAAAGGCACTGGTTAAATGACAAGCTCATAATTTATTAATTTGTCCTTTAGTAAAAATCTATAAATGATATGTTGACTAAGGATGAATCAAAAAAGTATTCACAATGCGATTTTGTCATCCTGCATATCATGCAGACAGGTTAACAAAAAGGCATGTGAAATACGTTTTAATTACACAATAAATAAGTTTTTAGCTAATACCGATTTTAATGAATGAAGTGAAGTTTATATTTTGTGTTGTACGAGTTATTATGTGACACAATGCGAGCATAGATACGACGATAAAAAGCACAGTTAAGGCGACAGTACTACTTTAGCAAACCTTATATAAGTAGTAGCTTAATATAAGAGATGCTATTAGGTCGATACATACCTCACAATAAATAAAGTAACGCAACAGGGGGACAAAGCATTCAAAGACAGACAAGGTATGCGAAAATATAAAAAGAAGATTTAAATAATGCAGAAGAAGAACGAGGAACTGGATTCCTTAAACCATAAGTAATTACAGTTTGAAGTAACCAAATTGCAATGCAGTCACGAGGGGAGATTGCTAACACCACTCAGTTTCGAAGGACGGACAATATTAATTAAAGCCAACTAAATTATATTGCCACCACAAATGAAAACCTTCAGTCGAAACACGTACGCCGAGTTACAAGTGAAGGTCAACATTTTAAATTATAACAGAAGTATAATATAATTGACTTTGAGCAATATAAGAAGGAAAAGACGGGGGCGGACACAAAAGGAATAGAAACAGATGATAGAATGACAAATGAAATAGCAGAACTATACTAGGGGGTACTACACATGATCTAACTAGACAACGACTACATAAACACAAAATAAACACCAAACAATAAACAACTTAGGACACTACAAACATTTAAGGTTAGACTAACAACAAATATTTACGAAGAATAATCTCGTTGTTTTTTGTTGTTTTTTGTAAACAATGTCATAAACATTTGTGTTATGCAAGAGAAAGTAGAAGTCATGGCTTCTTAAATAATATAACAAACACAAAAATGATACAAAACAAATATGTTATGTATAGGAAAGGAACGGGTATGGATGCAAGTGGTGTACATAATTCATATATTCACAACAATTAGTCCACAACATCAAATCGTGCACAGTTAAGACAATTTTAATGAGAAATACATAACGCTTCATAGACTCTGAATAGTGAGGATTTAAAATAATGACGGAACGATCGTGCCGTATGTATTTTTCATTAATTGTTTTGTCCAGACTATGCGCTGCGACATCGAATTTTGCATGAATCTCGGCTCGCACCTGTATCTGTTCGAATGGTACTTCAAAAGTAAATGACTCGTTGTAATAGGGATTCAGTGTGCATTTCTTGATGCTCGTTTTCTTCTTCTTGAGACGTTTGCCATTTTGCATGAGTGCTATCTTTACGTACGGATCTGTGTGTCGGCGCAGCACCAGGAGACGCGATATGGAACAGACAAGTTGGCATCGATTAGTAACATTTTTCATTTAGGTTGTTCTAATGAATTATCATTGATTTATTGTAGACATTTTGCTAAATGGTAATAAGTAAAAGGCTGCTGATTGAATATGTAAAAGCGGATCTAATTTCAAAGTAAAAGTAAATGAACAGTGTTTAATATTAGGTGCACTTTGTAAAATAGTTGTTGTATGTGACTCACTCATTATGAATATAAATGCATAAAACTAAAGGTATATCAATACGTGAGGGAGTTATATATTATGAGTATTACTATGAATTGAATTGTTTCATGTAAGTAGCTAAAAATGTTAAGTACCTACCTACATGAAATGGTACTCGTGGGTGGTACAAAGTATTATGGACATGCAATGCAAATATCGCTTAAATTGTTTGAATGATACTACCTAGGCTGTATGTACATTAATCACTATGTGGTTACAATCAATAGTAAAAATGTAGGTACGTTTAAAATGTTTACCCTAAAATCCCTGTGAAATTAGACATAGGTGTTATCAGTGTTTCTTTTTACATGATAAACAAATATATTAGTGTACACGATGTTATAATATTACCTGATAGACCGCCGACGTCCATTTTCTTCAAGTTCTTAGCTTCCAAAATAACAACTGTCAGTTTTCCGGCCGTTGGTACATAACGCAACGAGAAACAAATGTCTCCCAACTTGTTGTCCTGTAATATGCAACAGTAAATATGACTATTTGTACGGTATACAAAAGGACTCTGTGACCTATCCCATGGTAGTGCCTTACGAATGAACAACTTGTGTTATTCGTTTGAGCTTAGTGAAATAACTGATAGGCTTGCTTGCCGATGTAATCCTTCCTTTGTACAAAGAATATTCTTTTATCTCTGACGTAAAAAATGGTATTACATTCGATGTTTGTCGCTGTATGTGTTTTTAAATTTATCATTGTCAATAAACAGAGTTGAACAAATAGTTTATTTGGATGTGAGTTGTATGGAAGATAATAGAGGAAAAGTTGTGTAAGGAATATAGCCTTCTGAGAACGGGTTAGAAAAGCTATTTATAAAAAATACAAATAATATGGGCCATAAATAACGCGGCTTAGGGCGGACCAGGGCACTCAAAATCTCGTTACACGAAATAAAAAACAAATAAACATAACAATAGCTTCGTGTAGTCACCTAGAAGCGTATTTATGGTTGTTGGTATATCGGCACAGGGCTTCAGTTCACGGATTTCAACATTTACTCTTTATGAATATTCATGTGAATATTTCTATAACAAGATAACTGAAATACTGCGCCGAGCCACGTGCTTAGGACGCATAGCCCGTAAACAATTGAGATTAATAGCCTCGAACAAAATGGATTTTGCAGCTAAAATCATACGCACATTTGACGAACACTTTCATTGCGTTACATATAACGTTTTAGCACATAGATTTCACTTTATCTAATAATATAAATTAAACACGATACATATAACTTTTTGGAACATAACTCTAGACGAACAAAATAAATATATACATCAACGTTCATATCAAACCTAATATGAAGCAGTTATGTATCCGCTGAAATATATAAATTTATATTGGTAGGTAGTAGGCTAGAAGATGAGGAGAGTACATTACGATCTGTTGCCGAAATGAAGCCAATTTATATATTTTTGTGACACCCAGTTCAGATCATCAGAATGAAACTATGTATTTATAATCTAGCTCACGTTTCCTAAACTCTTGCAACTATGGAATCCTACTTTTGAGTTTGCCTATCAGTAAACTCGGTTACCTTGAACGATGTGCCTAGTCTGTAAGAAAGACTAACCATTTTAGGAACAGATCGCAATTAGCTAACACATATAGGTACAATACACACATACAACGAACATTAGCGAACCATTGAGGAAATTATTTAAACAAGAAAGCAAGAAATTGTAACTACGTATAACATCATAAAAGATAACTCTTACCAGGGCATTGACTTTGTATTCACAATGTGTAAAAATGAACTCGATAGAAAATATACAATTCTTCTGAAATAGTTCAAACAAAAGACACGTGAGTGCCTTTTTCTGAAATGATAACAGCGACTTATTGATTGTTGTTGAAAATAGCTTGGTTAGTGACCTACATGAAACATGTCATCATATTTCATTATTATGGATTTCTTCAATCGATCGCTTGTAATATTACTACATATACATACATACATCGATAGGTGCTATCAGATACAGCACACTAACATTAAACAGATATTCCAGTAACGCACTAGTGTGATGCTGGTGTTAGTTATAAGCTGCGCTGTGTGAGTTATTGATAAAGGTGTAGCTAAAATATGTTCTTGAAGAAAGATTCAGTAAAGATAGTACACTAAAGGAAGAAATTTCTGGCATATAGCTTCTAAAGAACATAGTTTTAGGTGAAACACATTGTGTTGATATTTGTCTTGAACATTATTATGAATTTTCTTTACTATAATAGTATTAATAACACCACAGTGTGCTTTTCCTATGTTATCTACACCAATACCACAAACATGCAATAAGTACATATTGGTTCAGAAGGATATTACTAGGATTTGTTCTTCTTTCGTCGGTCAGAAGGTGACCTGCAACATACTTGGACAAATGCTTCATTAATCATTAATTATATTATATTCCATGATACTGTCATATGAGTCGAACACGAGATGACGAGATTACATGCGAAACACCAAATTACACACGTAGGGAAATATTTGTGCGACATTTTATGAGTTATTTTGTAATTTAGAAATTTTGTAAGTAAAGGAACCAATGTACTTATATTGGATTACGTGTGAATAACACCAATACATAGCCAATTAAACGTGTACCACACTTAAGTATTTCTGATTTGTCATTTCGTTCGCTTTCACGTGAATAAGGCACAAGGTATGCACAGTGGACAGAACACAAATGGCAAGTCAGACAAAGTACGAGCACAATAAGATGACGAACATGCAACATTCCCCAGCCGCAATATAAAATAAAATCAAAGTGTCGGATGGATATAAATAATAAGACGTAATAACAAAAAATAATAAAATAATAATGCGGTATGACGGGTGATCAAGGTTGGGTGAATAATTTTCAGAATTTGAGATGAGGATCAAATATTAAGGTCTAACAATGCTTCCTAACTTCCTAGAACAAACAACGTAATGGTTCTGATACTTGGCCCAATCCTTTTTACGAATCATTGTATCAAACCTTGTTCATGATTTGGTTAAACCTTTAGCCATTTGTCGGTCTCGTATACCAGCACGCCATTTCGAGTAAAATTCATGTATAATTAACCAGTAGATAATCTTGATGTGTCTCAAAATAATACTTACGTGAATGATCATTTCGTTTTTGAAGCGGCATGCAAGATTGTTCAGGACACAATCAAACACAGCCAAGCAGAGCAGAGAAAATATGGAGAAAAAGAGAAAAACCAAGTAAATACATTTTTGCTGTCGAAATTAATTTTATCAGAAAAATAAATGACGACTCAATCCATGTTGAGGTGCCTTGACTGCCGAGAATTCCTCCTTAACACTTTCGTGAAATTAACAAATTATATTTGTGTTAATATCGTCAAGGTTCCTCTCATTCAAAAAGTGCAGTAAAATTGTAAAAATGTAGGCCATTCTTCCAATGAATGCTTGCATTAATAAAATCTACAAAGATCAAAAAATACTGATGACAAAGTTGACTGTATATTTATAAATGAATGAGACCAAATTAATGATAAGTTTGATTGCTTTAGATGCATTTATTGAAAGAACGGCGAAATGTTAATTTAAAATGCTGTTCTGCCAAAACACAAATCTAACAAGTAAATAATACTATTGTTGTTGTTGTAGGTAAGAGTAACTTATGTAAGTTGTCATGTGTGTTTTGCCAGTCTAGCCTAAGCTAAGAAAAAAATATAAAGTAGTCTCCTTGGCTGGTATCTTTTCAGATACGTTTTCGTTGGTGTTGCTGACTTATTTCTACATGTGCATTTGTTCGTAGGTATATAATGTTCCTAGTTGGTAGTTATTCGGTTATCAGAATGATGTTGATGTGACCTGGGTGTAGTTGTAAAGTTGTCAATTGACCAATTTTTGTGATTTGTTGCAACATCTGCCTAAGACAATATCTTCTAAAAATCAGTTCATTGCATTGAAACGAATACTACTGGTGATTTATTATTATGGCCCAACGTGCAAAGCTCTATTTATTTTTGAAAATGAATTCACCTTTAATGTAAGGACATGTATGAAATTGGACTACGAGCGCCAATCATTTTACATGTAATCATATTATATTGCTAGTCAAAATATAAATTCATTCCAATTTAAATATGAATTTGCTGAAAAGTAAAGCCTTGTAGAAATTATTTTACAATGCGTAGAAACTTATTGGTACAGGCACTTTGATTTTCATTTTATAAAGATGAAAATTGTAGCTATGAAGTATTGGCTATTAGAGGAGAAGCAAAGTGTGGTCGATAGCTTCTGTGCCTTCTGACCGACACGTCTTAATTTAAAGACTCATTTACATTTGTACAAGGTACTCGGATGTTTCAAGGAGGACGATAATACTTGAGATATTTTTTGTGTGTGTGTGTCCGCACCTGCCCCCCTTCTCCTTCAACACTCTGCAGCTCGCGCCACTCCTCGATAGTTTGTGCCAAGTCTACCTGGCACAGCGGCACCTTCACCTCACCGATCTGGTCGTGTTTTGAGAATCGATCGAAGTCGAAGATTGCAAACACGAGAGTTTTATTCATAGCGTCAGCATAGGGCACGTTCTGTATGAATAATATAAGAATAAGTATCAATATGTCTGTAAATACTATGTAAATTAATTCCACGTGTCATCTAAACTTACCTTAAACACAAATGTTTCGTTGAAAACGGGGCTTAAAGTCTTTCGATGAACTTTTGTTTCGAACTTCTTCTTCTTGTCGGGAAGTAAGTAAACTTTAACGTAGGGGTCGGACGTGCCTCCCATGTCCAGAGCGGGGAGATCCTCAGCTTGAATTACAGTCACAGACAAACTGTTGCTGTTAAAATCATACTCCAGCTGCAAACAAAAACTATATGAAGTAGCCGCTAACGTTGTAGCACCGTGATAGTAGTGAATGTTGCTATTGAAATCTCCATGTACAAAAGACTTAATGATGCAATCAATGCTTGTTAATTGGCCATAAACGGCACACCAAGATGCTCCGCAACGGTGATAACGAAGCCATAAAGTGAATTAACGAGTTGAACAAATGACTTAATTATGTAACAAACGAATAACAGTTTAAAGAAACGGAAAACACATAAATAGAATTGGATTAACTACTGCACTCTAAATGGAGCTTTAGTGATGTTTGAAATGGATATTTCATTTGTTGGTGTTCACAAACCAGGTTGTACTAGAACTTCCTTGGTGAGTCTTTCTGTGCCATATAGAGACTCGTACAAAACATACCTTGTATTGGAGTTTTCCTAGCTTCTGTTCCTCTTTCTTGGAGTCGCCGTCGTCAGGTTCCTCGGCATTCTCCGTGAGCTCCTCCATATCAGGCTGAACCTACATGCACGTCCCGCGGCAAATTTCATATGAATATCGAATTTCTTACAAATAGTTTCTATGGATTAAATTATGATTTCCTTGAAAATGATTTTAATTGATGAAAACATACAAACCTTCTTGACAGATTGAAATACTATTAAAGTTAGCGAGTTAATGATTTTTGAGTACCTATATTTTGAAGTTCAGTTGTAAATGGGGTCTAAATTTTCTTGAAGTAAGTATTTTTTTCCATGTCTGTCGACAAACTGGAGGATCTTAATAGATTTGTAAGTACCAAAACATTACCTTTTCCTTGTAAGCAGAACCGAGCAGCTGGACGGATTTTAAGTCGACACCTTTCATTCCCTTTTTGCCATCCTTGGAGCGTCGCTTGCGGAAACACCTTCTGATGCAGCAGAAACATATTCCGAGCACCACCACGCCCACACCTTCAGAAAAGATCAATATGAAAGACGACTGCAACGGAGGACTTAATAAGGACGGCACAAAGGGATTTAATTGCTCAGTGACCGTTTCCTTTTGTTAGATACTTTCTATTTAGATGATCGCAGTTAGAATCCAATTGAAAAAAGTCTGATTATAAGTAAGTGTAAATGTTTATAAATGTTGCTCATGGAAATATCAAGAAGACGCATTTCGTTTCTAACCTACTGCACATAGCAAATTTTACCGCAAAGGAAAACGTCTCAGCCTCAGCACGTTATGCGATAATTTATTGGCACCTATGTCCATATATAGGTACTACAAGATACGATTCTGTTTGAGTTACGAGGTATATCGTATGTAAATTTGCCAGCGACGTTAGTAAATATTACGCCGTATTAATTATTCACAAGAATACCTAATATTACAAAATTACCATCAACTCTTGTAATATGTAGAACGTGGGCAGATAGTTTGACTTTCTTAACGGCGATGTAGTTGACTTAGTAGTTTACTTATAATCATTAGCCTAAATTAGTTTTAAGCCTAAAGACTAAAGACACTTGGTAAATGGTTTTCACATAAGTATACCATTAATGTAAACAAATACTTTGTCACTATATCTAGTTGAACCAAACGGTGTAATCACCGTTACATACAAAGAAAGATATTCAGAAATCTAAATAAATAGGTATTTATGACACGTACGAAACTAATAACAAATACCTGAATAAATCATTTTCACAAATGCAATTTTTCAGATGATCTTTAAAGATAGGTTTTAAATAATTCAGTCAATCCAAGTTTCCTTTTAAGTAGTATTTGAAAATATTCAAAATGTCAAGGTAGGTACTTGCTCTGTCTTGGATCATGCAAGGAGTAGGAATTACAGTTTCCACTTCCTTACCATTTGGCAACACACAGAAAGATTTAAAAACGAATGAAAACAACTGGACTAATTTCAGCGGATTAATGGAGTAAAAAGTATGTAATACTAAAAGTAATCAAAGCTTCATGTAACATACTGAAAATACTAATTCTGGATAAAATTAATTCAGTGTCGACTCCAAATTAGTCAAGGTAATTTCTTTTAGGATTATTATAATAAAGAATCTACTTACCAACAAGTATAGCGACAAGTTGCCATGGCTCAATGTTCATCTTACGGGCGATTTCTGCCGTCTTCTCTCCGATGGACTCCTGGGTAGTTGGTGGGATTGTCGATGTAACCATTGACAATGTCCCAGGTTCTGTGGATGCTGCGCAAAGATTTAATTCGTTGGAATATGATCTATTTTGACTTTTATGTACCAATCGTTCACCCTATGCAAGAGGACTACTGCTGAACATGGCCTATGCTCATCAGTAATTCCTTCAATTATTACTAGATAGGCTGATTGGAAGTCAACCAATAAGATATTAATATATACACAAAAATTCTACGGAGATTTTGAATGAAAAAGGTCCAATTAAATTGTACTGTTTGCTTACCTATACTTTTTAGTTTCTTTATTTATAATTTGCTCATTAGGCAATTCGTTAATAATATGGATAATATTTCTCTTGTTATTTTAAATTACGTTGAATATTAAAATACTGTCAAACCAACGTTTGTATTACCTATCTCTCATTAATCTACTTAATGAAATCTCACAAAAAATATGTTTCTAAAATACTCGTGACAAACTCGAAATTGAATCCGTCGTCTGTCTGAGTAAAATGCCTGCTTATAGGACTAAATCAATATTTTCCAAGTGGAATGAATAAAAGTAGTCTATATTTAGGACTTTCTGACTGTTACTTACTGGACAAGGGCGGAACTGTTTCATCCAGCGTCTCAGCGGGCGCGGGCGCCTCGCGCCGCCACCGCAGCAGCGAATTCAGCAGTGGCGACATGATTGTCTGCAACAAAACACACAGCAATAATTATCTATCACCCTAGTACTTCTATGAATATTTTTTCCCTTTTTCTTCACGCTATTTACAAAAACACCGTAAGTTTGATTTTAAAACCGGGATATAATAACTTTATTTAAAAAGCAAAGAAGACATTCCATATCAGTACATATTTGTCTTTATGTTTCCACGATTAGTAATTATGTTCTCACAACCTAACCTGTGTGGTTATTACCTATTATACGATTTCAATAAAATATTAGATACTATATCTTAATAAGTATAGGTGCCACTAGATACGCCTAAATAGATTTGCCGATGGACTTTCAATTCTTTTATCGAGGAAAACTAATTGAAAATTTGATTTGAAAGGCTCAAACTAGTTCAGCTGGAACCAGAAATATTGGCCTACATAGTTTAACTGATATTGATCTCTACATGTCTGCTCGGATGATAAATGTAATCGTTTAATGTGTCTCACTTATACAGTTACCTAGGGTTCTAGATCAGAATAATTTACACATTAGTTCTATTTTTCAGTTAGTGTATAAGTCTATATTTAGTTAAACCACGCAAAGTTTTAATATCGTGTTTAAATTTTAATTCGTTACCACAACCTTATACTATGAACCTTAATTTATGCCATCCCGTGCCGTTTAAACCCGTTTCAGGTAGCAATTTAAAAACTTTGTAAGGTCGTTTTTGTTGTTTGTCTTTGTCCCTGAAAGTCTTTCTAGGCTTAACTATACTACCCTGCTGAATAAGAAAAGCTTTGTAAAAATCTGTAGAAAATATGTTTAAATTATCTTATAAATAATGTTATTCCACTTGAAGTAAAATAAATAAGGTCTATGTTAGAGATTTCCTTAAATATGTGTATGGGACCTTGTGGTACCTACATTCTACACAAGGTCTTAAGACATCTGAACTGTCAAGCGCGGAGAGAAGGCTTTTATAGGCGGAGATCTATATGTAGCTATTTATGGTTATATATTAACGCATTGATATATATGAATTTATTCAATTACAATTTTAAAACTGCGTTAGTAAGAATAACTATTTTTAAAAAGGGCGTATAATATAATAAGGCCAGTTTAAATATCTACTTAGAATAACCAGAAACAACATATTTCTGAAATAATAATTAGTTTTAGGTATAGCTTCGATGGCAATTTTCATCAGAAGAAGCAAACAGCACTGACCTTATATTTGATCCCCTATCGAGTCGTCGAACACTTTATCTAACAGTTATTATTTCTGTAGTCACTTAGCACGGGTTTGGTACATTTCTGTCGAATATTGTATTCGACTGGAACCACCACTCGGTACTGAAGCCAGGATGGCGGAGTTGCGCGCGCATACGATCGATTGCCGCTGCGCGATGCGATGCCTCTACGTTCAGTTCCTGGCCAAGTCCCGATGTTTACGTCACTAGTTGCGTACATTGACGGCCAAGCTTAAAATGTTAATGGTTCAATGTACGTCGAAGCCGTATCGGTGGTAAAATTTATCGAAAGTCACGTAAAACTCAGTTATCCTTCATAGATTTTATTGATACTGAGGAGTTTGCGCTATTTTGCCTTAGTATTTCCAAACGGAACTATGACATGGCATAGTACTAAATCAATAATAGTAACTCAGTAATTAATATTATGTAAATACTTGTAGTCCTACTTTGGTTAAAGTAGATAGGCCAAGGATTAATTCAAAACGTAAAAGTCAGATTTGAAGTAAAACAGCTGAAAAAAGTATCTTGAAAATATTTATCTTCAGGTCTTGAAAACATAAACTATCGATTGTTTACGTAATAAAATGATGCGTAGAAATCCCGAAACTCGCCGCTCACCGCTCTATAATCATGCGGTAAGTAGTAAAAGTCATCAAAACATGAATGAGGATGCCCTAGATTTGCTGCAGATGACACAACACAAATAACTATTAATAACAATTAATTGGTTAAACTCTGGAAGGCGCGAGCTACTGACAACTTAAACTCCTGATTAATTTTGCCTTCATTGGAAAATTTCGGGTTATTAGAGACTATTTAGAAAACAGGCTCTGTCATCGTAATAGTGCTGTTATTTGAAAATTAAACGGAGCTTACTTAGTAGAAAAGCGTACCAAGGGGAAGGTGCCTTATTTTAAATTACTGTTAGAATGTTACACGTTCCTGGGTCCAATTAAGGTTCTCTCGGCTTAAAAGGTCGTGTTGGTTGTCAACTGTTTTAATATACTCAGGGTCTATAATAGAGTTTTAAAATAAGAAATACTGTTGTGTTGTCATCATAGGACTCGCCGAGACGCCGCCGCGCCCACACAATCGCCTGTAACCTTAGGAAGACGTCGGTTCACTTCACAATTAATATATCGTTAGTTATTACTTGACACTAACAAACAACGGGAAATTCAAGAAAGATGTTTTCGTACCTCTTCTCTCTGTATAAATAAAACATTAGTGGTAGACGTCTCTTGCTATATAATGATACAAATCTGTTCGTTGCTAAGCCCCAATTTAGAGTATATTAGTGTACGACAGAGATGCTGAAATTGGACATACGTATAGGTATATCATTTAATTTAATATATTATGAAATACTCGCATTATGAAATCTACCAATAACTAACATGCTATGCTCTCATTATCAGTACCTAAATCATCCTTGGCAAAGTTGACCCCTGACAAGGTAAATGTCGACAAAATTAGGAAGTTTTGACGGTTCAGTTAATATTCATATAATGATATAATTATCAAACCTAATTAATTTATTAGGTCCAATAAAGATAAATAATAAAAAACATTTTAAGTTATGCCTTAACCTTATATTTCTCTTATCTCTTATGAATCAGCTACACACTTTATGAATGGGTTTTTAGAATCGACGTGATCATGACGTCATTAGATTTGCGAGCATAACCAAACCGCCTACGCGTTATTAATCAAGGAACAACAGCCTTTTATTCAAAATCCATATAACGACTACAGAAAACACATTTTAAACTACTTTTTTGAGTTATAGAAGTTAAATTGTTTATATTAATTGTCTGTAGTCTATAATTGTAACTGATGTTTAATAATACAATATGTAGATTTTTTCTATGTATACAGTGGATGAACCAATTTAATTCATTTAAATAAAATTCAGACACAAATCAATCTACATTTTGAAATAGATAAAAAAGAACGTGTAGGACTTAACTATATTTATAGGTAAGGGAGTAGGTAGGTGTAGGTTTTATGTACGCTGATATATATTTTTGGGAAAAAGTGTCGCTGTTTTTAAAGCCGATTGAGCGTCAGCTAAGCGTTACCAGTTGATTTTATCCAACTCAATAAAGTGAGGTCAGTCGGTAATGGTCTAGGAGCGTTCAATCGGGAATTTACTGCCAGTCCCTAATATACTCGGGTCTACCGCAGAATGTAATGAGTAGGTGTATGTATTTCTGTTTAGGTATATAGGATATTGACCTTATCTATAAGTACATATCCAAACCAATAAATGTAACATATAGATAGATACAATAGACCTGCTTGTGATCGAGGCAACTGTAAACAAAGTAGGTAATATATTATTATCTACTATTGAAAGAAAATTCGAAAAAGTAAAGTATTAGGTATACATGTCATAAGAACCTTCTCCTGACGATAAATGACACAACAAAAAAATTTAGCCAAATCGGTCCAGCCATTCTCAAGTTATGGCGTGACAACGGGAAACGGGTTTCATTTTTATAATATAGACTATGAAAATATGAAGAAAGAAACGAATTTTTATTTAATAGTACCTACTAATTTGCCATATGTTTAAATATCTATATTACTGCTGTAGACAATAAATGGTTTGACTTCAATTTGAAATTAATAGTCGAAGGGAAATTGGAAGGTATAATATCGTCCCTCTATCTATATAAACCTACTGCTATTGGGTATATAACGTAATAACTTCTGATATTCATTACTTAGAATACCTAAATATAGAATGGCTGGTATTTGCGTCTCCACATTGAAATTTAAGATGGCTGAAAGCCGTCTGGGATCTTCGATAATGGGTCATGAACAAACTCTCTGTAAGCGGTTTGAGTCCATGATTCATATTAAAATGAATAAGTTTCAGATTATGTGCTGCTTAAGATATTATTTTAGTTAAAATATATAGGTAGATACATAACAATATTTCTTTTAAAAGGAAGTATAAGTTAGTGTTCTAAAGTCGCATTATTGTTTGTGAGACTGTGAGTTGGACAGCGTATTCATTATGTTTGGTAGGAATAGAAAACGCGTAATATCTACTCGTAGATTTTCAACAAAAGTATTGTGCACGAAGATAATAATAAAATGTAGATTTTTGGAAAGAAAATATCGATCAATTAGTTTTGAGGTAATTACAAAGAAATAAAGAAAACACTTAGTTCGTTTTTGTTCATTTTAATTTAGATAACAGCTACCTGATAGATGAATGTAAGCAAAGATGAAAAATGAATTTATTTAGGCTCAGACACAAAAGTGAACCAAAGAGCTCGTAAACAAGAGCGACGTTCTAAGAAACCCATACATAAGTATAAGTAGAACAGCTATAAATCTCACTAGCTGTATAATCCCATTGCACTGAGCTGCTGAATATAAATACGAAAAGTAATTCTATTCACACAATAGCCAAGGAGATACTTTACTGGAAAATTATCCTACTTTTATTACATCTGTTTTGCTCATCTCTTTTTAAACAAAAAAAGGTAATTTAAATATTTGGGATCCAAAAACTATATTAATTATCCTTACTTTTTACTACTATATTCTTTTTATAAGTTTGTTTTCAAACTTATTATTTTATAAATTACTGCTGTGATAGGTGACTGAACGCAAAAACAAATTTCAAGGGAGATTTTAAAATTAAATCCAGGTCAGGAAAATCGTATTCATGAATTTTGACATTAGGTACAGTAATAGTACAACAGTGACTTGAATTGTGGCCCGTATTTGATACCAAACACATAGTCATAGTTAG